TATATGCCCTTCGGGAGGCGAGATGGTGGACTTTGTCCCTATTAACTAGACGTAAAATGAATACCAACCAACACCAACCAACCAACCAACCAGCTTCAACATTCAGATCTCAAGTGTAGATATACATCATCCATCAACCAGCCAGCTCCCCAACCACGAAGCGGCCGCAGCCTCACCCTGCCCGCATTCACCTATAGCTTCGAAGTCGAGATGAAATGTGGTCTGCGCGTAGAAGATTCGCCATGCCTCCAAGTATTCAAGTGTCGCGGCGAGCCAAGAAGAGGTTCAACCAGGCCACTGCTCACGGTGGCAGCTGTATTTGCAGACCGTTTGGCGCTTTCACTGCGAGAACAGGGCGGATATTACTCAGGCGGCGCGAGCGTACTCAGACCCTGTCATGCAGCGTGCGGGAGTCGAAAAGGGAATACCAGGCGGTGGCGGGGCCGTGTCGTTGGTGGGGAGGAGAGGTGGAAGATAGATGCACAAAAAGCGCGTACATCGTGTCGCAGAGAATCAACAAGCCTTATAAGAAGCCTATTTAGGGGTATAAGTGAAGTCTAGATTTTGCCACTGTTTAGCTGTGACACTTTGGAAATCGTCGCTGGGATGCGTTTCTAGCAACAGCTAGAGCTTCTTTCTGCACCAACTCCACAGCACCGACGCAATGCGCTCATAACTCATGACTCGTAGCACACCATGCTCTGCGACGCATCGTGCATTCCTGCTTCACCGTTCCTTTTCTCCACTTCCTTCACTTCCTCTTTTTCTTCACTTCCTTCACTTCCTCTTTTTCTCCACTTCCTTCACTTCCTCTTTTTCTTCACTTCCTTCACTTCCTCTATTTCTTCACTTCCTCCCCTTCTTCCCCCCCGCCACGCTCTTCAGCGCCGCATGCTTGGGGAACTTCTTGAGGTGGTCGTGCAGCTTCGTCTTGGACGGGAACTCGGCGTCGCACCCGGCGCACTTGTTGTCGCAAGCGGATTGCTCCGTTTCTGCTTGCTTGGCTGCCTTCTTCATCTTCTTCAGTTTCGCTGCGCCGATCTTTGGCGCTGTTGATGGGATTGTTGAGAGGGTTGGTGGGGATGGGGGTGTGTCGGCCGTCGAGAGATCCTCGGTTTTTGTTGTGGTGTCCTCCGCGTTGTTGTCTAGCTTGGGATCCTCTGCCTTTGTCGTGACGACCTCCACATTGTCTATCTCAAGATCCCCAGCCTTGGTCGTGACCTCCTCGACATTGTCGATCTCAAGATCCTCAGCCTTGGTCGTGACCTCGTCCACATTGTCGATCTCAAGATCCTCAGCCTTGGTCGTGACCTCCTCCACATTGTCGATCTCAAGATCCTCAGCCTTCGTGGCCTCGTCCACACCATCGTCGTCCAACGTATAAGTCTGCGTCTCCACCGCATCCGCATAGTCGTCCGCAGGCGTCAGGACGCCACTGCTACCACCAAAGTCATCCAGATCCAAATGTGCGTTGTCCTTTTGCATCTTGCGCGTCAGTTGTTTCAGGGCCTTCTGGTGCTTCTTGCTCTTCTCGTGAGCCTCGTACTGGCGCTCGCTCTTGAACGTCTTGCTGCAGGCCACGCACTCGAAGTGCTCCTCCTCGACGTCCGACTCGGACTCGTCCAGCTCGCTCGCGGGTCGCTCCGTGGCCCAGCTCGGCAGCTCCTGCGCCTCACGCTCCAGCTTGGCGTTCAGCTCGGCGCGGGCCCTCGCTGCCTGTGCCTTGCGCTGCTCGCGCTGGGCTTTCGCCTTGTCTTCGGCGGACCGTGTGTCGGGCGTGTACCGGGGGTCGCGCTTGCGGACGAATGCTACCAGTGCTCTGACTGCCTCGTTGAACTCGCGCCGCCCGTCGTCGCGGTGCTTTTTGTTCTCCTTCTCGGCCAGCCTCCTCGTGTAGCGGTCCGGGGCGTCGGCGAGCCGGTACACGTCGAGCCAGGCGAAGCTCTTCGCCGTCGCAAAGCCGTCCCAGGCGGCGTAGAAGTCGCGCACGACGCCCTCGTAGTCATCGTCCTTGTGGCCAAAGGGCGGGTAGTGCGGCAAGTCGACGCCCTCGTAGTCGGCGGCATACTCCTCCTCCTTGGCCAGCTGCTCGAACGTGTCCCGCACGAAGCCGAAGAAGCCGCTTGGGGCGTCCGTGTACTGCACGTTGCTGCGGAAGCGGCCCATCATGCGCGTCAGCTCCTCGGGCGTCGTGACCTTCATGTTGCCCTGGTACTGGTCCTCGCCCGAGCCCTCGCCGGTCCCGCCGCGCAGGATGTCGGCCTCGTGTGCATCGTACCAGGCGCGCTCCTGCTCGTCCGACAAGACCTGGTAGGCGTGCTGGACGTCGGCGAAGAGGGCCGTCGTGCGCTCGACGTCGCCATAGTTGCGGTCGGGGTGCAGCTCGAGAGCCTTCCTGCGATATGCCTTCTTGAGTCTGCACGGATTAACATGACGGCGTCTATGAGTAAATCCGCCATGGCATGACGCACTCGTCCTGGGTCGCGGTCCGCTCCACGCTCAGCAGCTCGTAGTAGCTGGTCTTGATCGCCCCGCCGTCCGCCGGCTCGGCCGCCCCGCCTGTCGACTGCGATGCGCCCATGGTGAAGTCGCTCAACGCTCAGGCGCTCGGTCGAGTTGCTGTGGCTTTCGAAGCGCGCCAATGTCATCGGAACCAGGGCCAGCGCGATCGGAACGGCTGTGCGCGCGCGCGGTGATTGGGCCGGCAGACGGCAGGCGAAAACCCTGAGCAGACAGTGACAAGGCGACAGCGCGTCAAGAGCCACTAGCCACAGCACCGAAAAACGGACTGCGCGTTTTTCATCATTGACGCATGTCGTGCTTGCTTTTTCTTTATAAAGCGGACATGCCCCGTGGCGCCGCAGCAAGCCTGGAGACTGGCGAGTTGCTGGATATTTACTGGCGAGTTACTGGATATTTACTGGCGACTTACTGGATATTTACTGGCGAGTTACTGGATATTTACTGGCGACTTACTGGATATTTACTGGCGACTTACTGGATATTTACTGGCGAGTTACTGGATATTTACTGGCGACTTACTGGATATTTACTGGCGACTTACTGGATATTTACTGGCGAGTTACTGGACATTCACGGGAGCACGGCAACCGGCATGCACGCATCGAGACTCGTCCACGTCTCAAAACTCACATGACCGCTGCATAACATCATAAGATCCCAACAAAGAGCTGGAGAATATCGACTGCGCAGGGCGGCGACACCTTTACCACTTCCTCAAGATATTGGATGCACCGACAACGACGCTTGATCGCCGCAGGGAGCTGGCTTGCGCCCTAGAAACAATTTGCCGCGGACAAAGCTTTACAGGCCATTCCCAGGACCCGTCCCGCGCCCACGTGGTCGCGTTCCTGCCCTTGAGTCGCCAGCCCTATCTGCTACCGCGGTTGACGCACCGCACCAAACGCAGCCATGAAGTTCGGCCATGTTTTCAAGCAATGCCTGCGAAACGAGGGTTTCCCACCCGAGTGGGTCGACTCGGCCATTTCCTACAGCCAGCTCAAGAAGGTCATCAACCGCCTGACCGACGAGCTGCAGCAGGTCGGCCTTGACCCGCAGACCCTGTCGAAGCTGCTGAAGCACGTCGAGGACTACAATGCCTCGGCTGACCAAGACGGCGACGAGGGCCGCCCGTTTGAGTACATCCTGAACGGCGACGGCGTCGAGACCAAGTCGGCCAAGGCGAAGAAGTTGTTCCATCCGAAATTGCTCTTCTACGTCGACGAGAAGAACGGCCATGTCGACAGCGCCAGCATTGACGAGGAAACGAAGCGCAAGCTGCAGATGCTGGCAGTCGAGACCGGCATGACCGACCTGCGCGTGTTCGACGCAGACTCGCAGAAGCCAGAGTCCGAGACGCCAGGGCCCGACACACCCACCCAGGGCTCGCGGCCGGGCTACCGCACCGTCGAAGTCCCGCTAACCTCCGACACGGAGTTCTTCACGCAGCTGACGACGTCCATTGCGGGGCTGGAGAAGCTGCAGGAGCGCGAGGAAAAGCGCATGCACTCTTCCATCGAACAACTCGGCTCCCAAATCGCCAAGCTAACCGACGCGAACAAGCGCTCCAACAAGAAAACAATCACCGCCTGGCGCCAGGTCTTCCAGATGTACATTGAAGAAGGCATATTCTTCGGCACCACGGAAAGCGACCACAAATCGCACGACGCCGACAAAGCAACGCAACGTCTCGCGACCTTTAGCAACAAGATCGCGCGCGCGGGCCTCGTCGAGAAATTCTCAAAGAAAGACAACATGGCCGCGCTCAACACGTTCATGCACCTCAACCGCGAGATCCTGCAGGGCCTGCGCTTCGGCGAGATCAACCGCGCGGCCATGCTGAAGATCCTGAAGAAATTCGACAAGCGCACCGCGCTGGGCGTCAAGCGCGCGTTTCCCCGCCAGGTCGCCTACCCGGACTTCAGCGAGCACCTGGCCAAGGCCGTGTGCGCCCAGGTCCACACGCAGATCCTGAGCCATGTGCCACAGCTCGACGATTACAGCTGTCCCATGTGCTGCGAGATCGAGTGGCGGCCGGTCAAGTTGAGCTGCGGGCATGTGTTTTGTATTCGGTGCTTGATTGTGATGCAGAACAATAAGCAGCACAATTGTCCGTTTTGCAGGGCGAAGAGCGTATTCGACGCGAATTCAGGTAGGTCGCGTTGCACGAATCCTCGAAGCCAGACTAACACCACCGCCCAGACAACCTCGACACGGAACTCGCCGCGTTCCTGAAGAAATGGTTCCCCGACGAGGTCAAAGCCAAGCAGCGCTACAACGAGCACATGGCTGGCGTCGACCAGTACGGCGAGGTGTACGCCGAAGCAAAGTGCGTCGTCATGTAGTCCCCTTATGCTTGTAGTTCCCCTCCTCGTGCTTGTGCTTGAGGGGACCACTGGCAAGGGGCCTGTGTTGAGAAGTCGTGCTAAGACTGCGCAGGTTCTTCCGCGGAGGCAGTCTCTGGTACGTTAACCTCTTGAGATTTCGCAACGCCAAGACTTGTGCTGACACAAAGCAGGCATATGGTATGACCTCGACGCCGAGAACGAGCGAGCGTGGAGGGCTTAGGGTTTGAGACATTGGTTGGCGTTGACGCGTGCATGTGGTGGTTTGAGTTTTGATTCGCATAAGATACCCCCGTTTGCGAGAGTTGCATGATAGACTGTTGATGCCCGTTTCATGTGCATATAGACGATGTACAGAATTGAATATCCGATTGTCGTGTTTGTCTTAAGGCTGGAATGTGCCCTGTCTTGGTGGCCGGAGCGTGTCCGCGTGCTTGTCGAGACCTGAGCGGTGTCGTGCGATAGGGCGATGGCGATGTGCATATAACAAGTTCAGTCCTTGGGGGAAGAGGGTTAGCAGAGGGTATTGAAAGCGGTGGATAGAGGTCTGTGTTTTTGGTCAAGTAATTGATGATAAGTTGAGCTAGCCCTCTACCATGCTTTGATAATGCTTGGCTACTTCACCTCCACCGTGAATGGGGGTCCGTGCAAGAGACGGGCCAGAGCCGTTTTGATTAGGATCGATGAGGATCGATGGTAAATGGATGATTTTCAGAAAGACGTGTTGGGGTTGATGAAGTCGTGGCGTGCTGTGCCGCAGCTGCCATTTGCCTGCACGCTGTTGCCGCGTGAAGGTGAGAGTGACCCACGTGCGAGGGCCTACTTGCGTCACATTGCATGCCAGCTTCTTTTGCTCGACCTCTGAGCGCGTCGCTTTCATAACTACGACACAGGCTCGATTTACCCAGTCATTGTCACGCCATCGAGAGCGGGCTTCAGCATGCACTTTCATTTTTCATAGCTCCCCCGGGAAGTGTGCGACAAGATCTACAAATTCGCCCTTGTACCCTATGATGATGTCCTCCACGTCTCATGGCCGTCCAATCTCCATGAGAATCAAAGATTGAGGGTCGCTTTCACGATAACGAAGAGACAAGCATTCCTTTTTTCCACGTACGCAAAAGTGTCTGCTCGAGGCCAAGAAAGTCTTCTACAACGAGGTGGAATATTTCTTCACTGGAGAGGTCCTTGACGAGCTTGTGTTGATGCTATTGCAAACCAGGTCTGAAGACTTGTTCCGACACAGTTGCAACAGATTGTTCTCGGGTCATGAGAGGGCGGTGGGTGGACACGTGTGGGACAGCAAGCGCTGGGGAGACTGACCACCTGAGGAGTTTCTGTCGCAGGATTGGACTGTTGCAGACTTTGAGCGAGCTCAGGAGTATCTTCGTGGAGGCTGCCTTGTTCATGCGCATGGCTTTCTACCTGGTTGAGGTAAGCTTCAGTACCCGCAGCCTACGCGAGCGATGTCGTGAAGAATGGAGGCGAGATAAAGTCCAGCAAGGCAACTACCTATGTGACGATCGGTCAATTAAACGACGTCTTTGTGAAGTGAAATTGCCATTTTGGCAAGGCTGTCACGAAGTGCCTGTTAAGCAGATGCTTGTGTTAGCATCACTTCCGTACTTGATTTAGAAGCAGTCGTGAAGGGCATCCTAAAAGCGGCGGCACAAAACGACGAACGAGGCGGTGTATAGGTTGAGACAGATGATATCGGAGCGGATCAAGATCAGCAACGATACGTTGGCAACACAACGGCAGGAATCACATGGGCAAAGCCGCCACTGCTTGGAGGAAAGGTTCTATACATGTAAAGACCAATCAAGAATCAGTACACTAAACTCGCGCTCGATCCGCTTTGTGGAATGGCCCCGCTCTCTGTCCTGCTGTCGCTCGAGTGGTGTGAAACCAAGCCACGGCGCTGCAGATGGCTTCATCATGTAGGTGTATGCGCGGCGTCGCTATGGGACATTTGTCATCGCGGCCAACGGCCAAGTGTGCGCGAGCGTACAACAGCGTATAGCATCGACTTAAGGAGGTCAACTTTTGCCGGGCGTCGGTCTCCGTGACGCGCACGCATTGAGGTACCGAGATACAGATCTGCACGTCGTCCGCTATATCTAGACGAGGGTGATTTTAAGTATGCTTGGCATTGTCGTTCTCGTGTTTATGGGGGGAGGACGTCATATGTGTTCGTTGTTCGTTTATGCGCTCGTAAAGGGAGCGCAGCGTGTTTTGAAACTTGAGGACGATGGGTTGCCGCGCTTGAAACAGACGAATGTGCTTCGACCGCGCCAGAAGAGTAACAAAACAACAAGACTTGTTTTATCCAGCTTTTGACTTCGCTGACCTCCTCGCGCTCTGTGTGGGTGTCGCTGCAGAGAGACTATATTGTCGCTCGTACCTGTAGCAATCTCATAGGGTTTCCCTGACAGTCCTGTTGAGATGGTGCCTGTCGATTTCGCCCCTCTTGACGCATGTAAGGCTTGTGAGCATTGCTTATGCAGTCAAGCTTTTGCTTGCTGTGGAGTGTGGAAACAGCTGTCGAATGAGCGACTTTACACCGTGATGACAGGTGGGTTGGTCGGTGGCTAAGCCTGCCGGTGGTGAAACATTGGCTTCTCGTCTGCTGCATCACACGAAGTTGTGGACTCAGGAAGCAGATCACCACATCCTCCAATTTGGGACGCCCGCGGAAACGGAAGGAGCGAGCGGCAATCTGTCCTGCTTTCGAGATGCCTGCTCCGCTGAGAACCGAAAGGGTCAACAATGAAATTCGACAGCTGCAAAGAGTAAGGAGATCAATGAATACGTCAGCTGAACCGCAACGATTCGTCCTGTGGTACGCTATGCAGTGATGATTGCAATCGCTCAAACACCGCTGACGACTGCACCAAACTGGATGCTGCTGGTCTCTTGACTCTTGCACAGTGGCTGCGTGCTAGTAGCAGCTCTGGGCGGTGCCGCGGTAGACGGCGAGCCGCTCGGAGGGTCCAGCGGGCCAGCGTGCTCGAGCGCATCTCTTCGTTTCGTGCGAGAACGAGCGGGTCGCGTCAATCTCACCAGCACTGTGAGCACCTCCACGTTCGTGTACAATCGCGTCAGGTTGCACTACGGGAGAGGCGCCTGCATCTCCAGGACATGAGGCGCCTGGTCGCGGCCTTTGGCGGAGCTGGCGTGAGCTCGCTTTGAAGCCTTTCGCTTCAGCAATTGGATGCCGTCCAAGCGCCCGCAGTTATGCGCGCTTTGGGGATAGTCAGGGGAAGGGATTAAAGCGAGCTGCCGTTTCAACGACGGGTCTCGCCAAATCCCCACCATTGCCATGCGCCGACCAATCACAGCTCCACGAGGGCCGCGAATACACCAGCGCCACCAGCTCCATCTCCACTGCTTCGCCTGCACTGGGCTTGACCCGGGTCAGCCCAATCCCAGTCGAGCATGGCCACGAGTAAGACGTTCGATATATGACCCGACAAGCCGCCCCTGCCTGCTCGCGGTAAACCTCTGATTCTTCGTTGTCTTTGACGTCGGGGTTTCTGTTCAGGACTTGCTTTTTCCTCTTACAGACCGAGGACTCGATCCGACGTCGTTTCGCTCTTTTGGACACGCATCGCTCTTTAATCGCATCTCCGCACCCGTATATCTTCGTCTGGTCATTGTTCTCGAAAAGTACATAGCATAGCATCGTCTTCACCATGGCAAACTTCAGCAAGCCCCAGAACATGACCACCATGTTGTTCGCATTTTTTGCTTTCCTCCAGTTCACAGCTGCGCTTGGACACGGAGCGCATCACCAACACCATGCTCGTCATTCCGAGTCCAAGGATACCATTCTGAAGAGGCAGATTGACGAAATCGCCGACAGCCTAGTTGCTCGTCAGTCGAGTGGATACACTGCCGTCACCGGTGTCTGCAGTACAAGTACCGGCAGCGACGGCACCTGCAACAGTAACGGCCGTGTCTCTGCTCCCCGTCTTGAGGTCCGTCAGTTGGCGCAGAACGCCGACCAGTGGAACTTGTACCTGCTTGGTATGGAGAGATTCCAGGCCAAGGACAAGAATGACAGGCTTTCGTACTACCAGGTCGCCGGTATCCATGGCCGTCCTTATGTCACCTGGAACAACTTCCCAACTCCTCTAGTCAACCAGGCCGGTTTCTGCCCTCACTCGCACACTCTGTTCGGTTCCTGGCACAGGCCTTACCTTGCCATCTACGAGCAAGCACTGTACCAGAGCGTGCAGGAGGTCATCAACACCTTCCCTGAGAGCCAGCGCAGCCGCTGGCAACAGGCTGCCTCGACCTTGCGTATGCCCTACTGGGACTGGGCGCAGGATGGCGGCAGCGCTACTGTTCCTACCCTGATCCGCGACCAGACTGTCACGGTCACTAAGCCTTCTGGCCGCGTGACCATCCCCAATCCTTTGTACTCGTACAGCTGGGGCAGCTCTCTGCCTTCTGAGATTGGTGGTGGACCTTGGAGCAACTGGCCCAACACTCTCCGTCGTCCTGTTGCCAACCCTACCCGAAGCAACAACAACGAGATGAACGCCCGCTTCAACGCCATGCGCGTGTCTCTCCGTGATCGTGTCTTTGCGCTGTTCGCCAGCAAGCAGGCATGGGGTTCTGCTTCCACTTCCCAGATCGGTGTCCGTACCGACTCGAGCGGCAGCGGTATTGACAGCTTCGAGTCTATCCACGACTCCGTCCACAACACCGCTGGCGGTGAGACTGGTGGCCACATGTACTACCTCGACATCTCATCCTTCGATCCCATCTTCTGGCTCCACCACACCAACATCGATCGTCTGCTCGCCATGTACCAGTTGATTGTCCCCAACACGTACGTCGCTAACGGAAACATCAACCACAACATGGCCCAGTGGAACCAGGGTGAGGCCAAAAACAGCTACACTCCTCTTAAGCCGTTCACCAAGAACAGCGCTGGTGACTACTTCACCTCCCAGGACGTCAAGGAGACTCGTGTGCTCGGATACTACTACCCCGAGACCAGCGAGCGTACCTACTCGCAGGTCGCCAGCGCTGTAACCAGCATCTACGGTGCCGGCAAGAGCACCCTGAGCAGGCGTACTGACAACGAGACCTCCTCCGAGACTGGCCAGTACCAGGGCCGTCCTCTCCAGGAGGGTGACTACCACCACGTTCTCAACATCATTGCTGACAAGTACGCTATGGAGGGCTCTTACACCGTCCACTGCTTCATCGGCAAGTCCAGCTCCAACTCTACCTCCAACTCGACCCTGCCATCTTCGAACTCGACCGCGCCCTACCCCATCTCCAACTCTACCGCTCCCTACACCAACGGCACCAGTGGTGAGGCTGACTACGACCCATCGACGGACTACACCCAGGATCCCAACTACGTCGGCGCCTACGGTGTGCTCGGCGGCCAGATGGTCATGAACTCGTCCTACCCCGTCATGACCTCCGGCTCCCTTCCTCTGACCACCTGCCTCCAGGGCAAGGAAGCCTCCGGCGAGCTTAAGTCGCTGCACCCCGACGACGTCGAGCCGTACCTCGCCGAGAACCTGTACTACAAAATCGTCGGCGTCAAGGGCGAGCTGAACCCAGAGGACATCCCTAACTTCCACGTCTCGGCCAAGTGCACAAAGGTCGTCCCCGCCGCGTCCGAGGGCGATCTGCCCGACCTCAGCGCGCCGTACCAGGAACTGCCCCAGGCCACCAAGAACAAGCCTGCCGGCAAGCCGTTCACGTACACGCCGACCCCCATCGACATTGCGCTGCCCGAGGGCGACTACGAGGAGGGCGGCTCGTCGTCCAGCCAGCCGTCCGGTACCTCGCCTGCGACTAGCTACCCGACTGGTGTCTTCCCGTACCCGACTCTGCCGTGGGAGGAGCAGGGATACTGCGTTACGCAGCAGACGATTGAGTACGTTGATCAGGAGGGCAACTTTTTGTACGCTGAGATGTAAATCGCGTCTATGTTTTCCGGAGACGGTGTGGATAGACCGAGGGGATTTGACATGTGTATATTTTTTTCTTTGCATAATACCTTCCCATGTAAAATGACATGAGGATCTTCTTTCCTTGACTCTGACGATACGGCCAATTCTACAAAAAGTCCAGTGTTGTGCTCATCAGTCTTCGCGCTTTGTGCACCACCCGCATCGCAACCGGTATGTCAAATATGTCGTCTATTTAAGCTCACTGCAAGCAAAGGCAGTAATCACGGTACGCTCATCTCGTGCCGCGCAACCATGTCTTCCATCATGCAGGGTCGATCTTGCGTTCATTTTGCGATGACGCGTCGGCGGCACATCGGCGGGGGTGCAATCTGGAACGATGAGATATCCTTGTCAGCTTCATTACAGTGAGACTACTCCAAACATGAATGACCACAACACCAGAACACAGTCTGTGTAAGACATGTGCGTTGAACGCTAAGCTATGTAGCGCTCGAGACATACTCAAATGTTCGCTTATTGCGGGTTGCACTGCTGCACTGCGGGCTTGGGAAAGTCTCGCACACCGGCATCTGCCATTGAGATCACTCTTAAAGGCTTAGTTTAGATAAAGTTGAATCCAAATGGCTGCTTCAGAAGGATCAGAGTATGGGCAGCCCGTAACGAGTTGAAAGGCGGCATGGAGTGATGCTGAGACTAATATTTCGTTTTCTCAAGACCGCGCAGTACAGACTCCAGCGAAAGGAGGTGCGTAGGAGGTATTGTGGCATTTTGGTACGGGATGGTTCCGAATGTGCTCTGCCGAAACCTATCCTCCCTAATTTCATCGTCGAAGTGAGGTTCGACACCATCCACTGGACGCTACCGCGTCACGCTCGCCACGCATCGAGAGCAAAGCTCATCCGTGTTCGAATCGTATGAAGGGCTTTGACCCGACTCACGAGAGCCTGGGAAGAAGATGGCGCAGTCATTCGAACTGGCTAGTCGACAGCGCGTCGCAAGGAGGCAGAAGTACATCGGAAAGATGGTTGATAGCCTGACAAAGGCCCACTGCAAGTGCCAAATTTCAGCGATGAGATGTTGACGATGTGTTAGGAGAACTGTGAATGAGCATCCCGCTGGAGCCTTGTTTCGCTCGCTTGGGTCTTGGTATGTCAGTAGACGCGGTGACGTCCAGGCTGACACCAACTCCCACGGTAGAAGAGTGATGACGCAGGGAACATCTTCTGGCTCGCGCTCTCAAGTCCAGCTCACGTTGTAAGGAGCATCCGATATTAGGAGCGACTGCTAAGCTGTAGAGTCTAGTGCAGTCTTCACGTATGAGCGCAAAGGGCAGAGTGAGCCCGTGCACGAGCATATGCCATTCCCGAATCGACGAAACCCTCGTTACCAAGGCCGGAAAGTGCTGCAGTCATTGTTCAGCATGTACCGTGTGTCGTGTCTCGTTGAAAGCGTTGTCGATGCCGTCGGCGCCCGCCTCATCTGCTCCACAATCTCCCCGCCGCTAGTGCGTCACTGATAAGACCAGCCTCGGAACGGCCAACGCAGGGCAATCCAGGCACCGCAGCGTATGCACGCGATAGCCGCAGCTGACTGGCCGCACCGCCGCAGATCACCATGAGGCTCGAAACCGCACGCCGTGTGACCAGTCCCCTTGTGATGCCCTGGGACTGCGCCCTGAGTGGCTGACGCCTCGGTGCTTGGATACATCAACACCGAGCCCTACCCAACATCTTCCTCCTATCACCCACAGCCTATTCCTACGTGCTCCTCGATTCCCTCCCTTGATCATCTCCGAGGTTGTACTACCTGCTGTACCCGTCGAGCTAGCAACCACCTTCCGAATCGACACCAAGTCCGCCACCACACCGGCATCAACGCGCGAATCAGACACCCGGACGTCAAGGCGTGAAGGAACAGCTGCCGCTACGGGAGAGGTTCGCCCCGCAAAGCTTCTCGACGCTTGTGCTGCTTGCCAGAGCTACTGCAGCATCGCAATCAAGATGCCCGTCATGCTGGACTCGCCGGAGCTGCTGGCCGCTGTACAAAGCGTGGCCACGCCCGCCGTGTTTGAGGCGGTATCGACAGCCATGCCTTCTCTCCGGACCCTCGGCCAGCTTGCGCTCGGCGGCGCGCAGATGGTGCTCGCGCAGGGCGCTGTGAACCCGTTCCAGTCGTGCTCGAACCCGCAGTTGAGCTGCCACAACACAACGGTCGTGGAGAACCTATGCTGCTTCAATGCACCGGGTGGCCAGCTGCTGCAGACGCAGTTCTGGGACACGCATCCCGTCACAGGACCGGTGGACAGCTGGACGCTCCACGGGCTATGGTGCGTCCCCTTGTTGACTTAAGTCAATAACAACGAGCATAGTAGCTGATTGAAACAGGCCCGACCGCTGCGACGGCACCTACGACGCCAACTGCGACTCATCACGCTCCTACAGCAACATCTCGGCGATCCTGAAATCCTTCGGCGCAGACGACACCCTCTCCTTCATGCAGACGTACTGGAAAGACTACTCGGGCAACGACGAGTCCTTTTGGTACCACGAGTGGAGCAAGCACGGCACCTGCATCAGCACGCTGGAGCCCGAGTGCTACGCCGAGCACAAGCCCACGGAGGAAGTAGTCGACTACTTCAACCGCGCCGTCAGCTTGTTCAAAACGCTGCCATCGTACGACTGGCTGGCGGCCGCCGGCATCGTGCCCAGCAGCAGCACAACCTACACCTTCGCCGCGATCCAGGCTGCGCTCGCCGCCCAGCGCCCGGGCGTCGAAGTAACCCTGGGCTGCAAGTCCGGCCAGCTGAACGAGATCTGGTACCATTACGACGTGCGCGGCAGTCTGCAGACGGGCGACTTCGTGCCCGCCAACCCGGACGGGACAAAGTCAACGTGCCCGCAGACAGGCATCAAGTACCTCCCCAAGTCCGCCAGCCAGCCCACCGCAACCACAACTGCAGGCAGCCCAGCGCCAACGAGCACGGCTGCCCCCGGCACTCCGTTCAGCGGGAAGGGTTACGTCAATGTCGAACTTGCGGGGAGCGCGAAGGGGTGTATTATCAGCAAGGGGACGTGGTACACGACGGGCACCTGCGCGACGTTCACTGCGAGCGAGGCCGGCGACGGCTTCACACTGACGAGTTCAAAGGGCAAATGCGGCATCGTTGGGGGCGCGCTGACGTGCGACGCGAGCGTGAGCTCCGGCACCGCGTTCACTGCTGTAAATGGCAGTCTGGCTGCTGGCGGCAATGCTGTGTGGAGTGCGGACCAGGCGGCGAGTGGAAGCACACAGGTCACCGTTTACGCTGGCGGTGACCACGCGCAGCAGTTTGCGTTGACGTGGCAGAGCGCGTAGATGTAGAAGCATCATTCATAGATTGTCCGGGTATCAAACGCCCCCAATGCACATCAGGTTCCAACACATCCCATCCCCTACTTCCCTTTCAGCTTCACCTGCCGAGCAGACTTTCTAAGGCTGCCTTCGCGCAGAAACGATCCCGAGTGAAGCTCCAATAGCGTGAACTCCTCGACGCTATTCTCCTTCCGATTCGGTGGTATGGACTTGCTTACGGACGCTCTCTTGGAGCTCTTTGTGGCCTTCTGGGCGACGCCGCGGGTCGTGGCGCCTTGCTTCTTTGGTGGCGAGGTCTTGGACAGCGTGCTGGGCAGACTTGGACTGTTCTGGGCTGTAAAGGCGCCTTTGATCTGGGCACGTCAGTCGTGCTGGCTTAATTGCTCGAGGAGCTTACCTTGATGTCCTCGTCTTTTTCCCCATCCGACAGCTTGGACGAGGCCGATGACAGCGTCGAGATAGTCGAGGCTGGACCTACGTTTTGTAGGATAGACACAGTCTTGACCGGGCTGGCTGGCGGCATTTCTGGCATCTTTACGCTGTTGCTTTCCCTCTTCGCTGGACTTGATTCTTCACATATGTCGTGACTTCTGTGCAGGATCTCGACTATCTCACCCGGCTCTGACCCAGGCTCGAAATCTCTGAGACCATCCACAGCGTCTTTGGTAGTCTGCGACTCCGCGTCGAATTTACCCTGGTACGCCATTTTGCTTTGCTTGGGCGTGCTGAGCAAGTCCACGGCGAAGCGGTGAATGCTTCCGGGACTTCGTCGAGCTTCGTCGGTCACCATAGTGTTCTCTGGCGCAGGGCACGGCGTATCTGGCTCCACAGTCAACCTCTTTGTGAGCGTGACGGTGCTGCTGCTAGAGAGAGGCTGTGCCGGCCCTGTGGTTGCAAGTTCGATCTGGACGTCATCTTCATCGTCAAGGAACATGGGAGGTCGCGGTGTAGGAGCGTGCGCAAGAGGATCCAGGCAGTCGTACTCGCGGTACACTACAGATTTGAGTAGGAGGCTTGAATCCTTTGAAAATTCCTTACCGCCATGCTCGTCATAGAAGCCATCTGAGTCCCACTTGTATGTGCCGTCGTAGAACTTGCGCGACCTCTCGGTGATGGCTAGGTCGGCTGGGAGAGGGCGCATAGTTGCGACAAGAGCTGTCATTGTGAATCTTGTAAAAGTTGCCTGAGAAAGGCAAAACCGTGACGTAGGTGGGCTTCGTTTTTTTGTTGGCTTGGTGTTGACCCAGTTGGGAAGTGAACGCAAATGGGCAGTCGCGCCAGGTGAAGCTGAAGGAAAGAGCAGTCGAGCACGTAGCGAACACCCCTCACCTACGAATAGAGAGCATGAACTCAGCCACAACGTAACGTCGACTTTGTCAAATTTACAATTGCAGACCACTCCGACTCCCTCAGGCTTGATCATGCTCTTGATGCACTGTGACAAAAGCGACGGCACAATGAATGAGGATGATCGACGGCAACGAAGAGCACAAAGCAGGTAAAAGTGACTTCTGGTTGAAAAGTCTAACCTTTGAGATCCATGCTACCCTGTAAAGATAATGCCTTGCCTGCCTTATGAGTACAGACACCATGATATAAACACCGTAAACGCCCCGAAAGCGCCGAGTCATACAACTGAGGACACTAGGACTGGCGCATCACTACGACAGAGCATCAAGGCTGAAGACCACACAGTCTTCAATGTCTTTCCCCTGCAAAAAGTAAGGCAGTAGAGCTCTGCCCCTGCGCCACTGTTCATCATGCTAGGCTGAGCCAGCGGGACCAGCCGGTGTGGGAACGGGCTGCTTTGCGATTGCTTCGCCCATCTTCTCTCGTGCGATCTTCTCCTGCTCCATCGCAGCACGGTCAGCCTTAGTGACGCGGGGTTTGCGAACGGTCTGACCGCCGCGTGAACCGGGACCACCACCGCGCCCACGGCCTCTGCCGGAAGTCTCACCGCGTGCAGTACCGCCGCGACCGCGACCTCGACCGCGTCGAACAGTGCCATCGGCTCTATGTATCATCAGCTTCGTGTTGTGTGGACAGAAACGTGCGTTGACATACCTCTCTACAGCTGGCTTCTCTTCCGTCACAAGAGGACCGCTGTACACGAAGAAGCCATCCTTCGCCATAAGAGCCTGCTGCTCCCAGGCAAGCTCGGTGTCGTCGATGAAGTCATCCTCCTTATCATAATCTTCTTGCTTCCTCTTACGACGCTTCTTGCCTCCGTTCTCGGTAGCTGATGCATTGTCGTCCATTCCACCCATTTCTACATTGCTTTCGTTCTCGGAAAGGTCGACCGACATGTCATCTGTGGACAGACCAGCAGCACGTTCGAGGGCAGCACCAGCAGCTTGCATTTGACGCTTGCGTTCTTGGCGGGCAGCGATGCGCGGGTGGAGAGCTGCGAAACCATACTTCTTTTCGATTTCCAGTGCGACGTTGATCGTAGTGTTCTGACGTCCTTTCAGGTCGAAGTGAAGGTAGATGTTTGGTGCAACTGGGCCATCGGCGCCCTTCGCAGCCGTTGTCACAGGTCCAAAGGGTGTCCCGGAGAGCAGGCCACTGCCACTTGGCAAAGGTGGTGGCGCCTCTTTTTGACGTACAGGCTTTGTGGGCGGCGTTGGCGCGTTTGTATTTGCTGACGTGCCGTTGGTCGCAGAACTCACTTTCTGCGCTGTCGCCGTGACGGGCTTTGGTGCATCTGAGTCAATCTCCATCGGTGCAGGTCCTGTCGGTGCAGCCGTATAAGGCAGAGGTTGTCGTATCGACTGCTGCGGCTGTGGTTGATGTTGTGGTGGTGGAGCTGCAAACTCCTGGGAAGGAAGGACCGGCGCAGGCCGTGTGTGAAAGCTGGCAGGCGACTGTGGGGCAGAGGTAATGGATGCTTGCTGTTGCAATTTTGCAGGCTGTGAGAAGAACGAGTTGCTAGCCGAAGGCGGGTCGATTAGACTTGTGATGGATGGTGATGCACTTGCACGGTTGAGGGGAGGCGATATTGGCGGCGGCGCGCTGGCAGGTATCTGTGGTTTGTCCTCCATGATGCCACCTCGGATAGGATCGTATCTTTGCCCGGAACTTGAAGGCCGTGGCGTAGTGGGGGGAACGCTGATATGAGAAAGGTTGGGGTTGTTATAAAGGGTCGGTTCTTGGGTACCCTGGATGCGCGGAGGCTGTGAAAGTGAAGGCGACGGTTCTGGCTGCTGCGGTGCCGGTGCTGGTGCTGGTGCTGGTGCCGGTGCTGGTGCTGGTGCTGGTGCTGGTGCCGGTGCAGGTTCGCTAGGTGCAGGTTCGCTAGGCCTGGGTTGCGGTGTGGGCGAGTTTTGTATTATGGGCTTCTCTTCAACAGCCTGTACGGGTTGTGTAGCCTGCGCTTCCAGAGAAGCCTTTGTTCTCCTCTTGCGGACAGGGGCTGCACTTGGATCCTTGGGTTCTACAGGCTTGCGAGGCTTTCTTGTTTTCTTCTCAGGCTCGGGGCCATTTGCATCCTTCGACTTTGGCTTCGGCCCTGGCTTTTTGCGTGGTTGCCCAGATGCTGTGAGTCCTCGTGGTGCTGGTGATGTCGCATTTGCAGGGGTTGGCGTACTAGTGTTCGCAGGGCCAACACCAACACCATTGCTGGAAACACGAACTGTAGATGTGGGTGTTCCTTCGGGCGAGTGCGGGGGCGAACTCAGACTCCCTGGCGAGGATGCATCGTTTGCATCCATGGCTGCAGAAACCGAGAATCCGTAGGTACCTTGAAGTCGCCAGGCTGCACAGCAGAAACTCACAAGATCGATACGAATCTTCTGTATACAACGCCAGGTACTTCTTACGTTGAGCGTGAGTTAGGTGCGCAGGTCGCGCGAGCAGCAGTGTGGCAGATCGCTGGCTGAGCGGGCTGGGAACCCAACACCAAAAGTTGCGGATGGCGTCTATCGCAACAGTCGTCAAGAACACCAAAGTCGACGTGCAGCCGAGTACCGAGCCGGAAGACAGCTGGAAAGGAACTTGTTGCACGGAGAAGAACGCGAAGTTTCAACCCCTAATTACGGTTTGATGGAGGCGATCACAGCAGGTGCGGTATCGATGAAAAGGTAGCCGCAACAGGCAGAAATCGCACCGGTTGAGAAAGAGAAAAGGAGAGGAAAGAGACGTCGATGTCCAAATGGGGGCTCTAGGTATGAAGAGCAATTTGGCACATGGGCCAAAGCGCAAGGTTACGACGAGGAAAATCACTTTACGCCAGCCTCTGTCTCCCCGGACTGGGCAGCCGCTGTTCAGTCTGTGAATGAGACCCTGGAAGTGGGCTGCCGCTGAACCTTCTGTCATGCGGTTGTCGGCATATCTAACTCCAAGTTCGTTTGGTGCAAGCGTACTTTGACGAACTTGAGCGCAAGACATATTGCTATCCTCTGGACATTAACTTATAGTTGATGACGCCGTAACTTCTGTCTGATCTCCAGGCTCACACTGCAAGTAGATCTGAGGGTGGTGTCTTCCTCCTCGAGCAACAAGCGCGATCAGCATTTCGGCGTATGAACATGCGTTCTTGCTAAAAATGTGCTATGCTGGCTTCGTGATTCGTAGGGAGTAGCATTTCTACACAAAGCCACGTTCGATTCGAGCCCCAAGAAGACCAGAGCGAAGCGCGCAGTTGCGCGACAAAGCTTGTGTCCCTGGCTGACATATTCCTACGCGGGAGGTAGTTCCAACTGCTCGGTTTACAGGGCCCACTTTTCGATCCTCGCGCCTTACCCGTTCCGAGCGTGGCTTTTCCGTCTGATCTCGTTTCAACTTTGTGGCGCGCGCAACCGCCATCATGATGCGAAATTACTCGAATTTTGATGTCGATGTTTTCCTCACTTTTTCTGAAGAATACTTGCCAATATTACTGGGCGAATAGATAAAGATAAATCTAGGTTCACTGTCGATGCTCCAAACGATATGAAACACGCGCTACCGATCGCGCTGCTGCGTGAATCACTAGCGATCATAGCTGGTCGAAAAACATGAACATTCATCTCAGAGATTGAAACTAGATACCGTTGCAAAGCGGTCACACAACGGACCCTATGCTCGAAAACGCCGCCGAACGCCTTCCCGGCCCTAGAACGCCGATGGGAGTATATGCAAGAATACAGAAACAATGATACATCAACTTTTCATATCGAGGGAGTGGTTGATCATGCCTTGCTCTTCTTCTTCTTCTTGCTCTCGCCATCGTCGTCATCTGCTTTCCTCTTCTTCTCCTTCTTCGACTTCTTCTCGGAGACCTCCTCGTCGCCCTTAGACTTCTTGTCCTTCTTCTTCTCTTTCTTATCCTTCTTCTCGCGACGAGCCTGTTCGGTCGCGCCGGCTGTAACACCATCGGCCATCTCGACGTCCTCAGTCGCGGTAGCGGTGGGGTCAGGAATACCGATATCGGTCATGACAGCGTTCATAGCGGCCTGCATAACGGCAGCGTTCTTTGAGGGTGGCGCACCGGAAGAGTAGAATTCGATCCTTTCCTCGACCTGGCGCTTGAGCGCCTCACCGAACTTAGAAGTAGGTGTCTCGGAGAAGTTGTCAATCCTGGAGGCGATGGAGCACTTGTTGGCCAAGAAACGCGAGATTCTGCCCTTGGACTTGGCTGCAGTCTTGCCAATGAACGACGAGTGGTAGATCAAACCGTACTTGGGGGTGTTGCCCTTGGTCTTAAGACTAGGACGGAGTTAGCAAAGAGTCTGAGCAGCGAGAAACATTTGCGCTTACGCTCGGAACAGAGCCTTCTCAGCACCGAGAATCTGAACAGTGGAGGCAGGGTACTTGGACAAGTTTGTCAAAGATCCGGCCTTGGAGATGAGACGAGCGCCAACGGTGTCACCAATCAAAGCAGCCAGATTAGGCGCAACCTGGTTCATCCTGCTTCCAAGGTAGTTGGAAAGTTGCTTGCGGTAGGCAGCGAGCGAGGCGGTGCGCTTAGCAAAGGCCATGACAATCTCCATATCGGCCTCAGAGAGGTCGCGACCCATGGATGTGCGAGCAGCCTTGATGATGGCAGTCGCAACAGCCTCATCATCGTCGACGATAGCGGCAAGGTCGTGGGTATCGTCGTCGGTAAGGCGAGACTTGTTGCCGATCTCGAGAACAACCTTAGCGTACTGGTCGTTGTTCTGAATAATCTTCGACAACTCAGGGAAGTGCCACCCGTAGTTCTCACGAAGGCGCATGCAGAACTGGTTCAGCTGTATTGTAGTCAGTGTGTGTACTTTACGAATCGAAATTGATCGCACTCACGTCCTTGTCGACCTGGTCGAGGGTAGCAATAGCCTGAATGATGTGGTTGTCCTGCTTGTTGACGCTGAACTTCACCTTAGCACGAGAGTATGCGTGACCGAGACCAAGGATGGAACGGTCGATATCGCCGGGCTGGAGCTTCTTGATAAGCTTGCCGGAGTGCTGGCGGAGACCACGGAGAAGGTCAGAGACGACTTCAGAGGTTTGGGCGGTTTCGCAGGCGAGGTTGGGGAAGGCGGCCTTGATGCTTCCAGCCAGATTGCTTTCGCTCAGACCGAGGGTGATGGTCTTCTTCTTGCCAGCCTTTGGGAGATTGGTCTCGAGAGTCGCGCGCAGGAAGTCGGAGAGGATACCCTCAGAAATGTCATTGATTTCCTGGAGCGCATCCTGGGTTCCTTGGAACGGCGCAAGACCGACAAGCTCGACAGTCTTTCCGAACTTGTCAAGGTCCTGCACGGCCTTCTGGACTTCGGCAAGGCGGTTGCCAATGGTGTCGGGCTGCAAAATTACTTTGAAGACCTGCGCAGCGCATTAGCAACTTTATTCGAGCGGAAAGCTCTGGACAGCTTAACATACCGCATAGCCGATAGGGCTTTCGTGGAGGAGGTAGTCGACCGACATCGTGGTTGTCGCAAAGCTTGAATTTTGTCGCGATGTGGTGACGCGAGACGGTATCTTGCGTATGGTCGTGAACTGAGCTCTTCTGAATTGTGGTGGAAAAGATTCTGTGAGCTGGACCGTGCGGTGCGCTTGCCGGAGAAGACCCGGTCGCCGCTTCCCTCATTTTTGTGAGGGGACGCGCTCGGCCAGGCACGCGAAGCAGCAATACCCCACGCTGTCACCCTGCTTTCTTTCTTGTATTGTTCGATACCCTGATAGACCTCTTGCAATATGTCGGCTGCACAGTTGTTAAACCCAAAGGCGGAGTCGAGGGTATGCCCCTCATTGTTTGCAAACACTGGAGTCTAACTAACATTCGCACAGAGGCGCGGGGAAGCTCTTCAGGTGAACATCTCAGCCGGTGAGGGTCTGCAGAAGGTATGGAATTGTCGGGATGTTACTCAGTCATACAGTGCTAATCTTCTCTCAGGTCCTTGCTTCCAACCTTGGACCCCGCGGTACCCTGAAGATGTAAGCAGTCGTTCTGTGCTTGAGGAAAACGTCACTGATTATATGTAGGCTCGTCGATGGCGCTGGAGCAGTATGTCATGGTTTTTATATCAGCCTGCGGGTCGCTCTGACCTGCCATAGATCAAACTCACAAAGGATGGAAGTGTTCTATTGAAGGAGATGGTACGTACAAGCGCAGTCAGCTCCTGTTCGCAAAGTTAACTTTTTTGCAGCAAATCCAGAACCCTACCGCCGTAATGATCGCACGCGCAGCTACAGCACAGGATGATATCACAGGCGATGGAACAACGTCAGCAGTACTGTTGATTGGCGAGCTTTTAAAGCAAGCCCACCGCTACATCTCCGAAGGCCTTCACCCTCGTGTGATCACAGACGGATACGATCTTGCGAAGACTGAGGCGCTGAAGGTCAGTAGCACGCTGCAGACACATTCGACAGTAAAGACTGACAGCGTTATAGTTCCTTGACGAATTCAAGCTCGAGAAGGAAGTCGACCGCGAACTTCTGCTTTCCGTTGCCCGCACATCGTTGTCTACGAAGCTCGACAGCTCTCTCGCCGAGCAGCTGACTCCCGATATTGTTGACGCCGTCCTTGCCATCTACCAAGCACCAGCGAAGCCCGATCTGCATATGGTGGAGATCATGACTATGCAGCATCGCACTGCCGCTGACACACAGCTGATTAGAGGCCTTGCTCTGGACCACGGCGCGAGGCATCCCGATATGCCCAAGAAGGTTGAGAATGCATACATCCTGACTTTGAACGTCAGTCTGGAATACGAGAAGTCCGAAATCAACTCTGGGTTCTACTACTCGAGCGCAGAGCAGAGGGAGAAGCTCGTTGAGAGCGAGAGAAGGTTCGTTGATGACAAGCTCAGAAAGATTGTCGAGCTGAAGAAGGAGGTCTGTGGTGACGACCCCAAGAAGGGATTTGTTATCGTCAACCAGAAGGGTATCGACCCTCTCAGCTTGGATGTCCTCGTCAAGAACGGCATCTTTGCGCTCAGGAGAGCGAAGCGAAGGAACATGGAGCGCCTCCAGCTTGTCTGCGGTGGAACTTCACAGAACAGCGTCGACGACCTGACACCCGATGTACTTGGCTGGGCCGGTAACGTTTACGAGCACACGCTGGGTGAGGAGAAGTACACTTTCATTGAGGACGTCAAGGAGCCAAAGTCGGTCACACTTCTCATCAAGGGACCCAACTCGCACACCATCAGCCAGATCAAGGACGCCGTTCGCGACGGCTTGAGGAGTGTCTACAACATGATCGTGGACAAGAGCGTTGTACCCGGTGGCGGTGCTTTCCAGATTGCCTGTGCTGCCCGTCTCAACAGCGAGGAGTTCAGGAAGTCGGTCAAGGGTAAGGCGAAGTGGGGTGTCGCAGCCTTCGCTGATGCACTTCTCGTCATCCCCAAGACATTGGCTGCCAACTCCGGCCACGACATCCAAGATTCCCTAGCTGCGCTCCAAGACGAATACGCGGAGGGCAACATTGTTGGTCTGAACCTGGCTACCGGCGAGGCCATGGACCCCACACAAGAAGGCGTCTACGATTCTTTCCGTGTTCTCCGCAACTGCATAGCGTCGGCTACCGGAATCGCATCTAACCTGTTGTTGTGCGACGAGATGCTTAAGGCACGACAGATGGGGCGTGCCCCTGGTCCCGGCGACATGGACCAGCAGTAGTAGAAACGAATGTTACGATGAAGGAGCGTAAAAGCTCTATGACAGCACGAGGGACCAGGCTAGAGACAGGGCGACTTTGTTCCACTGCTACGCGTGGCTATGCTCTCGCTGCGTCATAGCAGTACAAATGAAACAATCTAATCGAAGCATGGTCCAAATTGACTTTGGTGCTTGTTATGATACGCGCAACTCTAACACATGCATTGGACTCCTTTGTGCACCTGCCCTCGCGTTCAGGCCGTCTGTCTGCTTTTTTGACATGCCACCTCAACTCGCAAAGACAATGGGGCGCATATTCTTATTTCATGGGGAGCAGAGGCAGTTTTTCTACGTTTGCAGATTCCTAGCAGATCTGCCGAAGTACCAAGAGCTGCCGCTCATTTGCAAGAGCCCCTGCATTGTGAGAGACGTACATGGCGCGATGGTATAGAGATGGAAGCGAGGCACGTGCCCCACCAAGGAGATTTACCTCGATCGCGGGGCAGACTTCAATTACACCTCCTCCCAACGATGAGCTAACACTTCTTGAGAGGGACGACCGATAACGAACAGTATAGGATATCTAGTTGATGCTGGTTCCTTCGCTACAGTACTAGGCAAGCGCGATATTCGACAGGGCCCGTTCGCACACGCACGGCCAAAATCCACGATTCGCAGGCAGCAGGCTCCAGAAACGCACCGCGCACGACCCAACGACCCACAGTACGAAATCAACCTGGTGCGTACGGAGAGGGCGGAAAGCTGCAACGCGACACTCGAAGGATACAGCATGTGCATTATATAAACCTATAATTTGCACGTTCTGTTTGTGCAGTGCGAGGATTTGTACGAACTCATTTCTTGCCTTTTACCAGAAGTGACCGCGACTCCCGCACAAAACTGCACTTACTCAATCTTTGAACCAAACTTCATGGGTTCAACCCATACCTTTTGCATTTTTGCACCTCCTTTCTCATTTTACAGCTCTCCTCGCGCTTTCGAAAGAACTCAACTGCATGTTTTTGCTAGTTTCACTCGTTGCGCTGCGATTTTTTGAAATTTTGCTTTAGAAGACAGATAGAGCGGAGAAATGAGGACTTGGAGCGTGCTGAGACTGCACGACCACTTCGATGCGCTCAGCTCTCCTTCACTCTAGTGCCCACCTCGCCTTATCTATCGATACGTTATCCGCTGTAAAAAGAGTGTCAGTCTCTGTCTCACGAACGGCTTTTGACAGCTGGTTGGGCGCTGCAATATCGCTTGACTTTCGCCGCCGTTTCTCTTGCGTTTCGACACCCAAGTCTCGATCTCAGAGCTACGTGAGCTTATACAGAATGCCAGAATGGCAACGACAGTAACACTCTTGTTATGTTGCATAGTCACAAGATTGTCTTAAAGAGCCCCTTGCAACTGCGTACGCTGCGGAAGGGAGCACCTCAGTACTTCTGAAGCCATCTGCTCTAGACACTGGCAACGGCAATACGACAATATATGATTGTCTACAGGTACCGGATAAGGTACGGCGCTCAAAGCGGTTCACAGGGCGAGACAGCATCGCAGGTGCCTACAACCTTCCATTTGTCGATCTCACATCAATCCCTCTCTCGCTCAACTCTCATACTAGAGCCTTGTACTATACATGTCAGTCTCCAAATCATATTCATCTTGTCAGTTGTTCTAGGATTCCTCTGCGGGCTCTGATCATCTGCGTGGCTCGCGCGACATCCCTTGCTCCAATACCGGTGCTTCCTTCGACACGTTCGGCCTCCCTTACCGGCTGATATAAGAGCTAGTTTTGGCATGAGCACACGCTGTAGAGATAGGCAAGCGGGGTTGACGAATATGGTTTGCATTGAGATGTGCAAGTCCGGCGCTGCGCAGGCACATGTCGTGCGCTTGCTACCTGCGATTGACTGTTCCGGCAAGGTGCATGTTAATGAGGCTCAAATATTGCCTTCAAATGAGATTATTGACATGCCGTTCTTCCAAGGCAAGGCGTCGAGCGACTTGACGTTTCAGATCTGGCACTCTCATTTCTGGCCAATTTGGTGTTTCGCCTAACACAAACTCATTTAAGTCGACCGCTACCCCGCCTTGAACGCTCCCTCGACAAACGATGCTCTCATCTGCTAACATTGGTGGACGCCCTGGCGGCTCATCATAGTAGACCGCTGTCTGTTGCACCCGGAGACGTTCGCAGTCTAATTGCCAAAGTGAAGGTGGGATCGTAACTAGTGACTAGGCAACATTGCGACTCGAAAAACACATTTGGAAGCATCAAGAGCTATTGTTTCGAAGCGAGCAGACTCACTCTCACCTACTGACATCGCGGTTGCCCTGGCGGTGATGCCAAGAACGCAAGGTCGACGCAGGTACAAACAGTCGCATAACACTCGCTCCTCCCTTGCTTGCACCCCCGCCACCACACTCTTTACGCCCTCGTCCTTTCTGCACTGGATCTCTTCAGCTCGGCTCAGCCGTACACGCCTTCCTTTCACTCCAGCTGCGGGCAGTCAGTCACTCATTATCCAGGATCCTTTGGCGTAAGCTGCAGCTCTACACTTTTGCACGCCAAAACAACACCGCAAACACCTCGAGAACCATCTTTGCGCAACACAGTTACCTCGAGCATTTCATAACATTCGCTTCATCCTGACCATGAAGTCCATCCTTATTGCGGGTGCAGTCGCCGCGATCTTGGGCACTGCCAGCGGCCGTCCTCTGAGTACGTGTGGGCCCTCGATATCCTCAATGGAGTGAAGCTGACACCTGGCAGATTACAAGCGCGACTATGTCACCGAGGTTGTCTATGTCACGGAGATTGTCGCTGACGCTGTTGTCTATGTTGATCAGGATGGTGTGCCATACTCGACCTTGACCGTGGAGCAAACGACTGCGGCTACGTCTGTCGAGGCGGTCACTACATCTGAGGTGACGCCCACAAGTGTCTCAGTTGCCACATCTTCGGTAGACCTGGTCTTCGCGCCCTCGGCTGCTCCGTCTGCTCCATCAGCCTCTCCTACGACTGTGCCCTCGTTCTCTCTCGTGGCGCCCCAGCCTGAGCCTTCATCGGCCGAATTCAAGAGCGAACCTACGACAACCGCTGCAGTCACTTCTGCTTACACCCCAACATCACCCCCTCCGGTCAATACCCCGGCGCCGGCACCGGAGACGTCTTCCCCAGCGCCCGACCCTGCTCCAGCTCCTTCATCTGTCGCCCCATCTACTTCGTCTCCGGCTCCAGCAGTGAACGCAAATGCTGGTGACGGCCTCCCTACCGGTGTGACTTACGACCCTTTCACGGGTACCGAGGGCAACTCACGCTGCAAGACTGATGCCGAAATCACCGACGAGTTCAGCAGGATGAGTTCTTACAAAGTTGTCCGCATCTACGGTATAGGCTGCAATATCGTCCCACTTGCCGTGCAGAACGCGCAGAAGAATGGCCAGACGCTCATGGGTGGAGCCTACCTAAGCAACAAGGGCAACGGCGAGGATCTGAGCTCTGTCATCAAAACCTGGAAGGATACTATCGACCAGGATGCCAACGGCAGCTGGGACATCTTGAAGCTATTCTCTGTCGAGAATGAGCGTATCAACGACCATGATATGACTGCTTCTGAGGTTGTCGATGCCATTCGCCGCGCTCGCAACCAGCTTCGCAGTGTGGGATATAACGGACCCGTTGGTGCGGTTGAAACTGTGCCCGCGACCCTTGACAACCCTTCGATTTGCGAGGCATCCGACGTCGTCATGGTCAACTGCCACCCCTTCTTCGATCAGAACACCGCTGCTGAGGACGCGGGCACCTTCGTCAAGGGCCAGATCGAGCGAGTCAAGACCGCTTGTAAGACAAACCGCGTTGTTGTCACCGAGACTGGCTGGCCTCACCAGGGCGATCCGAACGGCAAGGCTGTTCCTTCACCCGAAAACCAGGCGAAGGCTCTCGCTTCCATCCGTAGCGAGTTCTCCTCGGATGTCTTCATCCACAACTCTTTCGACTCGCTCTGGAAGACCGACTGGGCCTCCTCCTTCAACGCCGAGCGTTACTGGGGAGTCATCCAGTAGAGATATTCTCTTTAACTTCGGACTGGCTTCGTAGGCAGACTTCTGATGCGCAGCTAGATTCTGCGTGTCACTCATCTCACATCATGCCCACCAGCAGCTTTGGACTGCGTAAGGGCGTGGCTGGCATTTCTGGGCCATTATGGATTATGAGGATATGCATCATGTAACATAGATAGTGATCAGACGACGAATGCATGTATGACACGATCGTATCGTGCCTATGATTGCGATATTGGTCAACTGCAATATGCTTGGGATGCCGATTTGCTCCCGTTTCCAATAGGGTTTGGTATCATCATATTGACTAACGCTAGCATTCAGAAGTGAGAAGAGAGTCTAACAGGTCATCATCACATGATCAAACAACCAAGTCTCTCCTACTCGGCCTGGGCATTCTTCCTAGCCGCCGCCTCGGCAACGCCCTTGAGCGCAGCCGGTGCATCATCCCACGGCATAACCAGCTCGACGAACCTCATCTTCTGCGTGTCGCCGCTGCTGAACTCGTCGTTGTTGAACAGCTCTTCGACCTGCTGCTTGCTGTCGACCCTGTACGTCAGGACGGAGCCCTTTGGCGCGCCGAACACGTCGGGCAGGTCCTTGTACTTCCACTCCTGGACGTCGTTGTAGCTGTCTTCCCAGCCGTGGATCAGGCGCTCAATGGTATACCCCTTGTTGCAGATGACGAAGATGAGGGGGTTGAGCTTATGCCTGATCATAGTGCTTACCTCCTGCGCGGTGAGCTGGAAGCTGCCGTCGCCGGTGAACAGGATGGTGCGCTTCACCCCGTTTTCGCGCGCGGCGAGCGCGGCGCCCTGGCACGCACCCGTCGCGTACCCGATGCTGCCCCACAGCACTTGGCTGATGGCGTTGACGCGCGCGGGGAACCGCGTCTCCCAGATGCCGAAGTTGGAGGTCCCCGTCTCGGTGATGACAATGTCGCTGGCTTGCAGGAACTGGCCCAGGCGCGGCCAGAACCAGGCGTGTGTGATTGTTGGTTCCGGGGAAGTGAGCTCCGCGCTGGGGATGTCGTTGTTTGGGTCGGGTCCTGCTTCGATGTTGAGGTTGCCTAGCTTTTGCGTGACTTTGGCCAGCACGCCGTTCATGCGCACACCGGGGTACTCGGAGTATCGGACCTTGACGCCGTAGCTGTGGAAGTCGATGGTGTTGAGCTGCGATTGCCGGATGGTGAAGCCTGCGGTGTTGAAGTCGGATTTTATCGCGCCGATGCAGAGGACGAGATCAGATGACTCGACGCGCTCGCGCACGCCTTTATTACTGCCGTCGCCCGCATAGACGCCGCCAAAGTTGGGGAGTGTTTCGTCGACGGCACCTTTGCCCATTGGCGCGACGAAGGTGGGGAGTCCAGACTTCTTGATCAGGTCGTGGGTCTCCTTGAGCGCGCGGTGGCGGATGGCGCAGGCGTCGACCAGGATCACGGGGTTCTTCGCGGCGTGGAGGCTCTTCAAGACGACGTCTACAACGTAGTCTTCGCGCTCTTGCTCGTTCGGCGGGTGGTTGAGGTCGAGTGGGGTGTTGAGCCTGTCGCCGTCCACCTTCTTCTGTACCATGTCGGTGGGAAGGGAGATGTACACTGGTCTCGATTGAAGGATGCATTCCCGGATGGCGTTGTCGATGAGTGTAGCTGCCTCGTGGATGTGGTTCAACATGGAAACAGCACAGGAGATCTCCTTGGACATCCTGGAGAAGACGGTGAAGTCGCCGTTGCCGAGCGTGTGGTGTAGAAGAGCGCCATCACGCTGTGACAGTGTTGAGGGGTAGCCGACAATGTGGACAATGGGGACATATTCCGAGTACGCTCCTGCAATTGCGTTGACAGCAGAGAGCTCACCGACACCAAAGGTAGTGACGAGAGCAGAGGCGCCCTTCACGCGCGCGTAGCCGTCAGCTGCGTAGCCTGCATTGAGCTCATTGCAGTTGCCGACCCACTTCAGGCCGGTCTTGGGAATATAGTCGAGGGCAACGAGGTTGTAGTCGCCAGGAACACCGTGGATCGACTCGATGCCGACTTCCTTGAGTCGCCGAAAGAGATACTAGTTCTTAGTAAGCTTGCTAGCTTGCCAACTTGGAAGTTTCACCTGAACATGTACTTACCTCCGCAACGTCAATTGGGTTCTTAATATCCTGTGATCTGAGGTCTCCAGCCATGGTGCCAAGTAAGACGATCTGTGCAAGCTTCGAGGCCAAGAACTAGCAGTGTTCTGATGTTGTCGAGTGGGTGTTGCGATGCTTTAAGGTCTTCAAGGTCTTCAAGGTCTTCCAGGGCTAGCTACGAGACGATGACATCAATCGGTTCCTGCCGGAAGGACCACTTCAAGCAGCCTCCTCAACAGAGTTTTGGATGACCACCTCAACAGAGTTTTGGAACACCACCACTGCATGTAACGCGACGTGGTTTAGCCAGGGACACTCGTCAGCTCATGGCGTGAGCGAGATGGTCTCTCCACCGCGATGTCAATCGAGAAGAGTGGTTGCAGGCGCTTCAGGGGAGTGCAGCCGCAACACGGCCGAGGAGCTTCGTGACATGACGATGGAGTGTCCGCTGTGGAAACCTGTCGCGATGTGTCCATCAGGGTCTTGCTTGTAGCACCGCTGTCACTTTGCACAGTACCTGTGAAGACGTCCGCCGAACCTGGACAGCAGCCTCCGCTGTACGCTGCAGAAGTCCAAGACCACGCGCAGCCGTTGACAGGCATTGACAGCCCCAGCTAGCTTGTCTCAGCGGCGTCTGTCGTGTGCGGGTCGGCACTGGTGTGCAGCATGGACGCGCACCTCGCTCGCAGCTGGGGTGCTGACCACGTCCATGGGCGCTGCAGCAGCTGAGGACGCAGGCTTCAACACCATTGTGCATGTCGCGCATGCTTGCGCATCTGACTCCACATCGTCGTTCAATAATTACAGTAACTACAGTAACCACGTGCCCGTCCAGCCTCAGCGTCGCATACGCGTATTGCCGTGCACGCGTGTTGCCGTGCCCACGGCTTTGTCTGGGCTGCACTGTAAGCGCCCGCCCGTCATCCAGAGGGCGCTCCAGCGGTTGCGTCCCGCCAGCTCTCCAGAGCACGCCTCTTGCTGGACACCGTCGGCCGGCCGCTCGTCTATCGTGGCTGCGCCGATCTCCCATCAGATCACTAAGACGCTGCCCGTTCATGCACCCGCCCGCTGCGCCCACCGAGTCCCCGACCCCAGACCGAACCGCTGCTCGCTAGCCCGTGCCCACTCCGCAGCCCACCGCAATCTGACAGGGAGCACGGAGCGTCCCAAGAGCCAGGCAAGATCTGCTTGCTGGTCTGCGGCGACGAGCCCTCGTGCGGCGACGCAGCCCGCAGACTTTGGGTCACCACATTGCCGCCCTGCCGCCCTGCTGCACTGCAGGCATGCTGCGATAGGGAGCTCCTGCACCGCGCACCGCCCCTCGACGCCCCGGCGATAAGCTCCCCTCGCGACACGCCACTCGAGGCCGCGCAGGAGGCCAGTTGCTGCCCAATCAGGCGCGCGCTCGCAGCAGCAGCAGCAGCAGCAGCAGTAGTAGCAGTAGCAGTAGCAGTAGCAGTAGCAGCAGCAGCAGCAGCATACGACATATACGACAGCCGCAGCAGCACTCGACTCCGGTCCAGCGCCTCGCCATGTACCAGCTCCCCCCTCCGCCTCGCCAGCCTGCGTCGGCGCCCGCCCAGCACATGGGCCTGCCGCCGCCGCCGCCGCGGCCCTCGACGGGCATGAACATTCCCCCTCCTCCCCACAGTGGCTACGGCGGCGGCGGCGGCTGGGGCGCTCCTCCACAGCAGCGTCCGCAGCAGCAGCAGCAGTACCCGCAGCCCGGCTACAACCCGAGCCTGTACCAGGGCTACCAGCAGCACCTGCCCCCGCCCCCCGGCCCGCCGCCGCTCCAGCAGCAGGTCGAGGCGCCGCTCACCTCGGCCACATACATACCGGACGGCGAGTCGTTTGGGCCCGGCGTGGGCATCCCGGCCCTGCAGTCGCACTCGGCGCGCCAGTACTCGGAGCCGACCTTCTACCGCGAGGACGGCTTCCCTCCCAATGCTGACATGTCAGGCACGAGCTTCCTCAATCTCCACGACAGCGTCCAGAGCATCCAGTATGGCTCCAGCATGCCCCTCGGCTTTCCGCCCCCTCAGAACCACCGCAGCCACCCTGCCTACGACCAGTCCGCCACCATGCAGAGCCACAGCGGCGCCTATCACCGCCCAGACGGCCCCGTGTCGCCGCCCATGGCCGAGCCGCAGTGGCCCGCCGAGACTGTGCAGCGCTGGCTGGCCGACCATGGCTTTTCAAAGGACTGGCAGGAGACGTTCAGGACACTGGGTCTGGAAGGTTCGAGGTTCCTCGACATTGGGCGGGGACACGGCTCCAAGGGCAACGTCGCCATGATGCACCAGGTCATCTTCCCGCAGCTCGCCAAGCAAACGACAGCAAGCGGCACGGGCTGGGACCAGAACAGGGAAAGAGACGAGGGCCGCAAGCTGCGCAGACTCGTGCGTCAGATTGTTGAAACCGGAAGCTCCGCGCCCGTGCGGGCTCCTCAGCGCACTGAAACAGGCACGACGGTGCCGAGTGCGGGCACCGACGGTGGTGTCGAGCATTCGCCTTTCATGCCACCCACCTTTCCGGGCTTTGGCTCGACACCCACCACAGCTGGAAACGGCGAGGAAAGCCCGGGCAGATACATGCTTCTGCACTCGCCATCAGCTGCTGGCCCCCCGCGACGAATCTCGACGCAGCAAAGGAACTTTACGGTGCCGACCATTGGGCCACCACCGGATTACTCCGACGGCCGGAGCGCTTTCTCCAAGGAAGTGCTTCGCGACCTAGAACCGAACACGAAACGACACAGCCCAAACGTCTCTGGTGACTTTGGGCCTTCAGCGTTTGAGTCACACCGCCAGGCGAGCCCACAGCACAGCCCGGCGCTGTCGTCTGCGCGACTCGCATCAAACGGAGGCCAGCTCAGTGCAGGAATTGCCGCCAACGGGCAACGTTACTATCAACACCAACATGCTCGTGGCAACAGCTCAGAGTCGAATCTGTCCACATTCGCAAACACCGGGTCAGGGCCGCCAACAGGACGCTCCTTGGTTGAAAACCGATCCGACAGCCGCAATGAGAACAAGAGGAATGCACATGAAGGCCCTCGTCCGGGGACTGGATTCTCGCGATACGACAATGCGGAACCACTGAGTGCCAAGGATCACCACAAGGGGTTCTTTGGGAAGATCATGGGCAGGGACAGGAAGAAGCAAGATAGCCACCCATCTCCAGATGACATCAGCCTAGACTCTCCGACAAGTCCAGCAAGCCACAGACACCACACAAGTGGTTCGTTCTTTGGCAAGTCCGGTATGAACTCCAGCGACACTTCGCTGAATGAGCGTCCTCCGTCACGACGATCTGCGCAGACAGATGCAGAGAGCCGTCTGTCTGGCCGAACGCGCAATTCAATGCGGGATGAGCGCAGATATGCTTTTGTCACACCAGATGGCTGGAACTACCGTTTGATCGACATCACCAATGCAGACAGCCCTACAGTTATACGCCGCATGTGTTGCGAAGAGCTGAGCTCTGGTCTCAGTCAAATGCCCGGAGTCGAGCTGTTCATGACGACACCAGGACAGTACGAACACGAAGACGCTCTCACCGACAGCAACCTCATGAAGGCTCGCTCACAGTTTGGTAACAAATTCGGTGAGCTGAAAATCTTTGTCCGGATACCGCAAGAGGGTACAAGCGCAGCTTCCGCAGGTCTCGGTGTCTCGGTCTCGCAATCGAATGGTCTGGACGCCAGCTCTCAGGCTGGGTCCCCTGGTGGCCTGAAGTCGGGAGAATCGACTCTTGTACCTGCTCAGGCTGCAGCACTGCGCAAGTTGACCGAGAAGGAAGATCCAGACTCGGATCCCAGCGCAAGCCGACTGAACGTTGGCGGAAGGCCGACTGAGCCGTCATGGGCAGCCGGCGATGATGCTTCTGAGCAAGAGCGCCGCAGAATGCTCGAACTGGCTGCCGAAGAGCATCGCAAGGAGACCAAGCGCAAGCAGGAAGAGTACCTCAAGGGCCGCATGGCACGATTGAAGGGCAACAGTCCCGATCCCATGTCTTCGTCTGGCGACAGTCTTGGATTTAGAAGTGCTGGCGTTATTGACTTTGACGAGCCGCGCAACTCTCCCTATGAAGAGATTAAGAAACCTTTCGAGGCTCCAAAAGCCACAAAGGAAATCGTGCCAAAGCGAGCGCCACCGCCCGTACCAGCTGACACAACAACACTTCTCAAGGCTAACTCGCTATCAAGAAGCAAAACTCGTCCGCCATCGTGGCCAGAGGGTGACGATGTATCGTCCAAGCGAAAGTCAGGTGACTCTGAATCTGCCAAACGCAAGGCAATTCCGCAAGGTCCAAGTGGTCTTTCAAACATCGCAGCTGCCATCATTGGAGCAGGTATTGCTGGTGGATCTGTTGGAGCAGCCAACAAAGCACTTCCTAAGCCCCCACCAAAGGGGGAGATGCACGACTCTTCACCTGAGAGCATCCGTCCTTCTCAGCAAGTCCTGAGGGACCGCGGATTTGGAGGCGTGGCTGGATCTGGCAGGAGCAGTCCAGGTGGGTCTCCCCGCAGCCCCGGTGATTTCACCATGAGCAAAGGCAACATTCCGTTCAAGATTCCTGACTATGTCGAAGCATTACAAGACGAAGTGGCTTTTGATAAGCCTAGTCTCACGCTGGCAATGCCTACACCACCTCGCCCGGCCGAGGACAAGGAGCAGCGGCCATGCTCGCCGGACTTTAGCCCCACATTTGCTCGCGCGCCTAACAATGCGCTCACGCGAGAGTCATCTAGAGTGTCCATCTATGGACCAACACACGACTTCGAGGAAGCGCGTGTGTCCTTCCACAACACCACATCGAACCTTGATTCCGCCAATTCTGACGACGATGATTCCGACGATGGTCTGTTTGCTGCACCACTGGCTGGTCGTAGCCCTCCAGCACCAGCAAGGACTGTGTCAATTGCCAGGAACACCAGCGGCCATCGCGCACAACGCCCCAATCTGAAGCTCAAGACATCACGTTCGAAGAACTCGCTCGCTCAGGTGGCGGAACAGCAGGAACAAGCCCCAGCGGATGACCGACAATCGCTCAGCAGCGAAAAGATTCCTGAATCGGCTACATCGGCAGCGTACACCGACTCTCCACGCGACGAGCCCGACTTCAACCGTCGCGATTCATTCGCCAGCAATGTGTGGGCCAACCGTCCACCTGCCGAAGCCCTCGTGGACCACCTTGACGAGCTCTTCCCGAACGTCAACCTCGATCAGCCGATGCTCGAAGAAGATGAGACGGACTCATCGGACCCACCTACCGATTCTTCAAATGCGTCAAATGCCAGCACTGGAACCTTGACACCAATGTCCTCGCTCGATACGCCTGCTGCGCCTGCGAATCAAACCTTGAGTCGAGGGCAGACTGGCCTGCAGTCTATCGCCCAACGGAACATGCGGAAGTCTGGTGTCGGTCTTGGGCGCACGAAGTCTATTCGTGAGGTCGTCAAGTCACAGTACAACCCTCATAGAGGGCCAATGCCAGGCCAGCCTGTACCTACAGGTCCCTCTCGAGTCGCAACACTCCGCAATGGGGGCGACATTGTAAGAAGGAAGTCGACTAAGATGTTCCACGCAAGGATCGAGCAAGTGAAGCCGTCAAGAGGATCCCGACTTATACAGCTGGAGACAATCCCACAGGACACACTTCCCCAGATGCAACGGCAGCCAACATTCAAATGGATGAAGGGTCAACTGATTGGCAAGGGAACATTTGGTCGTGTATACCTCGGTATGAACATCACCACCGGTGAGCTTATCGCAGTCAAGCAAGTCGAAGTCAACGCGAAAGCAGCCGGATCAGACAAGGACAAGATCAAGGAGCTAGTCAAGAGTCTCGATCAGGAAATCGACACAATGCAGCATCTCGACCACCCTAACATTGTCCAGTATCTCGGATGCGAGCGCAAGGAGTACAGCATCTCCATCTTCCTCGAATACATTTCCGGTGGCTCGGTTGGCTCCTGCATCCGCAAGCACGGTAAATTCGAAGAATCCGTCGTCAGCTCACTCACCCGACAAACCTTGCTCGGCCTCTCCTACCTGCACCGCGAAGGCATTCTGCACCGCGACCTCAAAGCCGACAACATTCTGCTCGACCTCGACGGCACGTGCAAAATCTCCGACTTCGGCATCTCCAAGAAGAGCGACAACATCTACGGCAACGACGTCACAAACTCCATGCAGGGCTCCGTCTTCTGGATGGCGCCCGAAGTCATCCGGTCCCAGGGGCAGGGGTACAGCGCCAAAGTCGACATCTGGTCTCTCGGTTGCGTCGTGCTGGAGATGTTCGCCGGCAAGCGCCCGTGGAGCCGCGAGGAGGCCATTGGCGCCATCTACAAACTGGGGTCTTTGAACCAGGCACCGCCCATTCCTGATGATGTCAGCAAGAACATCAGCATCGAGGGCTTGTCCTTCATGTACGATTGCTTTACGATTGATCCGACGGAACGGCCGACTGCAGAGACGCTCTTGAGGGCGCCATTCTGCTTCAGCGATCCGAATTACAATTTCTTAGACACAGCGCTGTATGCCAAGATTCGGGGCGCTTTCCAGTAGACTGCGGCAAATTTCTTCTTGTCTTTCGTTTCTACGTGTGTATTTCAATAAGATTATATACCCCTCTTTTTGTACCTTCCTTCAGGCCATTCACTGGGTCGAAATCTTTGTTTCTTCAAGTAGCGTAGACGGGACCGATGTTGCCAATGCCAGTTCTGTTGCCACCAAGATACGCTTGAGTGCGTCGATCGTCGTGACGTGAGACAAATACCACACAGCTCGTTCTCATCTCGTCCCGCATCATCTCAACTTCACACTCGTCATCAATAATCATCCTGTTCTATCACGAAAGCAATCAGACTAACAACGCACGCGGCAGTAGATTGTCGAGATCGCCGTCAAGGCTCAGGTTTAGGCCGAAACCACGTACGCCTCCATCGACTTAGCGTACAAGAATACTCACGAGCCTTGCCTCCTGCGCAGGTTCACATGCGACTTGTATGCTCTGACAAGATGTCCAGAGTCCCTTAAGGATGATGGAAGCGTATCGCGCCTGGTTTGATTGATATGGTGCAGTTCTGCATCGCGAAGAGCAGGCCAAGCGGTAATGCGGACGATGTGTGTGTATGATAACAGCTGAAGGTTATGTAGAGCTTGAGGATTATGGGAAAGAGTCCGTGAGGCACACGACAGTCTGAAGGTTTTCAAGAATTCGGCTACTCATCTAGGGATGCTCGCAACAAGGGCTGGATGAAGGGCACCAGGTTGATGCATTGGAGGACCTGGACGAGAGAGGAGCCCGCTGTCCCACCACACGTTAGCAAAGCTTTCGCGCACGCGTCGCAAGTCAGCATCGAAGCAAGGTCTACTCGCGACATACTTAATCTGGGGAACGGTGCAGAAATATCAAGACAGTGGTCGCCTGAAGTCAGGCCGAACGCGCTCGCGACCATGTCTCAATGTAGTTAGAAACTCTCTAGTGTATACAAAAGCGTCGAGTAATGTATCATTAGCATCCACGGATCTCACTCCACCACTGCACGATCAACGAATTGAAAACGGAGAATGCTTTCTGCATCCACCCGGTTGATGGGATTCAGACACAATTGCGCGATAACGTCTGTTAGGCTAGAAATGGCGCCGACGTTTGAACATGCACCGCGACGTGCGGGTTCCGAAGACCCCGACTTCCCACGTTTTGCAATATGTATATGAAGCCGCAGCCCCTCAGCTGAATTCCAACACCCCTCCTCTTCGGATCTCTCCTGGCCGTCAACCAACATGGCCGAGTCCGCTCCCCGGCCCAGCATCTTGACGCCAGCGACAACACCTACCACCCCCGCGCAGAAAGCACCACACATCCAGTACCAAGCGACGACGCTCCGCAACTGGCACCGCAAAATAAACTGGCTCAATACCACCCTCGTCGTCCTCATCCCGCTGCTCGGCCTCGGCCTCGCAGCCCGCACGCCCCTCACCCGCCCAACCCTTCTCTGGAGCATCGCATACTACTTCTGCACCGCCTTCGGCATCACCGGCGGCTACCACCGTCTGTGGTCGCACAGATGCTACTCGGCGCGGATCCCGCTACGCCTGTTCCTCGCCTTTGCCGGCGCGGGCGCAATCCAAGGCAGCATCCGCTGGTGGAGCGCAAACCACCGCGCCCACCACCGGTGGACAGACACGCTCAAAGACCCCTACAGCGTTATGCGCGGGCTGCTCTTCAGCCACCTCGGCTGGATGGTGCTGAGCAGCGACCCCAAGGTCAAGGGGCGAACGGACGTGTCGGACCTCGACGCCGACTGGGTGGTGGCGTGGCAGCACCGGCACTACGGGAAGTGTCTTGTCGTGGCCGCGTGGCTGTTCCCCAGTCTAGTCGCCGGCCTGGGCTGGGGTGATTGGTGGGGCGGGCTGGTGTACGCGGGCATCGTGCGCGCGTGTTTCGTGCAGCAGGCGACGTTCTGCGTAAACAGTCTCGCGCACTGGATTGGGGAGCAGCCGTTTGACGACCGCCGATCGCCGCGCGACCACGTGCTCACCGCGCTGGTCACCATGGGCGAGGGCTATCATAATTTCCACCACGAGTTCCCTAGCGATTACCGCAATGCGATCATCTGGTACCAGTATGATCCGACCAAGTGGCTTATTTTCGCGTTCAGCTACATCAGCATACCCGGGCTGATGGGCCCGATGGCGTACGATCTCAAGACCTTCCGGGAGAACGAGATTGAGAAGGGGAGGCTGCAGCAGCAGCAGAAGGCGCTGGATAAAAAACGGGCGAAGCTGGACTGGGGCATGCCTCTGGCGCAGCTGCCTGTCGTGGGCTGGGACGATTTCAAGGCGAGGTGTGCAGAGGGCGCAAGACTGGTGGCGATTGCTGGAGTCATCCACGATGTGCAGACCTTCATTGTTGATCATCCAGGCGGCAAGGCGTTGATTGCTGGCGCGATTGGAAAGGATGCTACGGCACTCTTCAACGGAGGTGTGTATGAGCACAGCAATGCGGCGCACAACTTGCTTTCGACGATGCGGGTAGGCATTCTGAGAGGCGGACAGGAAGTTGAGATCTGGAAAACTGAGCGGAGCAGACTGGAGAAGGACACCAAGGGTGCTGCAGTAGTGAGAGCCGGCGAGCAGATTACCCGAGTTGGTGACCCAATCGCTGCAGCTGTTGCTGCGTAGACGATTTATGAAATGAGACTTCATTCAGTGATGCAGTAACTCGCTATCGCAATGACTACTGCTGTGATGACATTGCTAGCTCGTCAATGAATGAAGAAGACAGCGTGGACTGGACAGGCGTCCAGAGTTCAGTGGCGACCGTACCGTATAGTGTGCTCCTCTGAATGTGTATTGAGTTTCAAAGCACCCTACTGCTCTGCGGCAGTGACAATAAGGGTATGTCTGTGGTCGAATGCGACACCAAACTCCAGCGCCAGTAATGCAAAAGCGCTCAATGCTCTCAGCCGCTCCTGACAACAATCCATCCGACCTTTTACGAACCAAACACAGAATGCCTCTTGCTTTACTTCATGGGGGATTGAAACACTGACAAAGCAAGTGCAGGTTGCTCATACATCTAACTGGTTGATCATATAAGTCACGATGTATGCCTCGGCGTTCAGCACCTCAGCTTCGTTTGCAAGGACAACTTTGCTGTCGTCAAATGCAAACCAATCGTTGCCCTCTCTCGAGTAGCTGACATAATGTCCCGAGTCGATCTTGCCCTTGTGCACGATGACCGACGAAAGCTCGTATGTAAGGCTGTTGGCCGGCGTGTTCACGTTGTAGTTCGTGTTCGGTATGCCCGATGCTTTCGCCGCTTTAGCTTGTTCTTTCTGCAAGGTCGTGTATGGGTAGAGTTCGAGCTTCATGGGGAAGTTGACTTTCGTCTCGATCTTCGAAGATTGCGCTTTCGAGTGCTCAAATCGCTGGAAGCTGTTAGTGTCTTTGATCAATGACCCTGACGATTAAGTCTACCTTTAAATGAATCGACAGGACAGGTGGCAGCCGCTTGATGCTCAGTTGCTTGATGGCATTTTGCGGGCTGTCGCAATTCCTGCATGTGTATTGCGCTGAGTCTAGCTTTTCCTTCGCAGTGAATCGGTCGAGGCATTCTCTCAGATCTAGCCCAGCTTCATCCGCTTTGTCAGCGCTCTTCCGCTTCTTCTGATTCCGAACGTCCAGGCTGAGGTCCATGTACGGATCGAGGGCAGTCGTTGTGTTGTGACACTTCTCACACGTGACAGTGCTTTGGAGCTTGCCATAAAAGGTCTTGTGGACGACGCAACCGCAGTCTTCAGAGTCTGCCGAGCCGCCATTCGTCAGGTGTAGGGTGTTCAGGAAGAATTGCATGTACTCGTGAGCATCCTGCTGTTGATACCCAGCGAGTGCCTAGGTATGGTCGTCAGCTCTGCCGAGTCGCAATGTGTTGTCTGTCCACATACCTCCCCTGCCAGCCAGCTGCCCATGAGCATGCTGACCGCGCCATAGCCCTCGGTCTTCTCCGCTGAGTGAAACTCGACGATCATCTCATCCAGGGCGCAGCTCACGCAAGACTCCCTTTCGCAGTCGACGGTTTTGTGTCCTTCTGCAAGGAAGAAGTTCCGTATGAAGGGGTTGTGTACAATCGTTTGTAATATGACGCTCATGAAGCAGGTCTGGCCCATGTTGTACAGTCCTCGTAGGCCAGTCGCTCTGCACGGTAGGAAGGTGGAGTTGGTAACGATAAGCTTTTCGTCGTCTGCGGTCAGCATATCTTCGTGCTTTCGTTTCTTGCCTATATATTATCAGCGGGATGGCCATAGAAACACATGTGCTCCCTGACCTTTCAGCAGCCGTCGAGTCTCCAGCTCGGGGTCGTAGATGAAGTCCATGCAATTCCCACAGTACACATATCCTTCGCGCGACTCAACCGCTATGTATTGTCAGCCCAGACATGTAGATCTGGTTCCGGGTACAACCCACAGAAGCAATGGCTCTTAGCATCAAAGTGCTGATCTCGTTGCTCGTCTGTCATGATGTTGGGGCATTGCAGGCAGAGGTAGAGCGGTCGGAGGGACACGACAGGCTCACCTGCCTCGTCGACGTATGTCTGCGCGATGACACTCGGTTTATCATGTATGAGCTGGAGGATCGATCGGTAGGATTTGAGGGTCTGATTGCGCGCATTCTCGAACATCTCGCCCATGTGTTCTGTGTAAGGTCAGCTGAGTTTCTTAGCCGGATCGGAAACACATACCACAGCCATACACGATATGTGCCTTCTGACTGCTAGGCACAATATTGCCTTTCGCATTCTTGATCACCTTCGCCGCAGCCAGCGCCGCCTTAGAGCCTGCCGTTGCGTCCATGGTGCGAGTTGAGGATGCGAGTTAGTGTGTTTATGTGTGTTCACATGGTGAAGTTCATGTGTGCGACCCTGGAGAAGTTGACCCGAGCGCTACCAAACGTCGAGGTTGCGCTCCTCGTTCACGCTCACGCGGCGACAGCTGTGGGGGAGAGCGGACCAGTCGGACCTGCATGAAGACAATGATCTGCGCCCCACTCGGCTCGACGTGCAGGGTTCGCGACAGATTGACCATGCCCATCCTTCACAATCTGGTTGGCAAGCAGAACATCTTTTGAATTTGCTATCATTAGTTGGCCGATGATTGGCTTGTGAAGGAGTGACAATGGCAGCTGTCAGAGTTGTACTACATACACCTACAATATAAACGATTTATTTTCCTTCTTCTTCACAACAATACAAATGACAACGTGCCAGAGTGGTTAATGGGTATGACTCGAACTTCTCTGCAATAGATATCATATGCCTTCGGGCGCGCAGGTTCGAATCCTGCCGTTGTCGTATTTTTAGATCTTTTTGCACATAGAGCAATCTTTCCAACGCATTTCTGCTCTTAAGCAAACACTTACATCAACTCCAGTCTCGAATATCGGCATGCTATGACTAATAGAGTCTTTGGTTGCTCTGCCCGTGATAGTATGGTTTCACTATTAGGTGTCTACATTCTTACACAAATGCAATTCGCACTGCGCAGGGGCGGGTACCAAGTTCTGTTTCAGGGACTTGAATAGAATCCCCACCTAGAGTGGTCAAATTAGCTACCAAGGCTTTTGGGGCTGCTTTTCCTGCACCTTTATGCTGACGTAGATCTTAGAAAATGACATGCATAGCAATGGGACATCAGACCTAGACAGGTGCTCGAGATCAGATACTCGGCACCTCCTACCTGGATTTCGTCTATCGTGTCTGGCTCGATAACCCCGACTTGGATTTCAAGAGGCACTTGTCTGGCCCACGACTATTGCGACTGGCTCAGATGTTCCAGACCGAATTGCCAAAATCACACATCTTGGATCAGCCTACTGCATTTAGCCATATTCCTCCAACTCAGAGTCTGGACACCAGTCATCTGTAACTCAATTCCTGTGTGGCTCAATACCGCATACTTGAATTCTTGATACAGGATATCTTGGATCAGCCTGTTCATGTGCCTCCAACTTAGATCCTTGGAACCATTCACCTAACTTTCGACTGCCACGCTTGGCTAGACGGCTTTAGCCCGGATTCTACATCACTTAATATGTCTAGTTATAGGGCATTCTACAGAGCTTCTATAACCTCCTATGCACCTATTTTAAGTAGCAATCAAGTAGCTTGTAATTATTAAGCATTACCTAGAGGCCTTTACGCACGAGAAGCCGCACGTAGTCACTAACGCAAAGCGCAACATAGCGTGTCGAGAAGATGGATTCGAATGGATTCGAATGGATTCAGATGTAGGTATTTGTACAAGGAAAGACCAAGCTCAGCCATCTCACAATACTACTCCACACCCACCGGTGACCGACCTCAGAAGTCCGTTTTCCTCTTAATACCTACAGCAGCAGCCCCACAACCACCGGTGGCCGACCTCAGAAGTCCGTGTTCCCCACTTTCCTCTTAGTACCTACAGTAGCAGCCACAAGGAGGGGTAGCTGCGGGTATATCCACTCGGTCGAAACTGTTGCGTTCGCCACAGCCTGCACTCACACCTCGTTCGTTTCTAACTTTCGAACGAACATAGCCAAGATGTCTTACCCTGTCACTGAGATTGCATACATACCTATCAAAGATGGAATCGACCTAGAATCTGGCGAGGGCAAGGGTATCTGGGATGCCACTTTGAAGACAATCGCGAGCCAGAAGGGTTTTAAGCGCCTCTCATGGGGCAAGCAGATCGAGACTCCACGCATCGCACAAATGGCCATTGGTAAGTCTTGCCTGGAGACAATGACCTCGTTGCTCACCCGTTGTCAGATTGGGAGACTCTTGATGCACACAAGGCCTTCGTTGCCTCAGAGCCGTACGGACCTTTCCTGGACGAGCTGGCACCAATCCTGGAAGGCACACCGCATCTCTTCCACGTCAAGCTACCTGTCCCTACTCAGGAGTCAGAAACGGCACCGTTCGATGCCCCAATGACCGAATGCATCAGCCTCTATTTCGATCCTTCCATTGACGGGGCCAGCTATGACAAGAGCTTCGCCTCCTTCGTCGCCGAAGCTGGCAAAGTCCAGGGCTCTGAAGCGACGGGTTTGATTGGTGGGTGGGGCGTTGAGATGCACAAGGTCGATAGTGACGGAGATGAGAAGAAGTTCTTCGGTACTTTTATTGGGTGGCCGAGTGTTGAGAGCCATATGGAGTTCAGGAAGAAGGAAGATTTCTCCAGCGTTGTTGCGCACCTGCGAAAGGGTGTTGAGAAAGTCAAGATGCATCACGTTGCCTTCAAGAGGTTTGAGGCGTAAGCGTACCAGTCGCGATGCCATCGCCCAAGGGTCTAGAGAGTCGCATTCGAGCGAGGTCGTGTTGTAATCTCGTCTTCAATGCGAGCCCTCGTGGTAATTTCTCCAGCAAATCGCCCTTTCCAGCCTTGATTGACTGTTTATTCTGCCGAATGGTCTTCGCAGCCTGCTGATAAACCAATGTAGAGTGCAAATTGGGCATCCGCGGCGCACGGCTCCTCGCTTGGAAGTGATCGGCGACTTTGAAGTTCTAAGTGACAGCCGTAACAGACTTCCGAGCCGGGGTGGAACCGAAGGCAGGGATCTTTCGCAAATTCTTCCTAGCACAATGCGCTCGAGCATTAAGCTAGATCTGTTGCGAAAGATTAAAGAGATGAGACGGACTGAGACTCAAGGCCGATCGTCTCAGTCATCAAGTGGGAGGAGACACCTGTCAGCCTGCAGCAGTTTTATTCAAAGGCCAAATGTAAGAAGTCCAGCTGACGAGGTCAATCATATCGCCGTATTGGGAACGGTGATGTAGGACAAATGCACCACATGCACACGCGACTTGCGGCTCGATGTTTCCCCGCGTCTTCCAGAACCTCGGCGTGGGGATGCTTGCATAAGATCAATCCTGGCAAGAACGAATTCGCGCGCCCACCTCGCCAATTCTGGTGTGTCCACCGGTGACACCAGACCACTTTGTGCCAAATCAATACTCTGGAACGCCAACGCGTATCTTAGTGTATCTTACAGCCTCACCACAGCCACCCTGCGACCAGAGCAGCCGCCGCGGTCCGCGCCTGATGAATCTGAGGCTTACTACATCGCCGAGACTTCCGTAATGTGACCGTCGTGACGTACGCATGGACGTCCTGCATTTGTTGGTGTGCGCGGGGAACTACCAGCACATTACACTTGCGGTGTAGACTAGGAAATGGCCTTGTGAAATGATGGTCTAAAGCGGCCGCCGGCGCCTTTCATGGCGCTGAGCTGACGGGTAAACGCAATTAGTGGGACCGTATCTGAGAGCGGGCCCGTACCTGGTGGTTGGGATACCTTGCTCGTCCGTGGGGATTGCGTGCCATGAACGTCAGGATCTGTAGTGAATAAAAAGCTGAGACCCGCCTGGTTGTGATTTCGGAACTCGGTCTTGCCAATTTGTCGACAACATGCTAAAGCTTCTCGGCACAGCAGCCCTGCTCGGCGCAGCACTCGCGCAGAATTCGTCGTCTCTTCCGACAGTGGATCTTGGATATGAGATTCACCAGGCATCAACCTTCAATGTAGGTCCTAATACACCTGTAACGTAAGAAAGTACGCTCATATGCATAGCAAACCGGTGGTTTCTACAATTTCTCCAACATCAGATATGCGGCACCACCGGTCGGCCAATTGAGGTTCGCTCCTCCACAGGCGCCGGCCGAGAACAGATCCTCGGTCAACACTGGCACACTCAACAGGATATGCCCTCAAGCCGGCCCAGCATGGTCCGCGCAGGCCACAACGTTCCTGACTAGCCTTATCCTTGGTGTCCAGTACAACACGAGCAATGCCTACGTGCCGCCAGGTGCGAATGCAAGCAGCCTGGTCCCAGCTGCGGACCCGCAAGAGTCTGAAGACTGTCTGTTCCTGGACGTCTTCGTTCCTGAAGATGTTCTGGCCAAAGCAGGGAAGGGCTATGGTGCTCCTGTTCTTGTATGGATTTACGGAGGTGGCTATACCGGTATGTCATTTTCTTTCGAGTGTCAATTTGGAACAAACATCTAATTGCTCCTAGGTGGAAGCAAGAACTACAACCCTGCTGGTCTCATCGCTGCTTCTGGCAACTCTACGAATGGCGACGTCATCTATGTGTCTATGAACTATCGTCTGGGTGCGTTCGGATGGCAAGCTGGTCCTTCGTTCCAAGCGGAGGGTGGGACAGCCAATCTCGGCCTGTACGACCAGCGCTTCGCCCTCGAATGGGTACAGAAGTACATCCATCTGTTTGGAGGTGACAAGAACCGCGTCACAGTTTTTGGTGAATCAGCTGGTGGAGGTAGCATCATGCACCAGATCACAGCGTATGGAGGCCTCAAGGGAAATGCCCCGTTCCAGCAAGCGATTCCGCAGAGTCCTGGGTGGCAGCCAGTGCAGTCCAACGTCCAGCTTGAGGATACCTACCGCAAGTTCCTGAACCTCACCAACGTCACATCGCTCGCCGAACTTCGTGCTCTGCCATACGAGACCATTCGCCGCGCCAATGTACAACAGATCGCGTACGACACTGCTTGGGGTCAGTACGCGTACGGTCCGAGTGTCGATGGCAATTTCGTCCCGCAGCAGCCCGGACAGCTACTCGCCCAGGGTCGCTTCGACAAGGACGTCAAAGTGATGGTTGGTCACAACTCAAATGAGGGACCTCTGTTCACAGCCCCTTCGATCCAGTCTGATGCTGCACTCCGCAAGCAGCTCAACACTGCCTACCCGCACATGCCCAACTCCTCCGTCGACTACCTCACCAACGTTCTGTACCCCCCAGTCTTCGACGGCTCGCTCCCTTACAAGACTCAGTACGCGCGCGCTGTCCTGATCATCAGCGAAGGCGTCTTTACCTGCAATACTTACTACCTCTCCAAGGCCTACAACAATGAGACATACTCGTACCTCTTCGCCGTCCCGCCCGCATTTCACGGCTTCGACATTGCATATACCTACTTCACCGGCGGGGCTGCCAGCCTTCTGCCTACCGGTGTGACGAACCGCACCGTTGCGCTTGCGCTCCAGGAGTTCATCACGAGCTTCGCTGAGAAGGGCGTGCCTGAGGCTCCAGGCATCCCTAAATTTGACATGTACGGCGAGAACGCGAGTGTGCTGAGGCTCAACATCACCGGTATCGACGAGATTCGCGACTCGAACGCGAACAAACGCTGTGACTGGTGGCAGTTGGCCTTGGTATCGTAGACTATCGCGTTCCGCAGATGGCAAACAATAGTAACGCTGGGTACATGATCATAGACGCCTAATGTAATAATGTGCATACGAAATTGTGTCGCTTCGAATGGAAACACTGCATGCGAGGACATGACTGAAGAAGCTTCGAAGCTACAGGAGTCTCGTACATCAAGGTAGTTCAGTGAACCGTGCAGGAGCTCCCCATCATCAGAACGAGGCTGCAATCACCAGGTCCCTTCTCACGGTATTGCCCGACATCGAAGACGACCTCAACACATGGCTTCTCGCATGTGCAGAAATTCGAAGGCTCGATGTCGCGATCCAGACCCAATATTTTGGTCCAATTTGACGTCGAAGCTGTCTCGATTAGGTTAGGTGAGGAGGAGTTATGCAGCCAATGCGGGTAATGCATCATGGTGACGTAGTGAGCTTGCCAGCCACAAGCTCTCGAAACGCGTGAGCTAGAGCTCCCTTAAAGACTTCCAGCCGCACTTTGCAAGACCTCATCAACCCACACATTCAACTGCAATTGACACCGACTCCGTCAACCTCTCATCTTCCATCACCAAACAACTAACACACACACCACATATCACTATGTTCCGCTCTCAGATCGCTCGCCAGGCCCGCCTGTTCTCCACCACTCCCATCGCTCGCAAGAGCCCCGTCGAGACCATTAAGGACGCCGCCAAGGCTGTGGACAGGACAATTTCTAACGCCGCCGTCAAGGGCATCGAGAAGGGTGGTAAGTAGTCGCGTACCCAATGGTACTCGGGCATGACCTGATGCAATTGCTCGATGCCACGACATCAAGCATCGCACCCGTCGCCCGCGCACCAACTGCCATCAAGACCAATGCTAACAGCCACCATAGAGGAGGTCGCCGAGGCTGTCAAGGAGGCCACCCCCAGCACCACATCCGAGGCAAAGGAACAGGCCAACGAGGCTCTCGGTCAGGTCAAGGGCAAGGCCGCCGAACTCCAGGGTGAGGCCAGCAAGAAGGCCGGCCAGGCCCAGGGCGAGGCCAGCAAGAAGGCAGGTCAGGTCCAGGGCGAGATCAATAAGAAGATGTAAGGGGCTTGCATGAATGAAAGAGGAGGAACAAAGTTAATGAGCGACCTTTGATACCTTGGGATCCATCGCGGATCATGCGTGGCCCTTGTACGACTAGTTATTGCTGCTACGAATTTCACACATTTTCTTACTGAACCCATGCCCGAAACTACAACGTGGTGCGGACGTCCCAGCCGTCATAAAATGGTGCATTGTACCACAGTCCTGTTCGAGGCTAAGTGACCGCCGTCTATTACATGACTGGTTGGCACCAGGGATACGCTCAATTCACACAGCATCTGTCGCCACATCTTCATGGCATTCTGAGAGCGACCAGTCTCCTCTACCAAAACCCCGGAGGCATCCAACGTGGAGAAATACGCCACTTGTAACCTAAATATACATTTGGAGACTACAACTCTTCTGAGGCTTTTGTAGGTATCGGCGATAGATGCGGTAAGCTGCATACCCAACCAGCAAGCCAATGTGAGCCGACAATCTGTTGAAAAAGTCAAAAGCAAAGTTATGCCAGTGCGCCCTAAGCTGCGCCGGCATTCGGTCTAGCACAGAGCCAGGATCGCCGAGTATCAATTTCCAGTCAAGTTGCCTGGGAAGGATGTCGACGTGTAGCATACCGGTGGCGCAAAAGTCCACGGTATGGAAGCCAAGCTTAGTATACAGCCTTGCAATTGGCTACTGAGGTCGTTCATAACACCGTAAATGTGGTGCATGGTGCTCAGTGTGTTGAGTGTTGAATATGTCGAGACAAGTAGGAGGGAATCTCGAAACCCGCCGAAAGGCTTGACAAGGTGGCTGCGCTGGGAGCCAATGCCTTTAGGGAGGTGCACGTGGATTGAGTCCAGTAGCACCTCCTCTTGGTTGACTGCAGCGTCCCACAGGTCGTCCATCTCGGCATTTGTTGAAGGCCATGACGAGGAGTTGTCGCTGAAGACTGGCAGGCTAAGTCAAGGTGCAGCGGAAACATGTGCTGTGATGTCCCGCCGAAGCTGCGCAATTGCTGTGTGATCTGGCGACAATGCAGGCAGAACATTGCCGACAAGATGGAGGATATCAGGTGAGCTCAAGTCCTTGTTGAACAGCTCTCTGTCTGTCAAAGGAAGGTGTAATCAGATCTCACGCAAGGTCTCAAGTACGGCGGTGGAAGTAAGCGTGGTGATAGTGTTATCGTGGCGATGGGGTCTTGAGAGGTACAGCGAGGTATTGAGAGCGTAGGGATGAAGGCGCCCTCCGCATGTGTGTGATGAGAAAGAGAAGGAGCGATCGAAGTTTGAACGTCGTAACGGCGCCTTTCGTCCGGTACAAGTAAGAGAAGTGGAAGCGCGTAGGTGAGGCGTGACTGCTTATAATCGGCAGGCGAGATGTCGCGCTAAGGTAAGGTGTGACGGCTTACAGTAAACGGCAGGTGCGTTCTGTGTAGTAGACCCACTATCATGCAACAGTGATCGAACCTTTCATATCGTATATGAAGTCTTCAAGAATCTCAGAGGACTCCAGTCATCGCGCATACTGCCAGTCAAATGTCGAAGTAACCTCAAAGGCCAACACATCCGGATGCGCACCCGTACGTCGGTGACACTGGTACGAAGTATGTGGATGGAGCACGCTCGCCATACTCCCTCGGGCCAACATAACAACCCTTAGGAAGAAACCCTACCAAGTCACACGGGAGCGCTCTTTAGTAGCGTGTATGGTACGTGATTGACCAGCCGCCTTGCAACGACCGAACGACCGAAAACAGTAATGATTCACTAGTGGGTACTGGATTGCTACGTACGATAGCACCGCTAACAACGTCACTCGCACCCTCCCCCGATGCTCATGCTATGCCTTTATCCGGTGCTTACGCTACGCCTTCCTCCGATGCTCATGTTGTGTTGTCCCCTGATGCTCACGTCAAACCGGTGGGACATTGCAGACGAACTTTTGGACTGCACATTGGACCAAGATGAGCTGGTTGCAGCTGGTGCGTACATGAGAACGCTGCCTCTCACAGACGATGACTTATTCTAACGTCGTATAAGCAGCACTAAAATTACCGCTGCAGTTGCGAGAACGTTGTCCCAGCTTCCTCTTCCTCGCACGGGACTGGTGGAGCGAACATGAAGGTGTTGGCCGGGAGTTGTAGTTCCCAAAAGTACTTTTGGATTGTGTTGCTATAGCAATGGTAGCAAGCACAGCATTGTTGTCTTGTAGGTTGCAGAACGCTACTCTTTGGAAGTTTTCTGGAAATGTTGGTAGTATGCTGTTTTATGACGTGTATGCGCCAACTAACGTCAAGATTGACTAAGGAAGGCGGAGAAGCGAATATGTTGTAAAGTGGTAGTTGGCGTATGGGCCTCCCTGCATAGATTTCCTGCTTTTCTTTTACTAAAACGTTAGTCGCGGCTTTCGGTGACACGTAGTGACAGGCACGTGTGCTGCAGGTCTCTTATCAGCCCAGCCGCGCAGCTTCAGTGATATAACGGTGTCGAAGATGAAGCGACCTCGCATGATCGTCAAAGTGAGCTGATAGTGAGGCTAGATTCCTCATCACATTGATCGACATGTCAATTCGAGTCATATTGTGTGACATTTGCCTGCATATTATACGTGCGTTATAGTTGGACCAACTTTTGCTTTTCGTCGTGAGATTCCTTGCATCTACTAAGATAGCATGCAAGCGCTGAGGGGTATCGACACCAATATTCGCAGAGCTCTTACAATCCTTGAGCCTTATGCGATTTGCATGCACTCGATCATTCCAGACCATCCTTCCTTCCTCCATGGTGCAAGCACAATGGCTCTCTGTGCGTCACTCGCATCACCAGTAGCAGCCATTGCACCAGCAAGACCAACAGCGCCAAGCGTGCCATTCGGTGGCGCATTCCTCCTCGCATTCTCCTTGGCAAGCGTACTGGCGAACAAATCGCCACCAGCAGCATCGGCCAGTTCGGACCAGCCCATGTGCTTCCAAGGCGTGAGCATCACGCTTCGACGGGCTTCATCGAGTTCCTGCTCCTCGCCACCGAGACTGATAGAGATGGCCTCTACCACCTTTTCAATGCGTACGAGTTGCTCATCGCTGAGGTCCTTGTTAGTGCGTAGGCGGTCGAGGTCGTCCTTGATAACCTCCATGGTCTCGAGGTCGTCGTTCAGAACGGTCATTGCGCCAATAAGGGTCAGAATACCCACGTGTGATTCATACTTCTCTGATGCCGCGAACAGTTGTTCGCGCGCAACTTGTCTCTCGTTCTCACCACCCTTCGCCCATAGCACCTCAGCCAGAAGGCAGATGATGTCGGGATGGGAGCCAGTGGCCTCAAGAGATGTGCGGAAATATGGCAACGCAGCATCGAGTGCACCGTTGAAGTAGTGTGCGAGACCAGCTGTGAGACGAGCAGATAGACGAATTTTGTCAAGTTGCTCAGCGGACAGGATGGAATGGCTAGCATCACCTTCGAGCTCGCCGAGAAGATCCAAAGCAGTCTCAGCCTCTTCTATGGCAGGCTCGTTAGCACCCAGTGCCAGTTGATTACGTGCAAGGTCGGTCTTCGCTTGTACTATACGCGCAAGCGCAGATGTAGCCTCCGACCTCTCATACTCCTGCTCGGCAGCCTCAGACACAGTCTGAAGAGCCGACACAGACGCATCGTAATTGCCGACTCGTTCCAAAAACAGCGCTGCAAGATGCTTGTGCGACAGGTCATATGGCGCTTGACGGTTCAGTTGTTGAAGAGCGAACAGAGGCTGGATCAAGTCGACGACTGCGCTCGACGAAGAGGGTGATGAAACGATGTGATCAAAGGCGGAGACAGCGTACTGCCGCTTGGTTAGGAGCAATGATGAGTCAGACAACTCGAACGCATGCGTGAAGTGAGCGAAGGCGTCGCTCTCCTTGCCACTCAGCAACGCGACCAAGCCCACGCCGACCCAAGCCAAGGCATAGTCAGGGTCTTGCGCCTGTGCGCGACCAAACGCTGTATCAGCTAGCTGCAAATCGTTCTGCAGCAGGTAGAGTGTGCCAAGATTTGTCCAGACGCGGACATTGCGATCGTCAAGATGCAGCGACCGGACGAAGGCATGTTGAGCGACCTTGGGGCTGAGCGTGGTAGTGATCACCCCAAGGGAGTTCCAGAACTCAGAGTTGCCAGCCTCAAGCTCAATGGCACGCTTGAAGCACTTCATTGCTGCTCGCAAGAAAGTCGTGAGATTCTGTCCATCATCCTCTTCTTGTTCCAAGCAGACATGGGCGCGGTACTCAGCCCAGCCAAGGTTGTACCATGCTACGGCTTGTGCGTGAATGTCATGTTCGCAACTGGCAATTGCGCGCTTTTGGGCGAGGATTGAAGCTTTCAGCACCCTTGACAAGATCGACGCTTCGCTTGACGAGATATTTGCAAGATCGTTCTTGCCAATTCCGTCGAGGTCCTTGTGTGCATCCAAGTTCACTCCGACATCTGACTTACTCTGCAGTAAGCGCTCGACCTCTGCGGTAGGAAACTTCTCGAGCTTTTCCTGTACCCAGCTGAACAGACTGCAGGCGTCTCCGACGGCCTTCCAGAGGTTGAATGCATCAGGCTTGTATTCTGCGACTGTGTTCGCGACTTCGATGACTCGGATGGCGCTGCCAATCGCCTCGCCATAGAAGCCGGTCTCTATACAATGCCATCCCTTCTCCACTAGAGTTTGTATGAGGGCAAGGGATACTCCGAATTCCTGGGACCGCTGAGCCAACACGGTTTCGTAGCCCTGAAGCGCTTCGTCGAATTCGCTTAGCTCGCGATTAACGTTCGCAAGCATGTACTTTGTGAACCAGCTCTCATCTTCCGTCTGCTTGAAAGCTATACCATCAGTGGGATTCTCGGCGTAGTTGAAAGCGCGTTGTGCAGAGTTGTAGCGTCCAGAGTTGTGATAGCTTTCGCCGAGCCCAACATAGGAGTAGTAGTCATCCGGACTGATACGCAGAGCTGATAAGAAGGATATAATACTTTGCTGGTATTCCTGCTTGTTCATCTGAACAACACCCAGCGCCGAGAATGGCCAGCTGACGCCCCTTTTCTTTGATCCAGGTGTTGACTTGGCCTTGCCTGAGTCGACGACTCTCTGCGAGACGGCTTCGACGATGTCCCACTCGCCTTGATTGGCGAAAAGGCGTGCTAACCGCTCAGCTGCGACGATCTCAGAGGGTGAAAGCTCAAAGGCCTTCTGGAAACATTGCCTGGCTCGTCTGCGGTCTTTATTGTACTCTTCGTAGAATATGCCAAGCAGAGTATAGGCAGGAGCAAGGTTCGGGTTCGCCTTGATGGCAGCAAGGAGCTGAGCGTAAGCTCCCTGACGATCTTTGCGGGCAGCCTTAGAAGAGTCAAGTTCCCATATGCACACAGCTATCCGATACAATGTCTGTGCCCTTAGCTCTCGGCCTCGCGGCTTGGATGCGTCCATCTGAGGGTGGTCTAGGTAGCCCCTGAGCTTGTCGAGTCCGGTTTGATAATCGCCTGCAAGTGCCAGGCACCATGCTGCTTCTGCACCAATGCGACCATTGTCGGGATCCAGCTTGAGGGCTTGCTCCAGGAACTCTGCGGCTTCCTTGTAGTCCTCGTCCTCCTCAAGAATCAGGCCAAGGCCGATCAACGCAGCTGTGAACCTCGGTTTGCGCTTCAGGATCTCTTGGAATATCTGCTTAGCTTCCAAGTGATTCCTCGGCGCCTGGTAGTACACAAGTGCTGTCGCAAGAGTACTACTCAATGCATCGCGCGTGCGTTCGAACGAAAGGTCCGTCTTCTTGGCTTCTGCTGTTGCGAGTTTCAAGCCTTTCCTTGTACACTCAACTGCACTTTCATATTCTTCTAAAGAAAGGTAGAAGTCACTTAGAAGGACATGTGCGAGTAGCGATTTTCTAGCCTCGAGGATTCCTTCCTGGTTGATGGTCAGCAAAGATTGCTCAACAAACTTTACGCTTTTGCTATGGCGTCTCCAGGATGCGGCATTCAACATTGGAAGAAGAAGACAATGAGAATAAGCTTACTGTCATCAAAGCCAGACAATCATCTTGTGATACAGGTATATCGACACTGAGGGATACCCCGCCTTCGCTGAGATCTGGCGCATCCCCCTTCTCTTGTGCTAGCGGATACTTCGATATGCCGCTGCTAAGATAGCCTGTAATGACTTTTGCAAGCCCGTCGGTCGGGAAGAGCTCGACATATTGCCGTAATGTGCCAATGTCGAGATCCAAATGGTCGTGCGCACTGTCCGCATGTGACGCCATGACTGCTGAAGTTTTCGAACCCAATTCTTCCCGAATACTGAACTCCGAATGATGCAAGGACGCAGAAAAGCGAGCTTCTGATGTTGCTGACTAAAAGGAACGACGGCAGGGCGGATGGTTGATGTTGCTGCGCGTGGAGAGGGCGAAGTGATGTTTGCGTTTCCATAGGGCTGTCGCGCTACGGTAGCGTCCCTGCGTCATTACCTGCTCTCCGATGTTCGACGCGCCCCACCTCGCTTTCACCCACTACTAAATGGCATATACATAATACCTATTCCGTCGTATCGACGGCCCTGAAACAATACAAACACTCGTCCACATCGTCATGTCTACTAAGGCTGCGCTCAAGGCCGCGAAGGCGGCGATCGATTCAAAGAATTGGGAGGAAGCTGTCGAGCAGGCCAACGCTGTGCTTGAGAAGGACCCCAACAACTATTTCGCGAAGCTGTTCTTAGGGCGCGCCAATGACGGGCTGAGTAAATACGACGATGCTGCGAAAGCATACAATGACGCGACAAAGATCAAGCCGGAGGATCCACAAGCTTGGCTTGGGCTGAGAGGCATGTACGAGGTGCTAGGCGGGCGAAATGTCGAAGAGAACACCAAGGTTGGCCTGAATTTGGCAGGGATATATGCGAATCTGTAGGTGCATGAGTAGAAGCTTAAGATACTGTACTAACACCACCAGCGACGATGCGCACCGCAGCCAGTCGGCCGTCGACAAGCTCGTAGACCATGCCCGCAAGCACGGCACAAAAACGCAATACGCACGCGCACTAGCCACTCAACTGCCCTCATCACCTATATACTCATACCTCGAAGGGCGCCTGCCTCAGCCCTCGGCGACGCTGACGCGCATTGCCGAGATCCACGAAACCCAAGAGACCGCCACGATCAAGAAGCTGATTGACGAGCGGCGCTTGCGCCTCGGCGCAACCCTTGAGACCACCACAAGCACCGTAAAGAATGAGGTCTACAGTGCCAGCCCGCTGGAAGGGATATATGAAGAAATCATCAACTGGACGAACGATGACGAGCTGCGGAGAGAATACGAGGAGAAGCTGTTGGAGCGCGTGTATGACACACTGCTTGTGCTCCCTGCAGGCGCGAAGGAGGAAAAGAGGCAGAAGGTTCTGAAGCTAGCGCACGATATGGTGGTCATCAAGCACCCGTACCATCTTGCATGGCAGATTGAACTGGAGTGGCGGTCAGGGTTGGACGTAGAAGCCTATTAGCACGAGGTCCACGGTCTTGAGAGGTGCCTCCTTTGAATTCTCATATTCACAGCATTATCAATCAAACAATGTCAGACAAACTCCAAACTCCGTCTATGCAGCTCGTCCCTCCCCATGCATCCATCTAGACTCATGCTTTTGCCGCCCCAATAGCCCTCCTCTTCTCTTCGGCAGTGAACAGACTCTCCCCTTGCTTCAGCGCATGGATAAGCATAGGGATACTGTTCGCCTTGAAGTCCTGGGCTGAGCGCACTTTGTCCAGATCGTCCGCCAGCTCCGTGGTGATCTTGCGGATGTAGATGGCGTCAAAATCTTCATCTACTTTACTCTGCATAATGGCAGCAGCTGGTGCTTGGATGGGTGCGGGAGGAGTGGAAGGTCGGCGCATTGAGACATCTTCTATTGATGTGGTGGCTTTGGACTTCTGCTTTTTCGATGTCTTGGCGAGTGCTGAGGCTGGCTCTGGTGTTGATTGGTCGGACTCCTCTTCGCTGGATGGGCTTTTCCTGATCTTCTTCTGTTCTACTTCGCTTTCGCTAGACGAGTCTGAGGACGACTCCGAGGACGACTCCGAGGATGAGACTTCACATAGTCAGCACATTGCGCGCAAATGTCTGGAGTCGTGCGCACCCTCCGTTCTCGACTTTCTCTTTTTCGACCTCCCCTTCTTCTCGACAGCTCGCGATACTCTTTGTACTGCCATTTTGGTTGTTGTTAGATGAGGCAGAAAAAGTTCTAGATTTTGGACGAGTGAATTGATAGGCACCTTATCGGCACGTGCACGCTAGCGTCCTCGATACTGTTCTCTCGTCGTGCAAAAGACCGAATCCAAGTTTGAAGAATCGGGCATTATTGGCGATAATTCGCACAAGACCTGTGAGTGAATAGGGCTTCTCGAGACTGCAATCGGGTGTGTTGTTGTAGCCAGCTTTGACAATGACGTAAAAGTCTGCCCTGGAGGTTTTATGCTTTGTGCTCATCGCCTCAGCACGGAGTACCCGGATTTGGAGACTGCTTCGAGGTTGCTGGATGCTACCGGTCGTGTTCTGCCACTGGGTCCATTTAACCCTCGGGATCACGCTACATCAGATTATATCTACATTATAAACATTTCAATTTTATAAAATATTATAACAACAATAAACGGTTCGATGGTGTAGTTGGTTATCACGTCAGTCTAACAATCTGTTGGTTCACTGAAGGTCTCCAGTTCAAGTCTGGGTCGAATCATTTTGCACTTCGAGAATCGACGGCCGCAAGGCGGTGAGGGGCTATTTTTTGCGCCACTAGCCCCTCTCTCACGATCCACAGACGCTCTCAAATTGTAAGAGACTAGATACAAGCTTTCAGTCTTCGCTCAGTCGGTCTCGATGAAGACATGCAATGCTTGCACTACGCAATTTTTTGCCCCATAATTCCCAGCAATGATGCTTGTAGCCATGAGGATTCTCCAAACGACGATTCCAACTGGCACCGACAGTTCGACTCCACCGGTGTACGTAAAGTTGACATAGTGGCTGGAGTATCGTTCGTAACATGTTCAACATATATGGTCGGTAGCTTGGGACCAGTACGGCCGAGGACTTTGGTCCTAACGGAGATCCGAGTAGTAGACAAACACGATGAGACCAGAGCCTCGTGCGTCTGGGATTCGATGTTGCCTCTCTCTCAGCGAGAATCGTCCAGATACTACATGTGAAGCAGCGCTCCACGAGATTGGGGCCTTGGCTTACTTTGATTATTGGGCATCGACTTACTTGATTGCCAGAGTAACCTACATGTAACTCGCGACGGTTTTTGTCTAGGTGCTCTTCTCGTCTGGGTGCTCTTACCTGAAAGTTTGGGTGTAAAACCTGTTTTTAAAGGCTGCTAATTTCCTAATCTGCAGGGCAAAATACCTAGATACTAGAGCTTATTGTTCTATTCTGAAGACTATAGAGCTTCACACTCTGCTTTATGGTAGAGACCTTTTTTCTGATGTAGATGCAACAGCTGCCCTCTTCCGCCTCCTTCTACCTGCCTTCTGTAGATATCCGCCCTTGCCTGCCCTCTAATCTCCCCGCCCCCATAATTCAGCAACTCGAGAGCAAAAATGTAAGGTTCATCACGTATTCTGCCTCCTTTCGTAAGGAACAAGGGCTTAGCAAGGAACGTAAAGATTACAAAGAAAAAGGAGTTCATTCGGAGGCTTAGCAAGGAATCGGGAGAATAGAATACATTACCTAGAAAGAGGGTACCTTATCCATAGAAAGAGGGCAAGTGGGGTCGAGAAATCAGATTTGACACATTTCCGTCAAATACATTCAAAGTCAATGCATGTACATCTTGTAAATAAGTGGCTCAAAGTAGGGAAATGATCTTAGGCAGCTTCTCCATCGGCCATAGTGAACGCAAAATTACAGTGCGGTACAGCCTCAGATTCAGGCGTCTTCTTGGTGTCTTGTGGCAGGTACACCCTAGCCTTTGGTTTTAAAGCTGGTGCTGATCTCTTCTCTGCCGGGGCTTCCTTCTGTTTCGACTTGTCGTCTCTGCCGGGGCTTCCTTCTGTTTCGACTTGTCGTCATCCTTTTTTCGTGATAATGCGAAGAAGGGCGAGAAATCATATTGCCAAAAACGACAAGAGATCGTTAGTGCAAAAGATTATTGGAAAGATCGATAATGAAGTCGTATGGGAGGACCAGGCTCTCAGACTTCATCCACTCTGCTGGAACACTGTCGGCAAACAGATCAACAACGAGCTTTCTTGCTTGGCTTTCGCCAGGGGTACCTTCATAGAGGCTTCTCAAGGTGGTAACGTTGAAGCGGTGGCCGAAAACACGTTCTTCTTCAATCGTTGTAGGCATTTTGGGCAAGTGTTCGACGGCGAAACTTTGCATCGCGTCGATGATGCGATTCTTCGCCCACGAGTCTTGAAGGCTCTCCGCCAGGATGTAGACATCGATCAATGACTGCCATTCGTAGGGCAAGCTTCCTGATGCCACGAAGCCAGTGTAGGTGAGTGCAGCATACGTCTGAAATGCTTTGGGCTCGTTCTCCGCCGGAGACACCGTGCGAGTCGTATCATGGAGCCACTCTCCCTTCGTTACGCATTTGAAGAAGTCGGAACGCGATGAAAACAGGTGTTAATGAACCCAAAACACCTGTTGCTGATCACCCTTGCCAACAACAACACGAAGACATGTGCTACTGATGCTGGTTCAGTCAGATACAGATCTGTCGTTGAGCTTCATCTGATCCACTTAAGTCCATGAGCAAAAGCAAGGCGGATGTCTTGTTCATTACGTGTTTATGGATGCGATGCTATGAGGGGCTTGAAGTGTGGACTCGAGGATTGTCTCATCCTGCGAGCAGACAGGGTCTTCTCAGGCTTTGACGTACCGGTAGGCTCTGGCCGCTCTTCTGGGTTGTGCTGGTTCATATTGTTTCTCTGAATTAGCATACTTTCACATTGAACTCAGGTCTCTTTATTCTTGTTGACAATTACAACAGGAGGTGTTTGCTTCTTTGCTTGAACAGTTTCAAATATGTTTTGGTGTCGCGCGCGCGTATTCGTACTGTACTTCGTACCACACTTCCTGTCCAAACCCCAACCTCTGATTCGACAGCTCGCCAACATCTTGAGTTCCGAACGGCGCGAAATAGCAACTCGAATTCTACTTTGTACAGCGCAGCATCTGATGGTGGGCCGCACCAATGATCGAGGTTTCCAAAACGATAGTACTGATTGCACCCGCGATACCGGTACCAATCCGACAGACACGGACCAGGTTGTACCAGCATTCTGCATTTGTTCCTATGATTTCTGCTGACAAGCTGAAGAACGAGCGATGAGCTGTAGTTTCCGCAGGCGAGCCAAAGATAGTGCGTACTTAATGTCTTATGGCGCGTTGTTGGGAGGAACGGCTAATAGATCGCGGGCATCATATTCGACGGACTTGTCTTGTGGTATCGCAATGATCTCCGGGGACGGTGCAAAGAGTCGTGCAGAGATGTCTGCAATGGAAAGTAAAACATTGGCGTAAAGAGTACCTATGACTCCCATCTTGAATAACAGTACTGTAAGACAGTGTCAAAAGAACTAGGAAGTCTGTCAATGTGGAATAGAGGCACTCATCGTGAGTATATGTATCATCGAGTGCAACGTTACGCAAGGGTGCGGCGCGGGTTGCAGTCGACGAGTCATGTAGCGAAACGACGCATATTTCTACAGATCTGGCAGTAAGTAATAATGCAAGTGGGGTCATTGGCACATGAGTTTCATTTAAAAACGAGGGTGCGATGCGTTGGACCAGTACGCTGAGGCAGGATACGGGTGACATATGACGACGCCGTACGTAGACAGAGCTGTACCTAAACAATCTACCTCACGTTCAAAGATTGATTATCAGGTTCTGGCTTCAAGTGGTCAGATACTTTTATGTAGATTGATAATAGATCCTTGTTCTGCTGCTGCAAAATCCTGACCGCATTTGATGTAAGCCTATTCTCAGTGGCCGTCCCGGCACTTGAAAGCATAAGCATGTTGTGCGATCTTGTCGGTTCGACAGGAAAGAGTGCGTGCGTTTATTGTGGGGAGTTGAACGTGAACGAGGACTGTGTATTGAAAGGGACGTATTGTCGAATAAAGTCCGCGAGCGTGTTCCAGGCTACAAGAGACGCGCACGCGCAGTGTGAAGGCTGCTGCACTCATTCAAAATGCTGCAATTGTCGCTGCCGAGCGCATTGCGTTGGAGGTAGAAGGAAGGAGGGCGCGCTTTTCAGGAAGTCTGACAAAGTGGCACGCGCATGGGCTGCTTGCCCGCTGCCGGTTCTGGAAGATCCATCTCTCATGAAATTCCTTACAGTCTCACGAAGTAACAATGAAGTCGCTCTTGCCAGTCACATTGAGCAACAGTCGCGAATTCGGACTCGGAATAACCGCGGGGGCATCGGAGTGTCCACCAGTTCCAGACGGCTACTGAAGGCTAGTTCGGCATCGAAGCCGATGCTGCATACAACAATTTAAAGTACTTTAACACAATGACTCTTTTGAACCTTAGCCTCTCAGAAGCCCAGACATTCCAAGAGTCGCGCTGAAGATCTCCGGATACGTTCTCCGTCGAGGAAGGTACATCTTGTCAAGCAACCCCGCCAATCACCCCGCCACGCCTTGACGATATCGAACATCAACACAGCCCTTACAATGGCTCCTACCGTTCCCAAGTCTGGCATTTGGGTGCCAGCCGTGACATTCTTCGACCCCAAAACTGGTCGATTGGATCTTCAAGCTCAGAAAAAGTACTTCACCTACCTCAAATCCACAGGTCTCGCCGGTATCGTAGTACTGGGATCGAACGCGGAAGCTCTCCTCCTCACGCGCGACGAACGTATTGCCATCACAGTATGCGCGCGACAAGCTGTCGGTCCAGACTACCCTCTGATGGTCGGTGTTTCTGGATTCTCGGTCATCCAAGTCCAGGAGTACATTGACGATGCAAAGAAAGCCGGCGCTGACTATGGTCTGCTTCTGCCATCAGCATACTACGGCCCAGCAACAACAAAAGACGTGGTCTACGGATTCTACGATGAAGTCGCAAAATCATCGCCCCTTCCCATCGTCATCTACAACTTCCCAGGTGTTGCGAACGGCATCGATCTCGACAGCGTCACCATCTCTGCTCTTGCAAAGGCGAACCCAGGAAAGATTGTCGGGGTCAAGCTCACATGCGGAAGCGTGGCCAAGATTACACGTCTCTCAGCTGAGCACCCACCAGAGGACTTCGCAACTTTCGCCGGCCAGGCAGACTTCCTCATCGGCGGTCTGGCTAGCGGTGCATCAGGCTGCGTTACAGGCTTTGGCAACGTATTCCCTAAGACTGTTGTGCAGATCTATAACCTCTACCAAGAGGGTAAGCTCAAGGAGGCGTTGGACCTGCACAGGAAGGCCGCGCTCGCGGAGAGCCCTGTCAAGGCTGGTATTGCCAGTGTCAAGTACGCTGTCAGCCAGTACAGTGCTGTAGCAGCGGGCGTTGAGGATGCAGAGTCCAAGCTGGCGCCGAGGAAGCCATACGTGCCCGTCGCTGATGCTGTGAAGGAGAACATCAAGAAAACGATGGGAGCGGTAGCGGAGATTGAGAAAAGCCTATAAACTGAAGTATATTAGCTTATACTGTACTTCGAGTCAAGAATCAAAAGCTTGACTTATAGTCTTCTGCTCTCGGCTGCCACATCTCCACCTGCCGTTCTGATATTGTGTCCTCCCTTTGCACATCCGTCCAGAAGTCTCAGTACCCGTCTTTACAGCCAGGCGTAGAGTGCATGCTAATCATCAATACAGCAACATATGCAGTATATCTGGAGTGGCCACGGGCTGGTGATACACACGAAAAATAGCATTGATATGAAGATATACAAAGGAACGAAAGCTTGTTGATCAGTGGAATCCTCGTTCCGAGCCTCCAACAACCGCACAAACATCGCTCCAACGCACCACCCAACGCTCAATCAAGGAATCCCCTTCCCAGCCCTGATGCTCTTCGCCGCCTCACTCTGCGCCTCATCCCTCGCATACCGCCCATAAATCGGCAAGTAATGCTGCCGCTCACTCAGCGTCTCCCTGACGCTCTTCCTCTCCTCCACCGCCTTCACCCACGTCCTCCAGCGCCTCCATACCGCCTCACCCGCTCCCCCGTGGCCTTCGGACGGAATCCCAGAGCCGCCCTTGAAGTGGTCAAACACCCATACTCGGACCGCCCACGGCGCGAGCACGATGTCGACGAGCGAGAGCTCTGCGCCGAGGAAGAAAGGCCCCGTGGGATCCATTTCGGACGTGAACTCCATGAGGTGGTTGAGGAACTCAGTTTTCTTTTCTTTCAAGCCGTCTTCACCCTGATGCTGGAGGAAGCGGTGGTAGGCGGGGATGATGCGAGAGCCGACATCTACTTGCGTCAGCGCTCGGCGTGCAGTCTGGGATGCAGGTGGGACGCACAGTCTGTCCAGATGCGCGTTCGTGCGCGCAGATACGGGTCCGATGGGAGCAGCGCGGGTTTGTGGTCTGGGTAGGCTTCTTCGAGGAATTCGCAGAGCACTGTGCTTTCGTAGAGGGGTTTGCCTTGGTGCTGCAACGTGGGGACGAGGCCGCGAGGGTTCAAGTCCAGCAGTGATTGTGGCTTGTGGTAGGGGTTGACTTCGATGTATTGGTATGGGATGCCTTTCTCTTCGAGTGCGATCCAGACGCGCTGGACAAAGGGGCAGAACCAGCCGGAATATAGTTTGAGGTCGTTCTCTGCGGAGTGCGTCTCAAGTATGTCAAGACCATGTACTCTCCAGACTGTCTGTTGAGCTCACCTGGACTGTCTTAGCTGCTAGTCCTGTCGCCTCTGGGTGGAGATTCGCATCGGGGTGGTCTTTGCCCATGTTTGCTAGAGCTACTGCTCTGACGTGGTGAGTCAGATGGGTCGCTACCAATGTGTCTTACAGTGGATTGTTTCGATCGCAAGCACGTACCTACATCAGGTATATAAACCACGCGTCATACTTCACATCGCCATCTGGATGACCAATCACACCATGATGTGTACTGTATGAATGACGAAAGCGGGGTAGCTTATTGGGGTTGCACCCCACTTATGATGTTCTGCCAGAAGAACGTTTGGATAGCTCGGTGCGGAATGCCGTACGTGGCAGTGATTATGAGATCGTTGCCGCAAGAAGACGTGTTGGTATGTACATCTACGATTCAGGAGTTCTATAGACTAGATACCTCAACTCTTCTGTGTCCAAACCGAGGCGTTGAGCCCGATCTGGCAAATGCACGTACATGAAACGGAAAGGAAATCGATATAGGCTTACTGCCCATGGTCCCATCTCGCGGATCACGATCTGACGACCATGTGATCACGCGCAGGTCCAACACCAATCCACTTGACCTTGACACCGATGAACTTCTCGATGAACTCGATGTACTCCCTTGCCTGGCTGGGCAGGTCGTAGTAGCTCTTCGCGCCAGTGGTAGGCTTCTTCCACCCAGGCAGGGTCTCATAGTGAACCTCTACCTCGGCCAACACGTCGGGGTTCGATGGGAAGCCTTCGAGCCTCTGTCCCTTGTGAGAGTATGCGGTCGCAATCTTGAGCTCCTCGAAGTCATCGAGAACATCAAGCTTGGTGAGGTTGAGGGTGGTGTAGTCGTTGCAAGCGTGCGAGTGCTTGAGGACGACGAGGTCGAGCCATCCGCAACGGCGCTTGCGACCAGTGGTGACACCGACCTCGTGGCCAACCTTCTGGAGCTTCTCGCCAAGCTCGTTGAGCTGCTCGGTAGGGAAGGGGCCACTGCACCATGTCAGCTTCTGATCATTTTGCACAGAATCATTTGTGGACTTACGATCCAACACGTGTCGTGTATGCCTTCACTACACCAATGACCTCCTTGATCGAACGCCAGCCCAGGGTAAGACCTGTGATGACACCGCCAAGACCGGTGTTCGAGGATGTGACGAAGGGATATGTGCCATAGTCGATGTCGAGCATGAGAGCGTTGGCACCCTCAACGAGGATCTTTGCGTTCTTCTCCTTCGCTGACTGGAGGAGAGGAACCTGGTCGACGACGTAAGGAGCAATCTTGGGGCGGAGTTCCTGAAACCTGGTGTCAGTTCTGGCACAGATCCAATATCGAAACGCATAGCCTTACCTTGTACCTGGCGATCTCCTCCTCGACGTCGTACTTCAGCAGGTCACCGAAGCGCTTTTGGTAGCCAGCTGCGACGCGGCGAAGCTTCTTCTCAAAGACCTCCTCGTCGAACAGATCGCACATGCGGAGGCCGCTCCTGGTCATCTTGGAGCTGTAGGCTGGGCCTGAGAGACATGAGCAACTGCTTTCTTCATCCTGCATGACTCAACACTTACCGATGCCCTTCCTCGTGGTTCCTGAAAGTAAACTGTCAGCACTTCTCCCTGGTTTTTCATACAGGGTCCGCACCAATGTTTCCTCCACCGAGCTCAACCTCCTCAAGACCATCCACAAGCTGGTGGACATCAAAGACGACGTGCGCCCTGTCAGAGATGTATATCCTGTCCTTGGTGTCGAGACCGTGCTTGTCGAGCGCCTCCAATTCCTTGAAGAAGCTGGGCACATGGACGACGCAGCCGCTGCCGATGACGTTGACGCAGTTGGGGTTGACGAGGCCGGAGGGGAGGATGTGGAAGTCGTATGTGACTCCATTGGCGACGATGGTGTGGCCGGCGTTGTTACCGCCCTGAGCGCGGCAGCACAGTTGCGATTCGTTGGCGAGGATGTCAGCGAGCTTGCCCTTGCCTTCGTCGCCCCATTGGGCTCCGAGCACGACCGTCGTAGACATGTTCGGTGAGAGAGGATGTGACGAGAGACGAGAGTCAAACGGGTGCGGCGGCCGTGGAGATATAACGCACTTGGCCGCTGCAACTTTTCGTTAGTCAGTTGGTCCAATCAGAAGATCCGCACATAAGAGAAGTCGCGACGCAAACGTCGATGTTGTGAGATGGGGGTTGTTGTAGCTCAAACAAGAGCGTTTCATTCTCTCTTTCTAGCTACGACCATCTACTCGAACAGCGCGTCTGGCCATGTCTAAACGCGCGCAATTGATGTCCGTTTGTACTCGCATTGACTCTCCGGCCGATTGGCGGGGTGGTGGGGTCCGGCCGGTCGCAATCAATTCCTCCCATTCGCTTAGCGCGGCTCAACGAGGTTAGACGCGATGACATCAGCGATGCACGTGCTGGAACATTCACTCGAAACGTCTGCATATACCATCTGACCTATGTACATGACGGGCGTCGTCGGCTATGTTTACAGAGCGAAGGCGGCAAAACCTGCGATGAAGACGGTGGACAGACCAATCCAGACCGCCCTGTCACCCGACAGCTGCGCCGCAGCACCGGTGAATTCCGTCGTCGTTGCATTACCACCGCTAGTCGATGTAGGAGACCTCGCAGGCGGGAAGGTGGTTGTAGGCGTACCGGTCAAGTTCTGGACCTGGAAGTAGCTACCGCCAATGGGTTGGCCCAGGCCAGTGTCGCGGACGAACTGGCTGACATTGAACGGCACGCGGTTCTGGGTCAGGTTGCTGTACTGCGAAGGGAGCGAGAAATTGGCGGGCTGCTGGAAGACAACGACGTTGTACGAGTGCGGCACATCGCCTACAGGAGGAGATGGCTGAAGGTAGGGCACAGGTCCATTCGGAATCACGAGAGGTGTCGAGTTCGATGCCGAGCTGCTAGGGCCGAGGGTCACGTTCAAGGCGACCCAGTGCACGAGCTGGAGTCGAGAGCCGTTGCGCGGGACATCGAGATCGACGATGAGAAGGACGCCGGGAGGAGGTGTAGAGTCGCTGCTGTCAGATGAAGCTGGCCATGCGGTGACGCTAACATTGGGAGGGCTCGCAGTCTCTGGATGATATTAGACATGCAGATCTACAGGTAGAGCTCATAGCATACCAGGGCGAGGGATCAGCTCTCCAGCAGGGGAAACAGTGTTATTGCCAAAGCTAACGATGAGAGGCTGGCTAGCAGGCACAGGAAATCCAGGTCCTGTCTGCGCAGTCGCAGCACCGATCGCAGCAGCAACAGTCAAGATGGATTTGGTGAACATGGTGTGAATCGGAAGAATGTCTGAACATTAGGCAATCGCGGCCGGGACTCAGCTACTTAACGCGGCCGTATAATAGTACCGAGACTTGCGCAGGTCCAGAATTTTAAATCCGGGGGTCTCAAAATGTACAAGCATCAATGACGCACTCCGAGCCACCGGACTTAAGAGCCATGGATTCGCACGAAACCTAAAAACCCGGGGACGTGTCGCGATCAGCACGTCTTCCAAATTGTGGTACGGCCGCGTCCGGCTGCGTGCTTTACTGTGTGGGGGGTGATTGGCCAATTGCGCTTGGGGAGACGTGAGTTGTGGTCGTTGCATCTTGACACTATTCATCAACATTCATCAACACCATCCGTCAGCCACAAGAACGAAATCTCATCAGCGGACTTTGCAGTTGTTGCGGTCGGGGCATTCATCCGATCGACCATGGTGAAGCCGAAGAGCATCACCGCTCAGGAGTGCAGTAAAATGGCGTCCAGCGGTCTCTCAGGTCCCGCGAAATCGCTGGGCAGACGTTCGCCTTGTATCTCCGCTCGTCAGTTCAAAGGCAACAACAACAACGCGGACTCTAGGCGCAATGGCTCTTTGGAGACGTAAGCGAAGCTCACCACTTTCAGTTTCGAGCGCTCCGAGCAACTTCACACGCGTCGTCGGCAACGGTGCAGGTTAAGCCCCAGTAGCAGGGTACGAGAAGTCTTTCCTGCGCGTTCTAGCGGTGGACTATTCGGATTCGGTCGAACGGGATGTATTCGAATTTCGGTGCCCCATTGAACCCCAATACAGCCGAACACCCATGCCATGTCCGAGTGGTAGAACCTGTCGCACACACGACGAATGATGTATTCGTTGCATTTTACCAAGTGCTCAAACACCACCGACGAGTGGAGCACGTTGCGGTAGACTTGGACGAGGTCGACAAATCCTACGGCATCCATAGGTCTCGGGCGGACCGCAAGATGTTCAAGGCTGCAACAGGAGTCCTGGACTTGGGCCGCAGCGCCACGCTCTGGCGACTGTGTAGTAGTTCCCGCTGGAGTCAGCAATCTGCGGTACTGCGCCGAGACCGAGACGCCCAACGCTTTGTAGGTCACGCCTGCGTGCCTGGTATCAGGCATCGCGGTGCGTTGTGTAAGATCAGCCTATGTGCTCCCTGGCTTTCGGTGCGACCAGGACTAACCCCGGATGCTGCTCAACCGAGCACAACGTACTCGTACGGCACTGCTCCGCCAGCGATGAACGCAGCCCAGTCACCGCATGCAAATACGAGGAAGTGAGATACTGACACGTCGGCCTGACCTGCGTAGGCAAGACGGTAGCTGTGGTCGAGGAACCGAGTACGTACAGGGCGAAGGAGTCACGGGATCGTGTGCGATGCTCGCGTGTGCAAGGGGCATTGGTGGGCGGGGAGGAGCGAGTAGCGTCCCAGACGGCGACGGATTCAGGGGGTGTGCAAGGGAAGTAGGTAGGGTAGTGTGAGAGGGAAGTAGGTAGGGTAGTGTGAGAGGGAAGTAGGTAGGGTAGTGTGAGAGGGAAGTAGGTAGGGTAGTGTGAGAGGGAAGTAGGTAGGGTAGTGTGAGCTGTAGGGAGGGGCGTAAATTTCTCCACATTTCGACGTCGTCGACGTCGACGACGACGACGACGAGCTACGCAATAGCGGGCAAAAGGGGCATTGCCGAATATGCTAGCCCGCGAGCTCGACTCTCAAGCTAAGCAGCCGCCTCGCCTCCTTCTCGTCCAGCACTTCAAGGCCCAGCTCCGCGAGGACGTCGCGCGCACTCTGGTTGTCGGCGAACAGACGCTGCTCCACCTCCCACAGCCCCAGCTCCAGGCCCGCCTTGGCGCTGCCATCTGCGTCTCGCTTGGGCGTTGCTTTTTGCGGCCCCGCCCCTGACGTTGCGGGATCCGCGTCGGCGTCTGCGTCGTCGGCGGCCCATGCGTCCCACTCCTCCCCGCCATCCTCCGTGGCAGTGGCGGTATTCGTAGAACTCTTGACGCCCCGGATGGGCAGGCTGACCAGCTTGGCGCCCTCGAAGCACCTCCTCAGGCCGGATTCGGCCACGCCTGCACCGACCATGTCGTCGATGACAGCGCAGATCGCTTCGAGGTCGGCGTTCAGTTGGGCGGCACCCGGGGTGGAGAAGCTGACTCGCAGGACCGAGTCGAAGATTGCAGCGTTGACGGTGGCGAGGACGGCCCTGGTGATGCGGCGCAGTGGGGCAGGAGCCAGAACGCGAGACAGGAACGCCAGGGTGGTGCTGAGATGGGACAGCAGCGGGTCGAGTTCGGCGGTAGGGCTGAGATCTTTGCCACCTGGGCCCGAGCTCGAGAGCGTCGCCCAAGGATTGCTGGCAGGAAAAAGTAAGCAAGTGCAGCGACGGAGCGATGCACGACGGCAGGTGGTGTGGGGCGGTTGCTGCTTTGGGGGTCCTGCAGGACGAGGCGCATGGGTCGACTTACATCTGACGATACGGCTTGAGCGCCACCCGCACGCTGGAGACGAGCGTCTCGGTGATGATTTGCTCGCTGCGGTCGCGCAGGCGCGCGTACCACGAAGCCGTTTCGTCAAAGAGACCGCCCGCGTCCGAGGCGTCGACTTTGCTTGCGCCGACGTTCTTGGAGGTGCGTTCGGCAACGGCGGCAACGGTGCGGGTGCCTATGCTGCCGCCGTGCTGAGCGCGATGCTGCAGCTCCTCCCAGATGTCCAGGAAGAACTGAGCACAGAGTCAGTGGGGGAAGCACAGAGTCGGTGGGGGAAGCACAGAGTCGGTGGGGGAAGCACGAGATCTGGTGCGAGGGTGCACGTACCACATCGTCACTCCAGTCACGCATTGCCTTTTCGAGGTAGTCGGCGCTGCCATAGGTCCTGCACAGGCTCTCCAGGCCCTCGATGCCGAGCAGTTTGTCCTGCTCCTCTTTGCTCACACCGCCCATGGCGCGACCCAGGGCGGTGGTCATCCGGAGGTAGGCCTCTAGGCTGTCGCTCAGCCGCTCGTGAAATTGGTCGAATATGGCAATCTGGATGTCGATCAGAAAGGCCAACTTGTGCTTGAAGGATGTCAGGGGTCTGTATCGATCTGCAGAGGATCAGCGCTGCACGGTCGGTTTCGAGAAAAATCAATCCTACCTGTGACGGTTTCGAGTAAATCGTTGACACGGATTGCCCCCTTTGTCGGCTTGGTAGCTTTGGCGTCGACGCTTTCGTAGTCGACCTGTCTCCAATCGTCGGCTTCTACAATGTCGTGGTAACGCCCAAGGGCAACTGGCGACAGATCAGCATGTGCTTCGGGCGTGCCTCGGGCGTGCCTCGCATCTGGGATGCATACACTCTTTCTCGACGCGCAGCCACTGGTCGAACCAGTTGGCCTGGACGAGGAACTCCCACGACAGGCCGTTCCAGCCGCTCAGCCCATAGCCGCCATCGTATGCCCACGTGTCTCTGATGGTGCAGTCGAAGCTCATCATCTCATGCATGAGGTGGCTGAGGAGCTGGGGCTGGCCTGCCACCTGGGGCAGCAGCGAGGCAATCTTGGTCCTCAGCATGGGCAAGAGCGCAGTGATGAAGGCAGACATGGCGTCCACGTAGACGGGGTTCAGTGCGACGTCTGTGCCACGAAAGTGCTTCAGCAGCACAGGCTGCATGTAGTCACTCATGAAGCTGCTGTAGTCGTCGACAAGCGCACTGACGTGCGAGAGGAAGTACTCGGGCCGGTCAAGACGGTTGGTGGGCCTGTCGCCGTCAAAGTGGTAGCGAAAGCGCATGGCGAGGGGCTGCACGAGCACTTCAAAGGGGAACAGCACCGGCGGCAGCTTCGCCTTGTCCCCGGCCGCCGTCGCATAGTCGCACCCCTCGAGGTCCGGCATTTGCAGGTCGAGCAGCTTCGCCACCGCCGCTTCCCAGTCCCCACGCAGCTGCGGCGGCATGGCGGCTGTGGGCGTCGGCCAGTGCACCTTTTTGAGGACGGCGTCGAGGTCGGCGCCGAAGGCATCGAGCAGCTGCGAGCGCAGGGCGTGGGTGGTCTGGGCGACGTGGTGGAGCAGCTGCGGCGCGGCGCCCTCGGCGTTGTGGTGGAGCGTGAGCAGACGGCCGTGCAGGGCGCGCAGCTGGCCGTAGGACGCGAGGGCAGCGTCGTGGGGCGTCTCGCTGGACGTCGGCACTCTGTCCCCCCCGAGCTCGTCGACGTCGCGCAGCAGGTCCAGGTAGCGGCCGGCCACGTCGACGCGCTGCAGCGTCCCCAGCGCGGCCTCGAAGCGCGGCACGGCCTCGTCGCTGGTCTCCGAGGCCGTCATGGCCAGCAGGCGGCGGTCCAAGTCGTGCTGCTGGCGCCGGAACGCTGCGGCGCTGGCCTGCAGCTGGCTGTGGTGCGCGTGCTGCTGGCGCTTTGCGTCGTCGAGGTCGCGCTGGGCGCCGTCGAGCTGCTGCCTCAGCAGCCCGTGCTGCGCCGTGACGGCCGCCAGCAGCCCGTCGAGCGCGTCCAGGTCGGCGGCCGTCTGCAGCTTGTCGTCGAGGAAGTCGAGTACGCGCGCATCGCTGTCGTCCATGGCGCCGTTGTCCATGGCGTCGTAGGGGGAGCGGGGGTGGGCGAGGGCGAAGGCGAGGCGCTGGCGATCCGCGGCTGTTTCCAGGCTGCTTGCATCCACCGCAGCCCAGCTGGCGTGCGCTGCGACCGGCGACGGGTGCCAGGGCGGGTGGGGCATCTCGCACAAGCGCGCCCGATCGAAAGCCATCGATCGCTGGACCGGTGCGGCAAGCACACTAGCGACTTCCCATCGATGGGTTTTGCCTGCGCTGGCCCCCGGGAGAAAACATGCTTGGTGCACACGCACACACACGCATACACACACATATATACACACACACACATACACACACACACACACACACACACACACACACACACACACACACACACACACACACACGCCCACACACACACGCCTGCCAGGCTGCCTGAACAGAGAGCGCCCCGTCTGCTTCTCTCGCACGAGTGCCCGCCTACATCTGCTGCGCTGCGCTGCGCTGCTGAGCCGCACCACCCAGATCTCGGCTGTCGGCGACCTGTGCCAGGATGCCTACCGAGAACAGGAAGCGCGGCCGCCGCGAGGAGAAGAAGCGCAAGCGCGACGAAAAGGACGCCGACCCGCTCGCGAAGCGCTCCAAGCGGGAGGGACTCGTCGAGGACATCCTGCAGCAGTTTGACGACGCCCAGCAGCAGCAGCAGCAGCAGCGCCACCATGTCGACGACCAGGCGCCCTTCCAGGACGAGGCCATTGACGGCGTCACCCGCCCCGCCGCCATGCCCTTCTACGGCATGCTCGACGACGACGAGCAGGAGTACTTTAAGCGCGCCGACGAGATGCTCGAGCTGAACCACTTTGACAGCGCCGACGAGCGCTCCCTGTTCCTCGCCAGCGTGTGGAAGGAGGCCGACGGCAAGGAGCTCAAGATCGCCAACAGCCAGTCCTGCTCGCGTCTGATGGAGCGCCTCATCCTGCTGTCGACCCCGGCCCAGCTGAAGCGGCTCTTCCAAAAGTTCAGCTCGCACTTCCTCCACCTCGTCCAGCACCGCTTCGCCTCGCACTGCTGCGAGGCGCTCTTCATACACGCCGCCCCCGTCGTCACCCAGGAGCTCGCCAGCCCCGACCTCGTCCTCGCGCCCTCGTCCGACCCCGATGCCGTCGTCGTCTCCATGGAGAACCTCTTCCTGCTCACGCTGGCCGAGCTGGACGAGCACCTGGGCTACCTCCTGACCGACCGCTTTGCCTCACACGTCCTGCGCGTGCTGGTCGTCGTCCTGTCTGGCTCGCCGCTGGAGAAGCAGAGCAAGTCGGCCATGCAGAGCAAGCAGAAAGAAAAGGTCGCCGTCGCCGGTGCAGACAAGGCCGAACTGGCGCTGGAGCACCGCCCGATCCCAAAGTCGTTTGAAGAAGCCCTCGAAAAGGTCGTGGACAGGAGCGTCTCGGGCCTCGACTCAAACTACCTCCGCACCCTGTCCACGCACCCGCTCGGCAACCCGACCCTGCAGATGCTCCTCAAGCTGGAGCTCAAGCACTTTGGAAAGTCCCGAGCAAAAGACGAAAGATCCATCATCCACAAGCTGCTGCCCGACGACCCCATTGCCGAGGGCACCGAGAGTGCGTCGTTTATCAACGGCCTCGTCTACGACCCAATCGGCTCCCGCCTGCTCGAGACGATCATCGAGAACGCGCCCGGGAAGCTGTTCAAGACCATGTACGCCGAGTTCTTCCAGGAGCGCATAGGAAGCCTGTCCCGCAACGAGATTGCCGGCTATGTTGCAGGGAAGATACTCGAACGCCTGGGCAAGGACGATCTCGCAGACGCCATGCGCCAGATTGTGGACCAGATCCCCAACCTCGTGGAGCGCAACCGGACTGCCATTATCAAGACGCTCATCGAGCGCTGCTTTGTGCGCGACGTGGACATTCTCCCGCTCACAAAACAGCTCGAGCTGGCATACAGCGGTCCCAACGGATTTGAAATCTCTCGTATCCTCAAGCTCAGCGACCCCCAGCCTGACGACGCCAAGGCCAGCGCCAAGGTCCACGGCAAGTCTGACCACTCGCCGGAGAAGGTTCACGGCTCGCTTCTGGCGCAGGCCATGATGACCGTCGACGGCCCGCTCGGCAACCTCATCTTCGACTCGCTTGCCAGCCTCTCAACCGAACTTGCGCTGAACCTCGCTCGCGACCCTACAGCGTCGCGCACGCTCCAGGCCGCCCTCAACTGCAGACATGCATCCGTCATCTTCCGCCGGAAGATGATCCAGCAGTTCTACGGCCACGTCGGCGAGCTTGCACTCGACCCATCAGCGTCGCGCGTCATCGACGCTATTTGGGAAGGCACCCACGGACTTGCCTTTATTCGCGAGCGCATCGCCGAGGAGCTCGCCGAGAACGAAAGCGCCCTGCGCGAGTCGTTTGTTGGCCGCGCAGTCTGGCGCAACTGGCGCATGGACCTCTACAAGCGCAAGCGCGCAGACTGGGTCAAGCAGTCACGCTACACAGCTGGCAACGACGGCTTCCAGTCCTTTCCAGAGAGCAACGGCGCCACAGAGCACACGCAGCCCGGCAGGCACCTGTCGGCGCTCGAGCGTGCACGTCAAAAGCATGCGGCCGCCAAGACGGCCGCCCTCAAGAAGAGCGAGCCAGCATCCAAGAAGCCGGGCCGCAAAGAGAAGAGCGTGGCCACGGGCAGCAACAAGACTGAGCAGGCGGGAAAAGCAACCGTCGTGGCGCAATAAGGCGCCCGGATCGCGCCTCGTACAGTGTTGGCGCGGTTTATCCTCGCTTCGACGGTAGTAGGGGAAAAAGGCGTTTTTGTTTGCGGTTCACTCCCGTGTACTTCCACTTTTGGGCGTGGGTGGGTCCGGCCACATGCTTTCTGATTCGATCTCTAGATACCTTTAGCGCATGATGAGAATTCTGCCGTCTCGGTCTGTCGGCGGCGGCGGGTTTAGTATGGAACAATGAAGATGTCACTTGTATGAGTCTAGTGCGCTAGCTTGGTACCGTGATTGCGTTCCTGACCTCACTTCTGTTGGTGTAGGCCTGCACACTGCTATCTGACAGCGTACGTGCTTCTGGATTCTGCACAGGATGACTGCTTCTCACACCAACGGCAATGGCACGGAGCCGCACCTCGGTCGCTCAGAGGAGGTCAAAGACGTGAGTTTTGCGGAGCCGTTCCGAATCCACTACCTGCGTTCCGAGCATCAACCCCAGTCTTTCGCACCCTTGTCTATCGGGACTAACCTCTGCAGCTACTCGATGCTGTGCAAGAGCTCATCATTCCATTCATTGCTGCCGCAGACCGCGATGCGGAGACTAAGCACACCGGCCACGGCCTTGCCATCAAGGGTGGCGCACCTCGCACTGCCCTGGTGGAGCACCATCCCCCGAAGAAGCTCGAGGCTCTACTGCAGGACCATCTCAAGATCGGCGACCATGTCGAGACAGGCAAGCACAGGCTCATCGATCTCGTTGGTTCAGTCTTGAAGTACAGTGTAAACACCTGGGACCAAGGATTTCTGGTACTGCAGCCCCGGCCAGCACCCTTCTTCTCCATGGATTGTCTAACGTGTTGCAGGACAAGCTATACGCCTCGACAAACGCCGTAGGCCTGGTCTCGGAGCTCCTCCTCGCAGTGCTAAACACAAACGTACACCCGACTCGCCCCCTGGACCCCCACTCACTGACACTTCCAGGTGCACGTCTATCAAGTCTCCCCCGTGCTGACCCTGATCGAGAAAGCGACAGCAAAGTATCTCGCGACTCTCTTCGGCTACCCCTCGCAGTACTCAGGCGGCATCTCGCAGCCCGGCGGCAGTGCCTCAAACAGCTCCGCCATCGTAATCGCACGGAACACGCTCTACCCAGAGACCAAGACCGAGGGCAACGCGGCTCACAACTTTACACTATTTACCTCTGCACACGGCCACTACTCTGTCGAAAAAGCCGCGAACCTGTTCGGCCTCGGGAGCAAAAACGTCATCAGCGTCCCCGTCGATGAGGCCGGGCGCATGCTGCCATCCGAACTCGAGCGGCTCGTCAAGCAGAGTAGAGAAAGAGGCGAGACGCCTTTCTTCGTCAACGCAACAGCCGGCACCACCGTGCACGGCTCGTACGACCCCTTCCGCGCTCTCAGCGCAGTCTGCAAGAAAGAGAACCTGTGGCTGCACATCGACGGCTCGTGGGGCGGCAGCGTCATCTTCAACCGCGAACTCGCCTCCACGCGCCTCGACGGCTGCGAGCTCGCAGACTCCATCGCCATCAACCCGCACAAAATGCTCGGCGCGCCCATCACATGCTCCTTCCTGCTGGGCCGCGACATGCGGACGTTCCACAACGCCCTCACGCTGCCCGCGGGATACCTGTTCCACAGCGCCGGCGCAGACGTGAACGACATGTACGACCTCGCCGACCTCACGCCGCAGTGCGGCCGCCGCGGCGACGCGCTGAAGATGTTCCTCATGCTGCAGTACTACGGGCCGCGGTACTTCTCGGACCTCGTGGCGCGGGGCTTCGCCAACGCGAACTACCTGCTGCAGAAGCTCAAGCAGCAGGGCGACTTTGTGACCATCAGCCCCGAGCCGGTGCCGTGTCTGCAGGTGTGCTTTTACTTTGCGCGGAACGGGACGCTGGGCGAGGACGCGGAGCACAACGGCAGGATCACGAGCGAGATTGCGCACCGCTTGATTCCACGGGGCTTCATGATCGACTTTGCGCCGGGCGAGAAGGGGAGGTTCTTCCGCGTCGTCGTCAACGGCGGCACGAGGACGGGCACCCTCGACGGGCTCGTCAAGGCGCTCGTCGAGACGGCTGCAGATCTGGGCTACTGAAGCCTCTGTGCGCAGGTGCACCGTGGTACCATGATGTTGTAGGTCGCACAGTGGTAGAATAGAAACAGGAGCGTTGGACCCATTTGAAGGACTCGAGAGCAAATCAATACAACTTCTGACCAGCCCAGCAAGGTTTCTCGCAGCTCGCATCCATGCACCACACACTCCTGTATCGCCGCGCGTATAGCACTGCGTCTTCCCGTCTCGAAGCAGTGCCGCTTGCACCTCCTCGTCAGTGCTGCGATGAGCAATTGAAACAGCCCCCATATTCTCCGAGACACGCAGCATACACGTCCTCGCAGCGATACTCTGCAGCGATGCCACCTGCCCACCGAGATTCGTGCAATATCGCACCACTATACTACTGCCGAAACCCCCCGCTGGGTTGGCGGGCGTGACCAGCTGGGAGGTCACCATCTTACCATAGTTGTCTGTGTTGGGAGAAGTAGCCACACCATACAGGAGTTGCACACGGTGAAGAGAAGAACGCTGACTATCTCACATCGCATCAGTTGTCGTCGCATCAGTTGTCGTCGCATCAGTTGTCGTCGCATCAGTTGTCGTCTCCTCAGCCAGCATCGACGTCGAGGACCGAAGAACCGGCCGACGCGGGTGGATTAAGCGCACTTGCAGCGGCGACCGATCTGGTAGGATCCGTGAGGTGTAGGTGATTGGCGAGATAGTGAGACTGTCTCAGTCCTTCGTGAGTGGACCATAACGTGACTGATGTGTGTATCTGAATGTGAAAAGGAATATTGCTTTGTTCAGATCCCGCGGCACTTTGACGAATGTCCCACGCTTCGAAAAGCCCGATTTACAAAGAGATTGGCAGAGTCGCTCTTCGTATGGGGGGTGATGAGCGTGCAATGTATACATAGCCTGTGACTTCCCTGGCTTGGTTGAAGAGGTTGTCAGTCGCTGTGTGGACCTGGTCCGAGGCTCGAGGAAGTGACTTTACACCCACCACCAAATCATCTCAGTATGGCCGACCGCAAAGCTTGGTAATTGTGTTCCCGACGATCTGCGAATCCTGGAGCTAGAATCATTCTAAATTTCAACCGATATTCCTATCAACAAAATACTCTTACCCAAGACTCATGGAGTAATTCTGAACAGTGGACAATGAGGCATGCCCTCGGACTGTGTACTAAGCCCCCTGAACTCTGATATTCACAATATACTTTTGACAAGACACAAGGCATGTTCTAAGCAAGTGCATAAGCCACCCCACTATCCCCGACCAGCCCACAGCCAAACAGACATCTCTCTCGCTATAAACGCTTCCATCACAACAAAAAATGTCCTTCCAACCCCCTACGCAGCCGAGCAAGAGGCACGAGATGTAAGCCCCAGAAAAGACTGGAAACAAACGATGCTAGATACTTCCCACCACACCCTGGAGATCTACGCCCGGACAGCAGCCGCTACGCAGGCTCCTACAACTACACAGCATGTCACGCCGGCGCGAGAGCAGAGTCCAATGCGAGCTAGCAACTGCCTGCGCCATGGCGAAACCGGAGAAGGACAACGACCACCCTGTGGATAGTGGTCCGACCGAACTGGGCGTGGCGGGAATGGCTAGACAGAAGGAAGAGAAAAAGAGGAGAGGAGCGGAAGAGAATGCGGGCATGCTGCGAGGCTGACGTCGCACCGCGGGTGGTGTGACGCTTGTGAGGCATATGGCTTCCTCTCGAAAGAGGGAGATGCTGGTTGCTTCAGCTATGAGGGCATCGCGTCCTCGTCCGCTCCTGTTGTTGTAGTTCGATCATCCACCTGCACCCGTTAGAGCTTGCCAAAGCCAGTCATCCGTGCAAAGAGTTGTGACATCACTGTCGTCGGCAGCTCACGACCCTCATATGGTCTGTTTGAGTTTCTGTGGGTCAACTGCGATTGCCGAAGAAAAAGTTGAGTCGTTGAAGTCGTGTCGTGTTGGATGTTCAAAGTGCATTGTTTGTCAAGAATATAGTAGTGTTAGGAAGCAATATCGCAAAGCAGAGGCTTTCTGCTCCGTCCAGATATCCTAAATATTAAATTTCACCGATGCACCCGTAATGATAGTCAGGCAACCCCTATGCAATTCCAGAGATCAAATATGAAAGAGAAGCTCCAACACTGTCCTCAGCAGCTCACGACCCCCATGTCGTCAATCGAGATATCCCAGCCGTCGTCTCCCGCGCTCTTGCTCGTCGCAACCACCGCCATTGCACTCCCCATGCCAGGCACACCACCTGCGACCTTGACCTTGGAGCCAACTCTCTTCCAGCTTGTGTCTCCAACCTTGAGCTCATCAGTTCCACAGATCACGCCGTCGAGGAAGACTGTGACCTTGGTGACGTTCTCGCTCCGCCGACCCGCGACCCAGGTATAGCAGTCTGCAGTACTGCCAACGGGCAGCATGATGCCCGACTGGGACATGGTGAGGGTGGCTTCGACGGTGGAAATGGCCTGCGCGTAGTAGTAGTATTTGCCGCTGCCGTTGGGGGTAGGCCCGGGGACCACACCGCGGTTGGGGGACCACGCAGACTCTACAATCGGAAGCCATGGGTCGAGGCTGCCGGTCTCAAAGGATGGGTTCGAGAGGTGGTTGACGCAAGCTCGTGGATTAATGTCTGGGGTTGCTGGCAGAGCGATGGTAGTTGACAAGAAGCAGGCAAGAGCCCAGGCAGCGATGGTAAAGATCATGGTGGGCCTGGTGTAGAGTTCGGAAGACGCTATGGTGTTTCGCGAAGGTGGTTGGAAGCGTGTCAGGTGTTGTGGTTGGTTATTGTGCAGGTGAAGTGAGATCGAAAGAGTAGTCGAGTGATAGCTTGAACAAGGCGGTCTAAGGGCGAGGCCAAACGGTAAAGGTAAGAGCGGCGGGAGCCCGCTGTAATACGCGCTCGTAGTCAACTCCGGTATCACTGTTCCTTCACTACGAGCTAAGGTATGCAAGATGTCGGCCTTGGTCTTTGCGTCTATGGTGAGGGTCCAATGAGTCGGGGTTCCTTACATGTACGACGTAGCCCTTCAGGCGGTATCAAGGGAGAGCAGTCAAGCTGCATGGAAAGGAGAGAACCACATCCTTCCTCCCAACTACCCAAACATTGAAACACGCGTTCCATCCTGCGGTCACTCCAGCGGTCTGTCATAGCAAACTCTACGCTTGCCGCGATCGAGTATAGTAGCCGAGACAAGTGCATGCCTAACGATGAGAGACTCGATAAATCTTACCTCTACAACACAAATATGAGACAAACGCTGGTGATGGGGTTGGTGGGTGGCGATCTGAGGTGGAACCAACGAGATTGGTAGCTAGCCTATCAGCGTGGCGAGGACCACCAAGCTGAGGTCCGCGCTATTGTGAACGCGGAAATGTCTGTGAACGCTTTCTGATGTGTTCCCGGGTAATTGGTCGCAAGCATTCGAGGGCTTGGATGAGGCTCAAGCGTGCTCCGGTCCAATGGGATAGTGTACCGTTGAAGAAGCGTCGTCAGTGGACGACTTCACGAATGTGCACTTGGTCGACAAGATCATTAGAAAGGAGATAGGGAGAAGGACGTCCAGTCAGGATGGTGCTTAGAGACAACCGCCGAGTGTCTCACTTGAGGACCTGCAACGTTGCCTACTCGCCAAAACAGTGACCTTGTGGCCAACTGCTTGCCAAAGTACTGCGCGTGCGGCATGTCCGGGCAGTGAAGATAGCGAGCACAAAGACAATATTGACTGCTCTCCAGCGCTACTGACAAGTCTTGCAAGCGACCGAAGCATCCGAGAGCAGAACAAACACAGCAAATGACGACCCGAAACAGATCTGACCAGCAAAGTGAAATGCTGAAGAGTGGGAAGTGGACACAGGAAAATCGGAAGGAGAAGAGGAAGCGGAAGAGCTGAGGCAGTCACTGGACCTAGCGTAATGTGAAAGAAGCGAGAGCAACGTGGAGGGAGCAGGAGCAGTGCCACCGCATTGAAATCCGCGACGACGAGACAGCAAGAGCATCGATGAATGCTTACAGCAAGAGCATTGAAAAATGCTTACCGACTCGAATCTATCTCGGGACTCAACCTGTGGAGTGTACACAGGTATATCCTCGCAGCCAATCTGCTTTCTGGGCAACTGTCAGTGCTCCACAAACCCAGACCGTCTTACGACTTCCTTGCTTCCTAAGACCCCACTTGTTGACTACAACGAACTGTTGGGGCTGTCGGTACCAACTGTACTTCCACTTCGTCTTCCACTCATGTTGTGCACCTCGCCTATCATGTGCTCAGGCCCAAGTCCATGCATAGGTACGCACCTTCGGCCGGGGAAGTGGAGGTACTGTGGCACAGCATATGCACATCACCCGAGCAGTTCCACTTTCGTGGAGCGATGTCGGGCCACGGCGTTCGACTGCTGGCAGCTCTCGAACGAGTCTTTGCATGTCATACAACTCGCGCTGCCACTTGCACCCATCTTCGCAGAGGTGCGGCTGGAGTACCGGCCTTGAGTGGCTGACTACGGCATGGCGGCCGACCGGACGGTAAGATGGCACGATGCTACCGGATTGGGTACGTGACTGCTGATCAGGAGGCTCCACGGAAGATGTCGTTGATATGAGGATGCGCAAGGCTGCCTGCCATGTGTTGTGCGCCTGCATGCTGCAGGCGAGATGGTCTTCATGGAAACATGCTGGACGATCGGCTGCACGACAGGATGCGCTGACACGTCACGCCTCGTCTGGGGAGGTACGGCCAGGAGCCACCGACTCCTACCTCACGGCGTGATGTGTATCGTATCGGCGCCATGGTCGAACATGGTGCTTGCTGATGCAAACACAGGTGCGTCCTGATGCACACAGGATGTCTCGTACCGTGGAGCACTGACTGTGGAATAATCAAGACGCAGCGATCCTGCCATGGGAGCCTGGTCGGCACGCCTCGTGTTTGACAGCCAGCGGTGTGTCGGATCGTCCGGACCTCAAAGGTCTTTCAGGAAGGTCGCAGCAGCCTCGCGGTGTCCGGTGAAGGCCGCGAAGCGTTGCGCATAGATGCGGCGCCTCGAATGTCGTCCAGAGCCGCCGCGCCTCGCCACAGAAGTCCTGATGCCGCGGATGCCGAGTGTTGCGTGTCTGCTCCAGCAGCATACGCGGGCCGCGGCCGGTGGTGCTGCGCCACAAATTGTGCACGCCTGACTGGCTCGCTTTTTTTGGCAAAGGACGTTTCAGACGTGCACCCTCGTGGCCGGGCGCAATGGCCTTGGCCCGCCCCCACGGCCAGGCCTCGCCTTACGTGCGCGACGTCGTTCGACAACCCACCTTCCACCTTCGATTCTCAACTGACCTCCCGTGCGACTCTGGAGATGCTGCTGCCGCGACCATGAATTCGGATTGGGAGCCGATCGTACACAAGCGCTGAGCGGCTGCGCCACCGCACACTAATTTCCGGTGATTTTGCGCGGCTTGGGACCCGGTCATAGTCGGCCGCCTGCTGCGAAGCGCCCTGGGACAGCTGCAGACGGGATGAGGAAGACCGCGATGCCGGTGGAGAAATCGCGCACCGGTGGCTTTGCCCTACGAGCCCGAGACAGAAGCGGGTATCGATCTGCAGCGGCTCTGGTGGAGAAGGGTATCAAGAGGAAACGGCCAAGCTACCGAAGGGCGGCTGTTCGGTTGATTGCTTCGTTGCGAGGATCTAGGACCGAAGCCTGCAGTGAACAGCTGTCTTCAAACTTGTCGAGGTAAGCCATGAGTAGTGGACCGGAATCACAACAACACGCTGATGATGGTGCAGTCCGTTTTTCGAGGCTCTGCTACGATTGCCTAACGAGCTTCACGTTTTGATCCTGAGTCAACTGTCAATCTCCGATCTGCTGGCATTGCGTCGAACATGTCGCATCTTAAATGTGCTTGTGGCAGGATCTGCGCCTTCTCTCAGTCGATACTGGGTGAAGCATCGCATGGGTAACCTTCATCTGCGTCTGTATCCAAACACGAGACCAATCGATGCGGACTTCCAATATCTACTCGCCATGCGGCGACGGCATATTGCCTCTATTCGACTGAGCAGACAGCTTGCCAACTTCCTACTTGGCGATATACAAGAGCAAGTCGCCCCTCGTCAACGTCAAATATGGACGTCTGTCTACGAGAAAATCATGCCACTTGTATTTGGAGTTGGCTACTTCCTCGAGGAACATCGAAGAGCTGTTCTTGATCGCGACTTGGGACAGATTCGACCGCGATCGCACATTGGATACGATATCTGTACAACAGGTTGCATAGCAAATCATGACCTGAAGACCATCAAGAAGATGGACGCGCCATTGCGGTTGCAGTATTACTACATGTACTGCTTCATCTTGCAGGTCTTGCGGCGCAAGTTGCGCCCTGCGAATCGCACACGGACTGTGGGCAATTTCCTGAGGGGGTGGTCAAACCACCCTGCTTGCTCCGAAGACATAGCTTTCTTCCTCATCCTGGGCGGGATTGGGCAGATTGCTAAGCTGCTTGCGTGTCCCACCTATACTGATCGGAGGAGGTACTTGCATGCGTACATCACGCACCTGTCGCCGCACGCGAGCAAGTGCTGGAGAGCTCACTGGAAGGACATCGGCGTTGTGTCTCCTGCTTTACTAGACGACATACCGTGTACGAGTATTGGCATCACGCAGCTCGACCAGATCTGGGAGCCAGGGATAGCAGAGATGATGATGCCGGAGAGCAGAGTCTTCACTGCCTCAGAAAAGCTGCGGTACGAAGAACTTCAAGTCTCGAGGAAGTACATCAACGAGATAATAGGCTACGACATACTGCGGGTGTCGGCTGCAGAGTGCGTTGACATTGACGAGGAGATGGACGACAGGAGACCATAGACCGTCGTAATACCTACCGTAATTTGCAACAAGTTTTTTACAACTGCCTTCTCAGATCCACACTGAGGCTTGGTCACGCGCGTAATCTAGGCTTTTCGTCAGGTATCGTGAGATTTGCTCTGTTGAGATTTGCTGCCGCAGCTTTCTCTAGTCTGTCCCTTTCGATACATTCAAGTGCGATGCGTTACGTACATTTTTGGTTGCGTAGCGCGCTACGTGACGGACGCTCATCAAGCTCAGCGGCAACTAAGAGACTGGCGCTCCATCAGAGGTAGTCGGTGGGTTTGTTGCGCAAGTCCTGGGCCCACACAGGGAAGCTTGTGTGTCTTTAGTGTCTTGTTGTTGTTCCTGACCTTCCTACACGAGCCCGCTACAGTCTTGTCGTGTTCTGGATTTCTGCGGTACGGGAAAATATGGTTTGGGTGTTCCATGTACGACTACCCCAATTCGAGTTCACGATGGTCGTTGCATCACGTTCCTGATCCGTGCGGTGGGTGTAGGCAACCGACCTTCCTGATCGTTCACCGACCGGCGCCTCTGGCGAAAAGAAGCAAACATGCCGCGATTATGGACAGCTGCTCCTGGTAGGCTACAGACCCTGCAGTGGTTGTTACCCACTGCGACCAAAGAATCGCCGAGCAGGCCAACTGGACGTTGTGGATTTGCGTGGCTGAGGGCCCACTTGATGGAAGAAGCTCGTGCATTCGTTCTGGAAAACCGATGAAGAGTAAGCCTCATCCAGCAATTGGCCGAATTCTGTGCCAGACGAAGCCCTGCGCGCCAATGGCGAGACGAGATCAGGGATTGCCGCTGTGCAAAAAGTAACGCAGCCAGATCAAAGGCCAGCTGCGGCCCACTGCATCCCACTCTGGAGCGGAGCACAGTGCGAAGAGGTGCAGATGCAAGTGGAAGGATCTGAGGGCGGCATGACGAGCGGTGTATTCAGCCAAAACGCACCATGCAACGGGTGTGGGTGAAGCGGCCAGGGGCAGCCGCGGTCCAAATTGCGCCGCATCTGTTTGGGAGAAAGATATTCGTGGAGCGACGTTTAAGCGTCACATCCAGGGGCAGCGGAGGAATTGGCAACGAGCAGGCGCAGATCACGAAGCCAAGATGGCAGTTGCGAGCACCCGGATCGGAAAGCGAGCAGATGTGCATTCCGCTCGGGGGTATGGACACAGCAGAGCCCGGTCCATCATTGTGATTGGCTAGCGGGCGGTCTGGGCAGGTGCAACTGGGGCGAGGTTGCAGTGCCGTGACAGCACCAGGCTGCTGGGAGCACCACGAATCGGGCCCGGTGCGTTCCCCGGACGCAGAGGTGACACGACACGGGCGCAAGAGAGCGACGCGGGCAGGCTCTGAGGCGCTGGCGGCGAGTGTGCGCAATCTATCTTGGAATGCAATAATGCAGGCAGGTAGTCGACGTGCTTAGTCGACGTTACGTGGTGGTTACGCAGCCAGCGTGCCGTGTGTGTACTCGCTGCCGGCGTCCTGGACCGAGACAGACGTCACATGTCAAGTGTTGAGAATCTTTCGCAGACGCACGCAGGCCAGTGGGGGCGACCAATGACGCGCGCGCCATTCACCGCAAGACTGGCCCTGGCCCACCTGGCCTAGCGCTGGTGGGCCTCTTGCGCTTTGGCGGGCGCTCGGCGAGTCGGGGCTCTCACGATGGTGCTCGCATCTGGAGTAGTCCTGCTGTGCTGCGGCAGGCTGGTGGCGGCCTTATAATCCCATTGAGCCCAGCGCAACGCTCGCAACCACCCCCAAGACACACATGTACCCCAGCCGGCGCCACACACACCCAGCGTCCACCACACCACGCGACATCGCCGCCTGCTGAAACCTGTGCATGTGGAGCACCTGCTCGCGACGCCCGCCACCCGCAGCAGCACCACCGCCCGCCCGGAGCATTGCTGGAGTCGACGCAGCAGTGCCCTCACACGCCTCTACCGTGCATCTCCCGTCAGCTGAGCCGCAATCCGACCCGCCGTCTCGCACACCCGCACACCATGAGGCCGTAGAGATTGGCGCACCCGCGAAAATGGACTTCACGGTACGGCAGCCGCGCGCGTCTCTTTGTCTGGCATCGCTAACTTGGCCGAACACAGATCTCGCTAGCACACTTCTGCGAGGTCCACGGTCCCACGTCCATCATCTGCACACAGGCCTCGACTGCGCCATGCGCTTCCTGCAACCCATGTGTGACGCCGCCGACGGACGAGCCACACACGGCCTACGCCAGCTACGGACTCTACGACCAGCCCGCATCTCTGAAGCTGGGCCGCACGCCCAAGCTCTCGCCGTTCGAGACACCGCCCACGAGTCCTCGATCGCCCCTGCACAACCCGTACTTCCCCAGTCTCTCGTCGTCCGACACCAGCTTCGGTGGCCGCAGGCCCAGCAGCACCTTCGACTCGGACTCGGACTCGTGTGAGAACTGCCAGATGGTCGTGCCAAAGACGTTCTGCGACAAGCTGCCCTCTGGCGCGCCCGGGAGTCCCTCCAAGGACGGACGAGGGAGAAACGGCAGCCCCGTCCTGCGCAGCTCCCAGAACTACCCAGTCCGCGGCCCATATCTCGGCGACGATGCCAGCAGCACCCACTCGTCTGAGATTTCGGACACGGAGCAGTCCAAGTCCTTCGAGAGCAACGCCAGTTCGTATCCCAGCTCCATCCCTCCTTCACCACTGGCCACCGCCAGGAACGTGCACACACACACCCTGACCTACATCTCCACTAACCAGCCACAATCACCGACAACCTACTCTTCACTGAAGCGCACCTGCATGCGCACCCTCTCCACTGAAGTCCTACCGCGCGGCAACTCGTCCGGAGCCATCATGTTTGGAGATCCTGTTGCCGGATACACCATTGCCTACATCTTCCGCATCCAGGACTCGAGGGCTCGCGGTTCGATCAAGCACTACGCTCTGATCGCCATGGTTGGACGCGACTGCCGTAAGGCCACCAAAGCCATGGTCAAGGTCACCGAGGTCTTCCAGGGTATTGCAAACCGGATTACTGCATTGGCCGAGAAGGTCGAGCGCGAATCTCGCCCCACTTCTGCCATTGCTGACACACCTCCATTGGGGACCTCCGCGTCTTCCATGCCACCCATGTTCACCTCACCTCAGAAGGCGCGAGATATTTCGTCCACTGCGAGCTCGCCCACCACACGGAACATCACCCCGGTATCATCATTCCTGTCCGCCAAGAGGATTGACCCTGATGGTTTCCCTCGCGTTTCTCGCGATGCCACAAGACCCAAGAGCCTGGCCGAGATTGTTGGCCAGGAGACTTTCTTTGTTGAGCTGCACCGTGACTTCTGCCAGCTGCTGCACTTCCTGATCAAGCACTTCTCTTGAAGGCTTACCCTCATACGTTGTCATTCTTCTGTACATGTTTGTTGTCCTTCAGTTTGTTGTCCTGCGATTTAGCGATTGTCTTTACTACATGTGCGTTCCTGCACCGGCGTTCAACAACAGCCTGTACATCTCTAATCTGTTGAAACGGCCGTTATTCTCACGCCTGCGATCTGTTTCACGTAGACCAGGCTCCATACCCATCTAAGATACCCTAGCCTGTTGTTCCAGCGTAATGGGCGGTGTACATACATGGCTCTTAGGCCTAGTGAGGGTCGTTACGATTTCACGGCCGTAGATGGCTCGATGCTGTAATCGAGCGCCAACGACATGGAAACATCGTAACACCTATTACCTGTATAGTTAGTACGAGCAGAATGCACAGATTCCAAGTCGATCTAGCGTACGTTGCCATCGTCTCGAGGTCATTCTCGTTTGCGATCTCGCTACGGGTTGTCGTCGCTGCTTCTTCGGCGGACGCCCTGTCGAACCACCAAATTGCCAATAATTGCCCTCACCATGGGCAATCCTTACACTGACAGATCCACATTCACCACGCCTTCTCCACATCTAAGTTTGGAATGAACCAGAACAGGTCCGAGGGTACGATAATTGGACCCTTCTTTTGGCGATCATCGCTGAAAAGTCCGACATCGCTCGCCCCGCATAACACGGCCCGCACAGCGTCATACTTGACATCGATAAGCGTTGCTCTGACGTCACACTATGTAGAATTCTCAACGTCAGGGCGGCTGCAGACAGTCGATACCGGAAGTCTGTGAGTTCAGGAATCAAGGAAACCGAAGTACTCGCGTCTGGTCTTCACCCTTTCAGATCAACACGCCGACAGCCACGAACATGCAGCAGAAGCTTGGTAGCCCGTAGCCGTCTCCTCGAACGCTGGCTGCACCAAAGCCAAGTTCCAAGTGTCCGAAAGCCAAGTTTGTGGCTACCGCTGACGCTGCTGACGCCCATCATCCTGCGGTAGGGCTGAACGCGGGCAGCTCCGTTCCTCTTGATACGGCAGCTTGTGGTAGTCTGAGCCTGTGATGCCATACCTGACGACTGTCTCCGGATACTACGGCTTCCACCAATGCTGTTTGGGTGAAACAGAGAGGATATCATAGATATATAGGAGCTATGACGACCCATCTACGTTCTGAAATTCTTCACATCTCTGCACTATAATAGCCTCTGAACTACAAAGCTTGACCTTACTTCTAACACGTCAGTACTATTACAACAATGAACACCAACAACAACAACAACGCTGCCGCTGGTCAGAAGGAAGACTACCTTGACAAGGGTATGTAAAACACCTCTCAGCCGCTTGATGCCAACACTGACAACCATAAGGCCTTGACGCTGCCGAAAAGAAGTTTGGTGGTTCCATGGGACAGGACACACAGAAGAACCGTGCCGTGAACGAAAAGATCGTAAGTCATCAAACACGTCACCCGGACAGGACCAAACACTTACGCAACCACGACAGACAGATGGAGCCCGCAACATGTTCGAAAAAGCCACCGGCAAGAACGTTCCCGACAAGTTCTCCAACTAGTCGGCTCTCCCTCGACGTCGACTCGTCGACCGACCCGCCCTCAACACGCTACGAAGATGCACACCCAGCACCCATCTCCCCTGCCTCAACGTCACCGCACTCGCACTCTTTCCCCATTGAACACAAGAAGAAGCACAAGAATAGGGCGTCCGTCGACTCGACTAATTCGGCTGCGAGTCACGACTCATATACGACTGCGAGTGAGCACCATGAGGAGGGAGAGGAGAAGCATGGGTTGCTGCACAAGGTTGCGACGGGCATGCATAAAGCTAGACCGTATGCTGAGAGGCTGAGTGGGACGTATGAGCCGATGCCTGTCAAGGAGCCTAATCATGTTACGAAGTAATGAATAAGAACATTAACGTAATGATGCTGTGTTTTGAATCTTGTTGCGCGTGATGCACAGGCCAACCTTGTAATGCCATAGCTTATCTTGAAAGCCTTGGAGAGTCGCAAAGGTCACTCTCGTAGAACCAATGAAATCGCTGCTTGTTGCATAATCCACACGAGATATCCAAGCCCATCATGGGTGTGAGCACGTGAAGGTCGCGATGCATGATGCCTGGGCCAAATGCTTTCCGGCCGGCCGATCAAACCAACTGCGCCTGCCCCGCCAAAATTTTTGGGACTCGAGAAACCCCCGCGGTAAACATTCGCGTTGTCCCTTAAACCTCACAACGCTTCAGCATGCCTCCTTACGAAAGCGAGTCCTCCGATGAGGGCGAGGACTACACCGAGACAAACGTTCTGCTCGGCTATGCCACCAAGGATGCTACAGGCGACGCCATTTCTCACATTGGTGGCGCACCTGTACGCTCAAGACTGCGGAAAAAAGACGTCCTCACTGACACGCTCATAGAACTGGATAGACGACAAGACAGCACCACATGGCTCGCTCGCAAAATGCAAAGTCTGCAACGGGCTTCTCAGCCTCCTGCTTGAGCTCAACGGCGATCTTCCCAACCACTTCCCCGGTCACGAACGAAGACTGTACATCTGGAGCTGCAGGCGCAAGGCATGCAGGAGGAAAGAAGGAAGTGTGAGAAGTATTCGTGGAGTGCGCATTCCGAAGGGCGCATCCGCCAGGGCAAACGCGAAGCCAGAGAAGAAAATAGTCGAGCAAGAGGAAGAAAAGCTGCAGCCCAAGATCGGAGAGTCGTTGTTCGGCGTGAAGAACAGCACGAGCTCGACGGCACCGGCAAACCCATTCTCGAACCCGTTCTCTTCCAACTCGAGTAGCGCCGCACCTGCGAATCCATTTGCTTCGTCAGGCGGCGCAAACCCATTCGGCGCGCTGGCAGCTGCACCACCTACACCTGCAATCGAAGTAACATCCGAGGAGAAGAAAGATGAAGCGTCTACAACGCTCCCTGAGACTTTCGCACAGAAAGCGCGCATCTCTACTCCAGCAACAACCACACCACAAGCTCCACGACCCCACGAGCCCTGGCCAGCAGAGTCAGCATTCCCCACACCATTCCCCAACTACTCGCTCGATGCCGAGTACGAGACCCTCTCCGCCGAAGCACCCATAATCCCACAGAACGTGCGGATGATGGACATCGACGAGGGCGGATCCAGCAGCGGAGGCAAAGAAGACAAAGAGATATACGAGTCCGCACACGATGCCACGTTCCAGAAGTTCGCAGACCGCATTGGCCAGAACCCGGAGCAGATCCTGCGCTACGAGTTTAAGGGAAAGCCGCTGCTGTACAGCGACACAGACACCGTCGGCAAGGCTCTCGCGCACCACTCCGAGAACGGTACCTCGAGCAATGCGAAAGTGCAGACGGCAGGCAGGGGCGCAGCGGGTATGCCCAGGTGCCAGAACTGCGGTGCCGAAAGGGTGTTTGAGGTCCAGCTCACGCCGCACGCCATCACTGAGCTTGAAGTAGAGGAAATGAGCATCGATGGTATGGAATGGGGCACAATTGTCATGGGTGTTTGTAGCAAGGACTGCAAGCCTGCTGATGTTGAAGACGGGCAGATTGGGTATGTCGAGGAGTGGGCTGGTGTGCAGTGGGAGGAGGTTGCATCAAAGAAATGAGCCCAGACTCGGCAGGGCGCTTGAAATCATCCAGCAACTTTTGAGTCGGCCCCCCCGCGTCGCTTTGAACATGGCGCTCACAGTAGACACCGTGTGCTTGTAAATCCATGTCCGCGTCCTGGTTCACGTTTGGGCCTATGCGTGCATCATGACATAATGCCCGGAGCATTCAATACAACCAGCTCCCCTTAGATTCCTCAACACCTCTCTATACTTTCTACAACTATTTGTCCTTGCGGCACAGCCTTACGCGCCCTATCATAAAATCCCAACATCATCGCACATCCACCGTGTGCGTAAGCTGCGCTGAACTTGGGTGTGGAGAATGTGTCTGTCACGTCTCGCGAGAGCGGGGATTCGATCCACCAGTCGGCAGGCTCGAAGTTCACTGGGGCTTCCTTGGCCCTGGCTTTCGAACAGTCTGTGAAAGAGCCAGTGTTCATGTCTGAGTGGGAGTTTTCCATGGGCAAGGTTGGTTGTAGCTTGGAGGGACGTTGATCGGCGATGTTGGGAGAGTGCATAGGTGGTTGTAGGCATTCGACGAAGGAAAGTGTAATGGACGGCCACTGTGGAGACTTCGGGACGAATGTAGTGTATAGAGCGGTAGTGTCTTGTCAATGGCGTGGCTGTTTCTACTACAGTCTCTGGCCTTGTAGGGACGTATCTTTGACTCCCATAAGTTGTGTGTCCGGCACGACTCAACACGTCGTGCTACACAGCCGATACTCAACAAGACATGCTTCGAATTCCGTCTACCATGCACCCGCCTCCCCAACGCCACAGCTCCACGACCGACTTCCAAGCGACCGCTCCGCAGAACGACAAGAACGAGTGCCCACCCACCCAACAAAACTGCCCTCGTTTTCGACCACCCTCCGTCAATACTTAAGTGTTTTACTCATCGTAGTCTACACCTTCACTCGCCCATGGCGAAGACTTCGACCTCGGCTCCTTCCTCTTCCTCCTCCTCTCGGCCATTTTAAGCCCATGCGCTTGGCGCGTAAGAGCCGTCTCGTTGTAGAAGCCCGGGGCGTGGCGCGTGTTTCCGCGCGTCTTGTGAGGTTTGGAGGCTTGCTTCTTTTCACTGGGTTTCTTCGCACTAGAATTCTTCGAACTGGGCAGCTCTGCCTCCGATCCGGCTTTGCGCTTCATCGTGTCGTTGCAGATTGAAGACATTTAATGGACGCTGAGGGTTTAGTGGGGAGGTGTCTGTAGCTGTGGTGTGAGTTCGAGCTGTGTTGGTGGCGAGATATATAACGATAGCGACGGATAGAGAGACAAAGAAAGACATCGGAATGAATGAGTACGATGGAATCGTGTGGGAAGAGGTTCGTCAAGGGTAGACAATGGACTCTGTTCGATGTGAAGGCGTTCGAAGCTTGCAGAAGTCGTCATCCGTTGACTTTGTTCAGTCTGGATTTGTTGAAAGCCTGGTTTAAAGTGCTGAAACGTTTGTATAACAAATCAAAGAATCTGACCCCAAACGAACAGCGGTACCAGCCGCTGTGATGTGCGAATTAGCCAGATTACGGACGATCTCTCATACACAGACATCTGACAAATCAAATTACTGCTAACGGTCGTTGTATGGCAGGTACTCCCAGCCGCAATCGTTGTCGGTAGAGCTCGGCTTTAGCGCAGTGTAAGAGCGTGTCCTTTACTGCTCCTTTAGCTTCTTCTTCACGCCCAGCTCAACAGGCAACACTGTCGCGTTGAAAGCAGCCATCGTGAGGCCATACGGCGATCGGATGCGCGGCTCCCAACTGTCTGCGAACCGCTCTTCGGTGAGCATAGGCCTCAAGTCGTCAATACGACCACCAAAGATCGTGAGCATTGTAGACGAGCTGGCAAGTCTGTCAGCATGGTCCGGTCTCGAGATAAATATAAACCTTACTTCGCGCTCCCGAACATGTTGTGGAAGAGGCTCTCTGAGTAATGCGGGTTCTGAGCCCTTGCCTCGCTTCTTCGCTTCGCCAGCTGTTTACTCAGATCCTCCTTAGTCAAAATTAGCTCACCACGCTTCCCCCTCCCCGTTGCGGTACCGAGCAGCTCTTCTACAAGCAGCAAATCTGGCTTGCCCTGATCAGGGATTTGAGCAACATCTCGTCGGGTCAGGCTTGCGTCATGTTCGATAGCGTTGTGCTTGCTCAGCTCTGCGAGATCGAACTTGTCATTCCAATAGGAGCGGCCCAGGAAGTCGGCCGAGAATTTGGGTACGAAGAAGCAAAATGAGGGCGCAAAGTTGAACGTCTGTCGGACGGTGGTGTTTAGATCGCGAAATGTAATATTTTTACCATCGTGTGGGAGGATGCCATGATTAGCCCTGGAGGGACTTAGCTAATTCACATGGGATAATTACAGGAACGCACATTGCATTGAGCATTGGACATGCTGATCGAGAATCGCCTTCGTGCGGTGGTATGTACTCTGGCCATCTTCCTGCATGGCCTGGGACGCCTTCAGCGATAACCTTGTTGTGAGGATGAGCGGGAAGAATGAGGTTCGCTAGGAAGAGGCCAAGATCCCATGTCATGACAGACAGGTCGATAAATGGTTTGGTGAGCTTCTGTATGAAGCCCATTGTGGATTCGTGGGTGCAGGATGAGGGTAAGATGCTGTTTGTGACGAAAGGGTTTCGGACAGGTCCGTCGCGCTTTAAGCATAGGCAAGTGCGGTCCCTTAGAGATGCAGCCGCAACCACACTGCTTCACGACGATGCCTCTCTTGGCCTGGCTAGCGATCGTGATCGACTCCAGTCAGCACACAATGCGCTGTTCATGCACGTCGGAGACGATCGGTGACAAGTCATTGGTCGATGCCTTCCTCTACATGCGATCTCCACACTTGAAGTTCTCGATGATTTGCATATTGCGTCGCTCATGGGGATGTTGTGTAACCTCGTAGCGAATCGTTGAGTACTGATAGCGTTCCTATTGGCAGGCATCAGTCCCGGAGCACATGCTGAGGCAGTAATGGCGCGCTGCGATCGATTTGGCAAACTCGATATCTGTATTTTTATTACTCGTGGTCCACTGGATTGTCTGGTCCATTACATCTCTTGCTGGCCAAAGACAAGCTCTCGACGATGCAATTGCATTCTCAAAAGAGCATTTCGGACTTTCAGGACCCAACCAAGGGACTGGAAGACCATTCGTCGAATCACTACAAGCTGCACGTAGACACCGGATCTAGTTTGAAAGCGATACGTTGCTGCCGCTCCTGATCCAAACAGACCGTGAATGCCCCGATTGACCTTCTCATTTACACTCCACTGAGCGCACATCCGTAATCAGCAAGAAGCTTCCAAACTGCTCCCGTTCCTACAGAGAGCGGGTATCGCAGGCCTGGCGCTAGTCGCTCGTGCTGTTCCGACGCAAGAATGCGATGCCGCTCAACATTCACGACATTCCTTTGGGCGGGAAACTTGACACCTTCTTGTGTCCTTCTTTTGAGATCCTTGCGAACTTGAGAGTAGCAAGACTGGCCCATTTCCCGTCCCACTGCTTGAGCTTGTCGAGAACAGCTGCATCTTCGAGATCAGGGATCCAGAATCCGGCGGCGTACTCGTCCTGTTCGGTGGCCCGGGCTTGCTCCAGAAGAGTTTGGCGGGTGCTTGGTGGTCTTCCTGTACGGCGCTCTGCCTTCAGCTTGGCGATTTCCTCATCATCGCGGCCCAGGTAATCCTCAATCACGGCTTGGAGTTCCTTGACGTTTAGAGGTGAAATGTGCTCTGCGGTGTATGACTGAAAGGTTTTTACTCTGTTCACTGTACAACACTGTCAGCAAATTAATGAACTATGCCTTATGGTCGCACACGTACAGTAATGCCTATTCTCTTTCTCTCTCAATTTCGACAGACGGTTCAGTTTGTCATCGCGTGCACTCGCGCGCTGAAGGCGCTTTGTGTCTCGGCTGCCCTCGTGCAAGTTCGGATTGCTGCCCTTCTTCTTGGCGATTGCCTTGTGTACTTTGCTTAACCGATCACTGACCATTGTGACTGCGTTTTGCGTTGGTGTTGTTCTCTGCTCTTGCCCGAACTTTTTCTGACGCCCGCCGGGGTTGGAAGGCGCTAGTTACGGCCGCTAACCGGATTATTCGATAGCGTAAGCGCGCATGTGGATCCCTTTCACGACGCGATGAATGCTCCACAACGTCGATAACTCCGTTATACAGGCGGCAAGGCTGTCCTGCTTGAGCCCGACCCCTCTCCTTGAACCAGGGTACTCTTCGGTAAGTTGGACAGGAGCCTCAGCGCCGTAATGGTTCTCATAGTATCGTTCTGAAAGCCTTTGTTTGGGCTTGACGCGTGAGGGGCAAATCATTGAAGATGGGCATCTCAGGTACGTCCCCTGCCAACCGCTCCTGGACCCAGGCTGATATTCACCAGGGCTGCTGCCGCTGCTGAAGTCCATTCACAAGCCATGCAATCTCAAGAAGTTTGCCGGCCAAACCATAGGCGTCGATGCCTACGGATGGCTACATCGAGGGACGGCTGCCTGTGCGATTGATCTGGCCCTAGAGAAGCCCACTACCAAGTACGTTCGCGGGATGTCGTCATATGACGATCAGCTCACCTCGTTGTAGATACATCGACTTCTGCATGAACCGCGTCCGCATGCTCATACACTTCGGAATTACCCCATACCTGATCTTCGATGGCGACAACCTGCCCAGCAAAGCCGGCACGGAGAAGGACCGGAGAGAAAGGAGGAAGGAAGGCAAACGACTGGGCTTGGAGCTGTTGAAGGTTGGCAAGACATCACAGGCGCAGTTGGAACTGCAGAAGGCTGTCGACGTCACACCGGACATGGCGCGCGCCTTTATCGAAGAACTTAAGATCATCAACGTCCAATACGTGGTTGCACCGTACGAAGCAGACTCGCAGATGGTGTACCTGGAGCGCAAGGGTGTGATCGATGGCATCTTGTCCGAAGATTCAGATCTGCTGGTCTTCGGCGCCAAGTGCCTACTCACTAAGCTCGACAAGTACGGCGATTGCATTGAAGTCAATCGCAATCATTTCACAGCTTGCCGCGAGATTAGCCTAGTAGGCTGGTCAGATGCCGAATTCAGACGAATGGCTATCCTCAGTGGGTGCGACTACCTGCCTGGCATTGGTGGGCTAGGACTGAAGACCGCTCACCGCATGCTTCGGAAGCATAAGACCGTGGATCGTCTCGTCAAAGCTGCACAATTCGACGGCAAGCTCAAGGTACCTAATGGCTTCATGACCGACTTTGACCAGGCAGAGAAGACCTTCCTGTACCAATGGGTATTCTGTCCAACTGAGAACCGACTGGTCAACTTGACGCCCCTTCCGGATGATGTCGACATCGCCGACATGCCCTATCTTGGCGAAGAAGTTGCAGCACACCTTGCAGCAGGAGTCGCGAAAGGCGATCTTTACCCACGTACCAAGTCACCTATCACGGTTGCCCCCAGGGCGACACCAAGGGGCAAGGTGTTTGGTGCATCACGAAGAACCTCAACGAATGTACAGACACCGGATCTGAAGGGGACTAAATCGATCGATTCCTTTTTCAAGCCGAGGCGTACGCCGTTGGCTGAGCTCGATCCAAACATCTTCACACCGTCGCCGAGTCAGCAAGTACTTCTTGAACAACAGAGGGAAAGCAACGGCTGGGCAGCAGTCCTTGCTCCTGGATCGCAATCAACACATAGGCCCTCCTTTCTCAGCACGACACCCCAGCCAATAAGACGACTCACATCTGAGCCTGGACGAAGGCGATCCGCACCACACCCGCCACCTAAGAGGCAACGACTTTGTTCTGACTCCGTACTCAACAATCCTTCCGCTGGAGGTGAGGGCATTGTACGGAGCCAATTTTTCGCATCAACTTTGCCTGAGCCGAGTCCCTCTACTCGCCCGACTAAGAGTGGCAGACGGGAGACGGACAACGGCTTCGAGCTGTACTCTGATGACTCATTGGGTGATGCTATGGCAAAAGTAGCAGATCTGGAAGAGTCAGCTTCACAATCGAAGAAGAAGCTGAGGATCTTCAGCGACACCCAAAGCGATTCGCAGTCTACTGCTACCTCAAGAACTTCCACAGCCGAGTCGCAAGACTCCACTGGAATCCTCACCCCTGCCACATCTTTCGGGAGCCCGGAGCCGGAGAGCGTCTTCAGTGCTGCGATATCGTCACAGATCCAGAATCTGCGGTCGAGGTTTACCTACAAGGAATCCGAGTCAAGCATCACGAGCTCAGCGAGCTCGAGAACAAGCCAAGTGCGCAGACGCAATACTGAAGCACGGACACCTTCAGCTCTGCCATTGGAGGTCTTTTTCACAAGTGCACAAGAGATCAAGGTCAAGACCGTCGTCCCAGGCACCCCATCTTCCGTAGACGAACAGCCTGACATAGAGGACTCGGCTTGGGCAACGCTCGAATCCGAGGTAGTCGTTCCCGCGTCCTCGCCACCATGCACACCAGCGAAGAGGCGACGTGCCTCACTGAAAGGCAGCGAGGACCTGATCGTCCACGACAGCGATGGCGAAAGCGTATGCTCGCCTCGCAAGCCTATGTTCAACCTCAACCGGTTTGCTTTCGCCGGTTAGGTTGCACTTGTCTTTGACTATACGAATTTGAGCGAGGACGAGCGTTACGTTTGATGGTTACGCATTTGATGATTGGACGTTGAATTCGGAGATATCGTTGTGGGCGAGCGTAGCATAGCGGCGTATTTCACAAGCCGATATCGATACCCGGATACTTTTCATTTCAACATTGTCACTATCACCATTCTAGAGTTGCTGTGCCGAGTCGTATTCCTGTGCCTCTGAGAGCACGGTCTCGTGGATCACCATTGTGGATGCCCCGGTTGAATCGTGAGCGAGGGCGCGTCGTTGCGCGTGGCGGTGACCTGTTGGTGGGATGTGGGGCGTTGCGGTCGAGTGACGCTCAATGTATTGGTAAGTTCTGTAGGTGGATGGCCCTGGAGGTAGTCGGTGCGTGTACAGTTGGTGTTTCAAATGAAATTGGCTTGTAATAAACGAGAAGCTCAGTGTGAGTTCCAACGAGCGTCGTCATACTGAGTGATGCTCGGCTGCAGTGTGGCTGAGTCGCAGATCAAGTATGCTTGGTATCGGGTTACGAGGCTGTGGTGAGAGCTGCGGTGTTGTCCACTGCCATCCTGGTGGTGGGACCGTGAGTTCACCTTATATCAACATAAGCCACTTAGAGCATCAGCGCAGCGGTCAAGACCCCTAGGAAACATGCGTCCTGCAGATGTCCCCGGTTTACGATGATCTCTTGGCTAGAGTTGCTTTATTGTGTTTTGTGGTTGCCTTGTAACTCCGCCTTGCCAAGGTTGCCACGTGCAGTCTCGTTCTTTCCTGCACCCGGTATTTACCTCAGATGGGCCGAGGGAAAAGCGGTCAGCTAGACACTGCTGTACATCACACTCACATGCGTCTTTCTTTCCAACAAACCCCATCATTTACCATCTTGTATTATTCTGTCACTAACAAGACTACGACATGCGGAATCCCTTTCGTTCAACAGCTCGCTCCGACGAGCATGCCTAGGAGACAGGCCGTCCTCGCGCTGCCGCCACCTTCACCGCGCCTTTCTCGCGTCTCTCAAACCGCGTCGGTTCTCCGACAGCCCCAGATAATCGGCAAGAGCGGCAACGCGATGAAGAAGACGCGCCTTTCTTTTACAATCCTAACGACTGGACGCACAAACGCGACCTCCACAATAATGCTGTCAGTCTCTTGAAGGCCAAGGACAAACACCAACGGCCACGACTTGTCGTCAGGAAGGTTCTCGAAGATGAAGATAGCGTCACCAACAAGAAGTCTCATGAGGTTCAGATGCTCAAAATCCTCCCGCGCCACAAAAGGATCGTCCATCCCCTTACATGGCTAACGAACTCATCTGGAATCGGTGAAACGATCTCTGAGTACTATCCCAACGGTGACGTGGATCAATGGTACAATCGCCACTATGGTTCCAAGAAGGCGGTCCCGGAGGATTTCATATGGCGTTTCTTCGTGCAGATGACACAAGCACTGGCGTTCATCCATGGAGACATTCCCCCAGATCATGCAGAGCCGGGTGTCATGGTTCACCGAGACATAAAACCGAAGAATGTTTTGGTCACGTACAACGACACCAAGTATCCCTCCTTTAAGTTGTGTGATTTCCAGCTTGCCATGGTCTGGACAACGGACAGTAGTGATAAGGAGAACTATATCGGAACATTTGAATGGCAGCCTCCGGAGAACCCGAAAATCAACACCAAAGCGGCTGATATCTGGTCGTTGGGTGCCTGCGTTCAATTTCTTGCGACTGGACAAGAACCATGGCGGGATGGTCGGCGGGATCGGGACCGTTGTTGGCAGGAGATACAGGCACACTTGGGGCGGTATGCAAGAGCGGAGCATTTCTTCTGGGCGCGACTTCCGAGACGAATAATCCCAATCGATTATGACCGGACACAACAGCTCGGCCTTTGCGCGACTGGCCAAATATACCCTCAATACAGTAGAGAGTTGTACGACTGGATGAGTGCTTGTATGGCGAAGGAGCGCGCGGACCGGCCGACAACAGCTGTGTTATTACAGGACATGCGCAATGTCGCGCGAGGAAGATTGAGCAAAAAGGCGTGGGACGACATGGAACTTTGACGTCCTAGACAGCATCCTTCCATATCCTTATGATATGTAGCTTCTCCCAACCAGCTTTCTTTCCGCTTGTGCCGACTGTCTCTGCTTGCCATCCAGATGCCCTGTCTCTTATCTGCTGTTTGACAGTGTCTGGCTTGTTCTGTGCACACAGCAGGACGTAACCTACCCCGCGCCCTTCACTCAATATGTCCGGGATCTGCTCCAGCATTCTGTTCGTCACCACCATTCCGTCCTCTCCACCAGCATATGACAGCTCCAGTAGGTACGAGTCCTGCTCGAAGCTGGGCTTTGTCTTACCCTCAGGCACGGCATTGAAGTCGGCATGGCGCGAGAAATCGGGCAGCTCGGCGGGTACGTATGGCGGGTTGAAGATGAAGACGTCGATGGAGTGCGCGCGGACTGAGGACGCCAGGTCGCCGTTTACGATATCCAGGAATACAGATCGGTCGGCCAGATGTTCTTTCTCCGTGATGGCTGTTGAGACTGTCTGTGAAGCTGCTTGACAGGCGAAGCTGTTGATGTCAGTGCCAAAAGTTAACACATCATGGCGACCAAAAATGCTGCGCGCATTTGCTGCGACAAAAGCCAGCACGACGCCTGAGCCGACTCCCACTTCGAGCACCAACGGCGGGGTACTCGACAGCGGGAAGCGCTCTGAGAGAAACGCTGACTCGGTCGGCGATGCTAGGGTGTCGAGCAGCAGGTACGAGTCCTCGGCCGGCTCGTACACGCGATCGAAGCAGACGTGCGAAGTCGAAGGCGTCGGCAGCATGTTGACGATTGCGGGAGTCCGGACTGATGCTCAAAAAAGATTGGCCAATGTGCTCTGGACCCTGACAGCGCTAGCCGAGGCTGAGGTCATCGAGCCTCTCGATCATCATGAATCCATCCCTTCGGTTTGGATCTTCCATCTTCGACATCTTTTGAACCACTAATTGATCAAAATGAGAATATACTCGCGACTACTGGCCACGGCCACAGATGCTGGCGCGTCCAAAGGGCCCTTTCGACCAGCTCCGGCTGCGTTACTGCCACCGATCCCACTGTACAGGACGATACTGAGAACACATCGAAAGAAACTACCTGTAGAACAGCGGTTGCTTGGCGACATGTATGTCAAAGCTGAGTTCAGGGCGCACAAGGACATCGACAATCCCGTCCAAATTGTAGGTCATACGCCACTACACGTGATTGGATAGCACAGTAACAGCAACACAGATTGGCTTCCTTTCAGAATGGCAAATGTATGCCCAGGCGATAGAAGGCGATACCTGGAAAGGAGAAAAGATGGACAAAGCCAAGATCGATAAAATGAGCGGTACGTGAATGCCCTACGGACAAAGCAAACCCTCACTGACGACCTGTAGACCAACAAATCGGTCAGCTGTACGAGCTTATGCAGCAGATCAAGAAGCAAGAAGCTGAAGAGGCCGAGGCCGAGGAAGCCGAAGTCGTGGTTCCCCTCGATGGCCCAAAGAAGTCCGATCAGTGATCATTGACGGTGAACAGTGATGCCCCTTCACAGATCAACGACGAACGACCGAGGCCTCGCATCCAGCATATGCAGGCAAACAAGTTCGCAGACGCTTTCACAGCAGCCTCGAGATGTACTATATATGTTCAGCGAATATCAAGACTTACACCGACATCCTCTCCGTCCACCCTGATCAGCACCTGTCTACCTCGGCGACTCGCCGTCTTCGTGCTACCCACTTCGATTTCTCGTGTATTCTCGAAGCCGGCCAAGTCAGACGAGCACCTCCCACCTTCAAGATGTGTGGCTGTACCCTTTACGACTCTCCTACATGTGGCCACTCCTGGATCTCCATGTCCCAACCCTGCGGCTTCCTCTCGGACCTCCTGAGCTGTCCTAACCGGCAAACCTACCAAACCTTAATCGCACCTCCGTTTACCTGCCCGCAGTGCAACAGCGGCTTCGCAGACCGCGAGACCATCGAGATGGTGCAAGGACCGTGGGGTTGCAACCAGTTGATCCGTAGTCACATTGGCGGAAGTAACGCCATTCCTGGCTCTTGGGGCAATGTACCGTTGGCGACGACTAACTGGGGTGCTGGGAAGGGTATCGGACTGAGTATGGGTTTGAGTATGCCAATGACGTCGAATCGAGCGGTGGTGCCGGTCAACGGGTTTGGTAACTGCTATGGGTACGACCATCGACTTACTGGACCGTATGGCTCGCAACCAGCGATCTGTGGTGGGTACGACTCCTTTGGCAACGGCATGGTTGTGGATGATGGATTCGTTGACGACTTTGGCTATGTATACGACGGCCGAAGACGAAGAAAGCACAGCAGCAGGTCGAAGTACGTCTATCGTCACTCGTCGAAGCCGGCAACCAACTGCACGGTCATGTAGCCGTCGATCGTTTGCTGAGTGTTTTGGAAGAAATACCTCCTTGGCCACTACTCTGATTACCTCCAAGCTGAACAGAGAGCCTAGGGCTTTACAGCACTGTACATTCTTCGCGCCTCTCCTTCTTTCGCATGACTTTCAAAGCAAATACCTTGTCAAAGTACCGTCATACACCCTTGCATATCGGTCACGTTCTCAAGATCAATATGCGTATCACCCTGAGAACCAATCAGATGCACCTCGGCCCCTGCCGCAATGACCGCCAGCCCCGCTACTGGCGAAGCTTGCAAGCTCTCCCTCCTTCGCGCCGCTCGGTCAGTCTTCACTGGCGCGCTCCGGCTCTGACGCCACTCACGCAGCCCCCAACCTTCAACTTATCCTCACGACTACGTCGCAAGCACATAGCAACACCTGTTCACTCACGGGCATCAGGCAGCAGCGGGGTACTTCAGGCCAACACCACCGCATAAGCTCCAAACAAGCTCCGCGCACCACGTCACTCGCCCTCTACCTTACACACACACGCCGACAACATGGCGGGCAGTTTCCTCGAAGACCTCTGGGAGTCTATCTTCACCCCAGGTCCCACACCGACCCTCCTTATCGCGACCAACGCCTCCTTCGCTGCCCTCCAGCTTCTCTTCTTCGCGCTCTTTATTGGCACCTACAGTATCCACTTCGTAATCCTGTCCTTCCTCACTGGCGGCCTCTGGTACGGCATCAACTGGTTCGCGAAGGAGATAAGCATAGCGCAGAAGGCAGAAGAGGAGGCTAAGCGCATTCGCGCTGAGAGGCGCGGGAGTGAGAAGGACGCAGCTGGCGACGGAGACCAAGCAGACATCGACACAGGGGATGACACGGAAGTCGACGCAAAGGAGGAGGTGCAGAAGCAGACTGACGGGCTAGCAAAGAAGGAGAAGCGTGCCAGGCCCGAGACCCAGAGCACCGTGTTTGTAGACAGGCCCGAGAGGGAGCAGACACCCCGGGCTACTGCGAGCGCCTCCGGTGGTGGACCTGCTGGAGCAAGCACAACTGGCGCGTCGACTAGGCTTGCGCCGCTGGTGGACGGTGCGATGAAGCAGCGGAAGGGCGGGCTTGGAGAGAGCACGGGGGATTTGAGTACAGATAGCGAGTGGGACAAGCTTTCCGAGGACTCGGAGGGGCGATAGGATATCTGCGAACGATTTTCTATGTTGTTGTTCTACTCGATCGGCTCTGAGCTCCATGGTTATCAAAGCCCGTACGCAACCCTGCATTTCACGTGCACACGCGCTTGCTCTTCGTGACCATGGTGTATCCTCCGGAAATCCCCTCACGGTTGCTAGAGCAGACAAACTAAGCCAGACTGCCCATATCACCATCGAACAAGTGCGAGTCACATGCGCTGAGCATCCAACGTGCGAAGGCTCCGTTTTGGCGCCCAAGCTACGTCAGCCCCACAATTGACCGCCGGCGCCCATCACAGTGCACTGGGCGATGTCTTAATAAGACGCCAGGCACCAACAAACGTACCGCACCGGACAGATGAAGACGTGTAATCCCACAACATACCGGTAGCGGCCAGGGAATCTCTACAACGATTCTCCCGTCTCTCCACCGCCGCTCCCTCAGCACGATTACACATCCTACAATGTCCTCCCGCAATGCGCCCAGCGTGGCCGACCTGGCTGCGCAGGCCAACAACTACACATACAATGCGCACATACCGCTGGCAAACTGGCTGCGAACGGCGAACACCATGCAGAAGGAGGTGTGTTGCATGAGCCAGTACAATGGCCTGGAGCTGACGTATGCAGGCGCAAGTCTATGAGATCGAGGGTAACGAGGCGCAAACTTACCTCCTTCTGTGTCGCCACGCCGGCCTTGTGCTGGATCATCTGATAGAGCACCCTGACCGCAAGAAGCCGGAGAACCGAAAAGCGCTCAACGCTGCAACCAAGACTGTCCAAAGCGACCTTCAGAGGATGGAGGAGCTCCGGCCGCGGATAGAGAGGCGACATGAGGAGTACGAGGACAGGAAGAGGCGACAGCAGGATGCTTTGAAGGCATTGCAGGGCAAGCACGCGAAGAGCTTGCCACATGAGTCGGACGCACTCTCGATACAAGACCGGACGTCCCGGAGAATATCGTACGGGGAGAGACCGGCGCTAGACGCGCGGAACCTGGACAACCACTCGTTGGCAGCGAGGCTGGCGCAGAGAGAAGTGCGGCGGCGAGATACACAGCGCATGAGTGTCCGGCAGGCTGGCGTGTCGGAAGAGGAGGAGCAAGAGAGGAGGACTGGTGGCATCTGGGGGACTTGGGACGATGAATATGCGCGGCAAGTTCGGCCTGGGGATGATTTGTCCAGTCAGATTCAAGAGGTCGCGCGCTTGCAGAGAGACGGCCAGCGCATGTCGTACTCCCAGGTACGTCTCGCCTTCAAGTACGATGAGCACGCACCGCTGACCCTTACAGCGCCCACCCTCGCAAACTTCCACGTCAGTATACAACTACCCATCCGTACCACATACCTCCGCGCAGGATCAATGGTCAGATTCCAGCACGCAGGGTTCCTCTCTACCTGCTCGTCCACCAAAAGAGCAAATCTGGAGATCCTCCGGCGCGCCCTCAATCCCACCACCTCTCCCACCGAAATCCTCCACACCAACACATCCAAGTCTCTACGATCGGCCCTACCCGCCTCCAGTACCCGGAAAGTACGCCTCCGACGCACCGCCCATACCAGGAAAATACACCACCGAGCGGCCCCCCACACCCTCCAACGAACTTGACGACTTCACCTTCCAGCCTAGCGCCTTCCTCGAAAACGGCGACCCTTTGCGGCCCGTCTTTCTCCCCTCCCAACTACGCTCTCAATTTCTCGGCAGCGCATCCACAAACACGCGCCTAAACCTAGAGACGTGCGGCATGCTGTGCGGCATTCTGAAGAACAATGCCCTGTTCATAACGCGGCTAATCATTCCCGAGCAGACAAGCACAAGCGATACCTGCGAGACCCTGAACGAGGAAGAGCTATTCGACTACTGCGACAAGGAAAATCTGCTGGTCGTGGGCTGGATACACACACATCCCACGCAGACGTGTTTCATGAGCAGTAGGGATCTGCACACACACGTCGGCTATCAGGTCATGATGGCCGAGAGCATTGCAATCGTCTGCGCGCCGTCGAAACAGCCCAGCTGGGGCTGCTTTCGGCTTACGGATCCGCCGGGGAAGCAGGCGATACTGAGCTGCTCCAAGCCCGGCATTTTCCATCCGCATGATGTGGATAATATTTATACGGAGGCGCTGAAGCCGGGCCATGTCGTGGAGCTGCAGAACGCGCCACTGGAGATTGTGGATTTGCGGCCGAAGAAGAGCTTTACATAGGTCAGGAGTGTCTTTGTTAGTTGCATAGCATAGCGTCAGGCGTCGAGTCTTATGAGCTCTTCTATGTGAAGAGAGTTTGGATGGACGATCATGTCTACTATCTAGATCTGTCATAGGATGCCGTGCTAGATCTATCATAGATATCATAAGTCATATCGCGGCCCCCTTCTCGCACCCACCACTAACGGCATTCCTACTTATCAGCCATCTCCTCCTCCACCCACGCCCGCCACGCCTTCCACTCGCCATACTCCAAGCTCACCTTCTTCCCCTGGTACCGCACAACCTTCAACCCCACCTTCTGCCAGTCGTCCTTCCGCCCGCTCCACCCCGCCTTACGCATCAGACTCACCAGCGTCTCTTCCTTGGTCCAGCCTTGCTCCCGCGCTACGTCCGGGAGGTATGTCGCCCCATACCGCCGCCCGTGGTGCGTCCATGAGATGCGCAGCCCGTGGGTGCCGATGTCCCACGCCAGAGGGTCGGCGTTGGGCGTGGGTTCAAAGTCGGTGAGAAGGGTTACGGCGGCCTGCAGCGAGGGGAGTTCGCGCGCAGTGACGGGCGCGAAGCGCGTGTCGTCGAATGCACTGGGGCGCAGTCAGAATCCTGGCACACATGTCTGCTATTGAATCTGGGCTAGCACAGAAGCAGCGCAGGGAACGCACCTCGTCAACGCATAGCTCTCCAACCCCTCTTCCAGGTCTAGCGGCTCAAACGTGCCAATGCAGCCCCGCAGTCGCTTCTCCCCGCTGCGGCTCACCGTGTTCCATGTCACGAACAGCGGGTGGTCTTCCTGCGCGCCTTCGTTCTGCAGCGCTGTGCCCAGCGATGTCACGCTTGTGTCGGCGCTGCTGGCGGAGCTTGTGCCACTGGGCGTGGATGCTGCGCCGGACGAGCTGCCGCTGGAGGGTGAGAGCAGCCGTGATACCGCGGCGGGTTTGGCGGGCGAGTCGACGTCGGTTCCAGCCGTGGTGGCTGAGCCGTGGTACTTCTTCCATAGTGCTTCGGTTTGGCGCAGGGAGAGCGCGGGGCGCTTTTCGAGGGACGCGGCGAGGCTCTCGAAGCAGTATGCGCAGTGGGCCTCTGTCGCCATTTTGTCCTAGAAGTGGACCCGGATTGGATTCAATGGGGTTCGAAGGCTTCAGCTGCAGTTTGAAGGACGATAGATTCGTGGTCAAGAACGAGGAGGCCCAGTGAGAGTGTATTTCGTAAAGATGAAATTGGCTGTTGCAGAGAGCCAGTCAGGACTGCCGTGTGCTTGTTAAACAAACTAAAGCAAGGCGGTGCAGGCGACTTCCGGATGGCTTCGGCAGTCTTTTCTAGGATCTCTCCGCGGTGAACGGTACAAGAGCGTGAGATCACTTGTCGGAAATCTTGACATATGCGTGGAGCTCTTGTATCGTCTGCGGAGAGAGGTGAGTACGCGTGGTGTTGCGGTTAGGAAGCGTACCCCGCTGGTCAAAGCCATCTCCACAGGTGAGGGGCGGCTATCTGCACGACGTCACATGAGCAATGTGATATCGGAACTCGCACCTGAGACTGATTTTACTGATTGTATTGGTCTATGTGCATGAAATGAATGCATCGAAACACTGTCGAGTTATCGTATGGCGATGCCGCATCCTAGCCAACCAAGGGTGAGGCTGCAACACTGCACTGTTAGTAGAAGGTATGTAACCCCAACTTCATGCACACTCGCTCTACAGGGTAAAGAACGGTGTGTTTGGTAATGTTGGGGTCTTTGATCTTGGCACGATAAGATATTCCTTCAGCAGGTCGAGCATGGGAAAGCTCTGTTGCTGTACACACTAATGCCTGACGTCTCGAGGTTTGACCCTCCTCTCCCCAATCACTTACTGAATTAGACAAAATGAATGCTCGCACGCATCACGCGCAATTGATCGGGACCGACCATGACTTTTCGACTTTTTCATTGTCGCATCTCAGTGCCTATGGTGTGGAACCCCGTCCACCCGTCTGGGGCTCGTTGCCGCCAGAGAAAGTCCGAATGCCATTGACGCTGACCAGAAGTCTCATGAGGAATCGATAACCGCCCTGTGTCTCGCTCGTTCGTGATCGTTCGTCGCTTAAGCAGCATCGCGCTTGCCCTCCTTGACCTCCTTCTGTGTAGGGGTTAGCTGGCCATGTCCGTCTCGATCTGGGAGCTGTTGGTGAGACGCACCAGGGCACGCATGGTGCCGTGCAGAGCATGCCTATGGTTGCGGCGGAACTTGGGGTCGGTGCCCTTGAGCGAAGGGTAACGGTGAGTCTTGGGCTTCTTGATACTGCAGTCCATCACGTCAGCGTGCTACCCCTCATCCACTGTGCGCAGCGGTGTATGCTTGGAGCGGGTGCGATCGATGTCGGTTCATGTGCGCTCGCGGTATGGAGTTTGCGTACCCGTTCCTGTGGTTCTTCTTCGACTGGTTGTGCTGGGACGAGTTCTTTGACTCTGCACTGCTGTTAGCAGCGCTCTTCGCCTTCCGTAGAGCTTTCCAACGTACTGGCCATGGCGACTGATTTCGAGACGTGTGAATTTGTCGTGGAGTCAGATCAAAGCTGACCCTGTGTTGAATTCGCCCGGGCGGTGCGTTCGCTTGTGCCGGACTTGGCGCGCTAAGCCGCTTAGGGGCGACGTGGAGCAACATCAACCCCAACTTACCCATTGCAGCAGTACATAATGCGCGATTGGCTATGCAGATTGTATTATTCGCTATCGTGTATTCGTTTCAGCATTCAGGTTGGTTTGTTGACTCCGCGCCGAAGTCGCAGATCGCACGCTTTCTTGGTCCATTCCCAGCTACTTCTTGTAAACGCTCACATCGGTCTTGCGTGATGATAAAAACACAAGAGAGCTTTAGTTCTCCCTGGACTGCTTAAATTCCATCGCATCCTGTCCAGCCTGCTGCTGACGCATGCGCTCGCGGATGACATCCTGCGCTGTCGATGACTGGCCAGGGCCTGGTATGCGGTTCGCTGAGTCGCCCTCATCGAAAGTCATACCGTTAATCACACGGGCCTGCTGTCGCTGCTGCTCAGCGCTCGACGTAGTTTGTGCAGTACCTGAGCTGGCAACACTCGCGCCTGTCAAAGGGCTGGCAGTACCCTGCTCCCTGAGGTAGCCAGGTACTGCACTTGCCTTGCCAACAGCAGGGCTACCGAGCTGGCTGAGTTGCCTTGCCGGCGTCCTGGCTCCCTCTCCAAACCCAACAAGAGAGGCCTCGTCACTGAATCCGCCTACGCTGGATGTCTCCTCGTTCTGGTCCTCGCTCATTCGGTCAGGCTCATTGACACCCGCATCGCTACCGCTTGCCCAGGTCGTGCGACCACCTACGCTACCGGTGGCAGACGCACTGCCAACAGTGCTCCTTTCGCGGAACATCTGCGGCTGGTTGTTCGAGTCAAAGTAGCCAGGTGGAGGGTTGGCAGCGCTTCCTGGGCCGAGGCCTTGGGTGTTGCGGCCGCTGACGCCAATGCGCTCGAGACCCGCCAGACGCGAGATGCGATCCGCTCGCTCAGCGTCAGCAGGTTGGTGGTGGTGAGGGAAGTGCCCGCGGTGTCCGTCCTTGATGGCCACTGTGGACAACTCTGACATGGTCGTGGTAGCTGAATTCGGTGTGCCCCTGATCGTGTTAGTACCCATGCTTGAACAACATACATGCTACTTACGGGATATCGCTAGGGGTAGCTGGATCCGCCGGCGGCGGCGGCAGGTTGATCAAAGTGGGCGCTTTTGATGTCATCGTGAAGGTGTTGTGTATTTGTTGTTTTGGTAGAGGGTCGATAAAGCTGGAATGGTTGCAGTGCAGCTCGCGATGCAAGGTAGGGAGCTAGAACTGCCCTGGAGAGATGACGTCGCTGCGGGGCAGGAGCTACACACGCGAGCCGTGTAATGTTGGTACAACGGTCGTACTGATCGTCAGGGGCGAGTTGGAACATGCACAATTCAGCTCACAACGCAGCCCTCTGTTCAAGCTATGTAGATGAGGCACGATGCTGTGCATCATGAAAGTGGAGGTGCGCTGCTGCGCGCTGTTCACTGGTGGGACACAGGGTCCACGCTAACTGGAGCCTCAACTGCTCCTTGTCTCACTCCAACATCGCCGGCATCTACAACAAAGTCTCTGGCAGTGTCTTCCACTTGTGTCTCTGCACCCAATGTTCTATCAAATCTTGCCGTTGCGCAACGTCATCTTGCGTCAACATGCGATCTCTGATGTGTTTCTCCAGCTGTGACAGCTGTTGCGCGCAAGAAGCTGAGAGAAGGAAATCCCCATCTTTGCAGGCAATTGGGAGCGAAGTTGAAGAGCACGGGTCAATACACCATAGAGCTCAAGTCTCGCCACACACCGTTCAGTCAGATGTGATTTGTTGATGTAATTCGCAGCAACCAGGCAACAGTCAGTAATCACGACCTCAGGCAGCAACTTTCTGTAAGGCCTGACTCGAAGCAGCGGATTGAAAATTGTCGAATAACCTGCCACAATACTCTATCAAACCCACTCAAACTTGATTGTACATCGTTCCGCAATGTCAGCCAAAACCTACACCGGCCCCTCGGTCCCAGACATGGTCCGCGACAAGACACTCGCAGCCAACATCATCAAATTCCACAACCACCCCACCAGTGACAGTATACTTGACGGGGAGAATCTCAGTCTACTGCAACGGTTCGTTGAGGAACCGAGCAAGCGCGAGCAAGTTTTGAGAGATGAGGGGATCGAGCCTGAAGAGTCACTGAAGGGAAAGCAGGCCAGTCTGGTGGCGTATGCGGTCTGGGCACATGGAAGAGAGGAAATGAATGGTGGTATCTTGAAGGAGGAGGATTTGGAGTTGTTGAGGTTGTGGTTTGAGATGAGGAAAGATGGGGAATAGACGCGAACTGGACGGCTCAGGACGGAAAATTTGACTGTGGGTGCTTGTTGATGAGGAATACTGGAGGTATTAGACGCATGCTTGCAGAGCTCATGGAAGTTGCAGCATCTTCTGGCGTCTACCTTCGTGCGTATCGACCCGAATGGGCGAAGCGTCGCCAGCTTGCAGTCTTCCAATTCTTACTGAGAAAGTGTTGGATCTTCGATGGCGTTGTACATCGTCATGTTCATTGACCACAATTCAGAGAAAAAAGCTGCGATCTTTCTGATAGCTGCAGATGACTCGTACGTTGTTAAGATATACTACCAGGAAGTTCGAAACGAAGGGGAAGTCTTCTAGCTTTGCGGACAAACCTCGATGGGCAGTTTGACCGAGGTTTACCTTCTACCCCACTACTCGAGTGAAAACTTTTACGGCCATACCAACTAAGCCTCACATCTCATTATCCAGGATGAAGATTACCCTGAAGGGACGCATCACGCCCTCGAACACGCAATGCCTTTAATTACTTGTAAAATAAACATTATAAATAATCTGCCTTCCATGCAAGCACAGCAAGCCCGGCTGGCACAATCGGTAGCGCGTGAGACTCTTAATCTCAAGGTTGAGGGTTCGAGCCCCTCGTCGGGCTACATGTTTTTGTCAAGCAAGTGCGTCGATCGGTCAAGTAGTTGTCGAAATATCTTAAATTTTGTTCCAGGGGTGGTGCTGTTGGTTAAGAATCCGGAGCGTACACTAGCGCCGGCACTAGCGATCTGGAGCCGAGCATGATCGTGCCTTCCTTTCGAGGTGACTTCATCGTCACCCTTGCAATCGCTACCTTTTTGACTGTCTGGTGATACAGGAATGCCATCGCACGCTAGCTGCGACCTGCGAACTTGCGAAGCGGTCACGACGCGTTCAAGTGCTGCATGATCTTGCTGCCCCACCAAAACACTGCATCTATCGCGCAGCAATGTCGGCGCATTCGTACTCGATCAGTTGATGGTACTGCATATGCTCGGCAGTCAACCTACCGTAGACAGTCACCTCCTGAGGATCCAAAGGACTCAATAGGTCGACACAGTAGCCTTGCTGAGCGCAAGCCGTCACTTCGATCTCGCCCTTGCTGACTTTCTTAGTGTCGCGGGCGCTGCTGACGGAGTGAGCCTCTCCTATTGTCAAAAAGATCCAGATACGTACTTGAGGTCTCGAAAATGGTGGATTCTCACCGATTGTTTGCATAAGATCTGTAGATTAACAGGGCTTCTGAAGGCTACAATTAGATGCTTCGCTGCGAATAGCTTTCCCCGCGACATGAGGGTGAACCCGTTCAGGAACAGTATGTCTTCTACTCATTGACCGCGACTGCCATTCTCCTCGCTATCCTAATCACGTCCTTTCGCCCAACTCATCTGTACACGTAGACTCTACAGCACACCTCACTACCACTGTTACGGCCAAGATCGCGAAGGCCGAGACGACCTGCTGTGCAGCTCTTTGTTGGGTAGAGGCGACATGAAGGGTCAAGAGAACGGCACAGCGGCTTGCACATCTACTTTTCAACCCACTTGGCTTGGTGTGCAGTTGCTTCGCATAGCTCGATGTTAAATCTATTGCGTTAAGTCATCATAGCTGGCGATGATCGTGTTTCAGTGCCGTTAAGCGCAGCGAGCAACTTACAGAATCCTCATTCCGTGAGAATACGGCCAGTGATGCATGGCTTTTATGATTGTATTATAGGATGGGACTATCGTCTAGTGACATGCAGTTCTCATGGAAGGAGAGTCGGTGCAGACCATGTGATATAGGAACTGAGACAGGTAGGATGTCGCGGTTTGGGGTCTCCTGCACTGACGCTCTGTCGCACCTCACTATTCTTGCACTGGCGCTGTTTACAGCCTCCTGACTACATGTGCTGTTTGTAGCGTCATACAACACAACTCCAGTACAATCTTTCAATTCTATGCGCACTGCATACTCACTGCGACATAGGAGCAATGCCAGCGAGACTTCCAAACGTCACCTAACTCACCTCACCGTTCTTCATCAGCACCCTTGCAAATCCACCGCACCTACTGCAGTGGCGAGTAAGAAGGCGAAGAGCAAGCGCAAGAAGCCGGAGGAGGGTAGCAGCAAGCAGATGGTCATGGTGATCGCTGAAGATCGCATCGAGATCACGGCGCAAGGGAAGCTGAAACCAAAGACGCGAGGTTGTGTCAGGGAGGCAAGGGCCTGAAGAGCCAAAGGCATTCCTCAAAGCAGAGAGTAAAGAATGCTAATGCTCCCGCTGATCAGCCGCCTCAGCATTACAACACACAGCGGAGTGCCCGCGAGTTAAAAAAGAGCTGGACGACGGTAGCCAACAGGAGATTACACGTCGTGTGGAGGCAGTCGTGCAACGGGGCTCCAGCATCAAGAGCAAGAAGATCCACAACTTGAAGTGGCTATCAAAAAAGGCGAGGCAGAATGTAAGGATGAGAGAACCTTACCTTCAGAGGATACTATTCAGGCGCTACCCGAGATTCTGCAGGGTGATGTGCGGCGATACAATGCGACCTCAAACCAAGTTCAAGAATCATGGCAAAACGTGGACGAAGGTCTCAACGACAGAGTGACATCGTCCTACTTCCAACGCCGAGTCTTAAGACCCGGGAGAACATGTGTCTGCTAGGCGGTTATCGTATCGTCCAGGGCTCTGCAATTTTTCACAAGGACACAAACTCCATGCTGCAGTAGTCATGAGCCCTGGAATGTCCTCGCCCGCCCTCCGCCATGAAGTCTCCCCTATGTATACTTACATCCTGACCCGCCATGCAGACAGGTACGCTGACATGGAGAGTTCCAGTAGCGGCGCCAAAACGACGCCATTATGTCGGGGAAACTTTGACAGTAGTAATATTCTCGTCTGATGAGAATATCTCTCAGTAGTGGGGTCGACCCAGTCCTCGAATCGTCGTTGTAGATCATTGAATCTGGTTTGAGCACAGTCATTCTACGCGACCGGAGTAACCAGGCTACTTTGTCCCGGCATAGTACTATGCAGATGTCGAAGAGGAGGAGTCTGGAGGTAGTCAAGAGAATAGCCCAGCCGGCGGTCTTAGTGACAATGTCGGGCTCAAGTAGCCTCATGACCACATTGTCCTCGCCCTTAGCCAGGTCTTTATCAAATTGAGGTTGGGTTGATCAAACTGACGATATCTAGCGAAGGATTACGAGGGCGTTAAGATTGCCAAACGGACACACTGCAATGCGAATCAGCGGCAGAGTTTCGCTAAGTAAGAGTGGCGGCCAGATCGGGCTGGACAAGCTGCTGTCGTCACAGATATGAAGCAATTCAATTATTGTACCATTACAGGCGCACATCTCAGGTTTAGTGCCCTGACTAGACAGTTCAACTAAGATTTTGCATTATCAACTTTTGCAAGATCTCCTCATGCTGTCGTCAAATACAGCGATATAAAGGAGAGGGAAGGATAAGCGTATTGATAGTGCCCAAAGCCGCATTGCATGGCTGCAGCTTGAGTATGTTTGCCAAATAAGTCTCACGTAATGTACGTCACATCACTCGTCATTGACAATAAAATTATTCGTTGATGTCTTATTCCATTGATCGTTGGTTGACATCGATCATGCTAGATATGCTCTTCATCCTACATAAACAAGGAGTATCACACCATCCATCGTAAAACCAAACAGCGTGAGAAGTTCAATATTCGGTCCATTCCAACCGATACACATCCATTTTGTTGAAAACGCCGTCGTACGCCATGCCATTACAATAAGAGCTTAAGCAAGTCGATACGCGACAGGCTTAAATGGGGAGAGGGAAAGTGACGGCCCAGGCGGCAATCTCCTTCTTCAGGCTGTTGATCTCCTCGACCTCGCCAGAGGTAACCTTGGTCTTGAAGTCCTTGAGCTTGTTGGCCTCCTTGGGGAGCTCGGACTGGATCTTCTTGCACATCTTGATGACCTGGTCGATATAGTGGGCGATCTTCTCGAAGTCCTTCTCACCGAGACCACGCGAGGTCATGGCAGGAGCACCGATACGGATACCCATGGGGGTAAGAGCGGACTTGTCACCGGGGGTAGTGTTCTTGTTGCAGGCAATGTTGACCTGCTCAAGGACAGCCTCGACACGGGCACCGTCCAAGTTCCACTGCTTCAGGTCGATCAGGACCATGTGGTTGTCGGTGCCGTCAGTGACGAGCTTGAAGCCAAGCTCTGTGAAGGTGTTCTCAAGCTGCTTGGCGTTCTTGATGACCTGCTGCTGGTAGAGCTTGAAGTCCTCAGTCTGGGCCTGCTTCAGGGCAACGGCGAGCGCAGTAATGGTGTGGTTGTGAGGTCCACCCTGATGACCGGGGAAGACAGAGAAGTTAATGGGACCCTCAAGGTCGTACAGAGTGTCCTTGCCGGTCTTGGTATCGGTCTTGCGGACGCCCTTGCGGAAGAAGATCATGGCACCACGGGGACCACGGAGCGACTTGTGGGTAGTGGTGGTGACAATATCGCAGTAGGGGAAGGGCGACTTGTTGACGCCAGCGGCAACGAGACCAGAGATGTGAGCCATGTCCATCATGAGGTAGCAGCCGACCTTGTCGGCGATCTCACGCATGCGGGCGTAGTCGATCTCACGGCAGTAGGCGGAAGTACCGGCGACAAGGACCTTGGGGCGGTACATCAGGGCGTTCTGTTCGAGCTGGTCGTAGTCAATGAGACCAGTATCGAGGTTGACGCGGTAAGGGAAGGTCTCGAAGTATGTGGAAACAGCGGAGATCTTCCTCTGGGGGGTCTGGTAGCCGTGGGACAAGTGACCACCGTGGGGCAGGTCGAGACCCATGAGGCGGTCGTGAGGCCTCATAATGGCCTGGTAGACCTGGAGATTGGCTGGAGATCCAGACAAGCACTGAACGTTAACACCCCACTTCTCGTTGTCGAGACCAAAAGCCTCCAGGGCACGCTTCTGGCAGAGAAGCTCGATAGCGTCGATGTGCTCGTTACCGCCGTAGTAGCGGGCTCCGGGGTAACCCTCGGAATACTTGTTCGACATGGGTGAACCAAGCGCGTCAAAGACGGCGCGGGATGTGACATTCTCGGAGGCAATGAGGAGGATGGACTCGCGCTGGCGCTGGATCTCGCGTTCCTGTGCAGTGTAAGCAGCTGCACACACACCAAACAAAAGCTGTGCTCACCATAATCTGAGCGACCTCTTGGTCAGTGTCCACCAGGGACTTCTCCATGAGCTGTCATGAGTCAGTATCATCCATTGTCCATCAGGTGCGGGGAAACATACGTCCTGATGGGACTTGGGGAGCGCGTAGTTGGACATGATGGATCAATTGATGGTGAGAGAATGAACAGGGCAGAAGGGGGGTGAGGAGAGATGAAGAGACAGGGTGAGAGGTTTTAAGCTCTTGTCAGAGTACTGCATGGATAAAACCTCGTGCCACGCGCCGCCGCGCCTTCAACTTTTTTGCGCCTGTTGCGAGGGGCACATCACGAGCTAGCCTCAGCTAGGGAAGGCGGCCCGCTTCACCTGCATGCAGACCAGCCGGTCATCGGACTCCGATTTCTCAGTAGACATGGCCTGAACTTCGTCCTTCTTGCGTGCGTAAAGCCTCAATGGGACTGTCGCTGTCATCGCAGAAGCTTGGTGCGTTGCTTTCCTGTTTGAGGTGCAAGGCTTCAGCGCGTATGCGGCTTCACTGTCAAGGGACTTCCCCGCATTTTGGACGCGAGGATTTCTCGGGTACATCGATGACTTCACTACAGCTTACGTTGAGAGAAGTTTCGAAACGAGAAGTAAAGTTGATCGTTCCGTATGACGTTTCGATTCTTGTTGTCGTTTACTACATAAATACAGTCCATCAATCGTTCCGTCAGTCGTCCAACCATCTGATCTTACGAGCCAAAGCTCGGTGCAAAAGTCCGCCCAACGCCAGATATGCAAGTAGGTCGTCTGGACAGCAGCAGTCAGCCGCGTCGCCTCGCCTCGCCAAAAAGGGTATGTAGTCGAAAGCCAAGTACGCTCGGCAAAATACAATGCGAACAACAATCGTCCTCTAGAAATATTACTCCTCTATCCTATCATCCACGTCACCATGGCCGCTAGTCGTCGGTCAGACGGTCGAGGACAACGATACTGATGATCATGACAAGCAACCCAATGGTTACTATGATGAACAGTACGAAGCCGAACCAACCTAGGACCATGGCTGATGTTCCAACGCCAGATTTGACACTCCCGTTCCCTAAGTCTTGCGCTATGGTTGCTGCAGCGACGGAGGCGGTATGTTGCCATAAGACGGAGACCAAGACGAATATGGACGAGACGAAGATGAGTGCGAGAGCGACCTGCGATACGGGTCTCGAGGGGAAGGGCTTGACATCGACATCAGAGCCTGTGCGCTCGTCGCGCTCCTCGTGCCACCCAGGAAAGGTCGCGAGCAGAACGAAGGTGAAGAAGGCAAGGATGATGGCCACGATGAGCAGGTAGGGGAAGACGACGGCGTCCTTGAAGGTCGCCGCGACCCAGACGAGGTTGAGCGGGTCCTGGTCCACCGACAGGTTGTCGACAAGCGCAGTCGCGTTGTTGGAGCATATGTAACCGCCGCCATCACGGTTGATGCAGATGCCAAAGTATCCAACGCGCACGCCGAGCTGCGCGTTGCCAACAATGTTCGCAATGGCTTGTGTGACGCCGGGGTCGACCTGCTCGGTCGAGTATGTGGGTGTGTACTTTTCGTACCACAGGGAGATGAGGAAGATGCCGGGGATGAGTGGTGATGTGGAAGAGCATCCTGCCAGTAGTAATGCTACGCGCTGTCAGTGTCTGTCCCGGCATGCTGTCACCACAGGACTTACATAGTAGTATGATAGCAATGGCTATCAGAATCATAAGTACGTGGTGGTATCCGAGAAACGGTACCAACCCTGCGGCGCTATTAGCTTCCATTCCTTCTTTGACGACAGAGAGTACCCACGTTGCATGCTGACCGCAAATCTGAGGTTCGCCATGTCTGTGTCTCTTCAAGAATGCGCCTGAGCGGTTGCACTCCAGTTGACCCTGCGCCCCAGGAGGGCCGGGCAAGACAGTTGGCGGAATGCACTCAGACAGTGAGTCTGCACGAGCGATCGATGTCGAGTTTGTCCCAAGAACGTTCGTCGGCGTGGCCAAGGGTGGAACGTGGGTCGGTTTGGTGTTCTCGACTACCACGTGTGGGGAGCTCTTGCAGGTTTGTGGAATGTAATTCTGCCCTATGTGCAACGAATGTCAGAACCCCTTCAACAGAGGAATGTTCGAGAGGGCTGAGGAAAGTGGATAGCTTAGAGTGTGTCTTGCTCGCGCCTGCAGATACCGATTACTTTGCTGTGCCAAAAATCTATGAGGTTGGGGGAGGCGCGACCCAGCCTCCTGCCAGCCACTCTGTTTACCGCTAGCGCGTAGCAACGGGCAACCGCGACTGACAGAACGTCATTCTGTCCCGCGTCACGACAGAAGCCTGGCCAATCACCCACACTTGGGCATTTCTTTCTAGGCCATTTCAATCTTGTACCTGCAGGGCGGCGCCAAAGTTGACTTCCGTGGTGGTGATGCAGACCAGCCTCCTGCTTTTTGGCTGCAACGTGGCAGCGTGCACCCGGCACCTGAGCGCCTGAGTTAAGATTGCGCAGACCGCCAGCACGAGGGACCCTCACTACAGCGAGGCCTCACAGATGCTCCACTGTTGCAGTGGTGTGAAGTGTGAATAGTGGTGGGGGCTCCCCGCAGATTCGCAGTCCCACACCGGCAGACGGCTGCCTCACGAAATTCGTCTCCCCATCTCCATCCCAATACAGCACGGACCACGAGAATCACAGCGAGCACGGGCGCGTAGGGAACAAATTGGGTATCGTGTTGACTACAGCAGGATGTACTAGTATGCGCGCATTGGCTTCATCCAAGCCTGCAGAGCGGCCTGAGGACCTTTTGTAGGCTCGTACGTGCGAAGTGGCTGCGTCCATGCCTCCTGCGAAAGGCTTTCCGGACCTTCCGGTGGAGCGCTGCTTGCCAGGTTGCACTGCCTAAAGATCCGGACCTCGTCGGGCGCGAATGCTCCCACGACACTGTGAATCGTGCCCTGGTTGTTGAAAAGAACCATGTCACCCTCCTCCCAGTCGTGGCAGTACACCAGCCCTGGTGCAATACCTGGCCGCTGCAATCGATACACCATGTCGCGCACCTCCTTCAGATCCCCGATGACCGAACCGTCCTTGAGATGCAGCCTGCGCACCGCAGACGGATGAATCTGGAGTGCGAACCTTCCGGTCACTGGATTCTTCCACAGCATGGGCAACATCAGGATCTTCGACTCATCGACAGGAGGCAGTTCGTTTGCAGGCAGCTCCAGGCCATCTGACTCTAAACCCAAGCCTGTCGACTTCGACTTCGCAGACGACATCCAGATATAGGGGTGAGCAGCGTATTCGACCTTCGTCGTACGCGCAAACTCCTTATCGCTGTCTGACAGGATATCGTACATGGCATATCCCGAGGCAAATGCTGTGGTACCGAGCGGGACCTGAAGTTCGTCTCCAGTGTCGTCATCGTAGCGCAGTGTCTGCGTCCGACCTTTGGGAACCGAGACGGCCATGAGTGAGGTTACTCGCGGCGGTTGCAGATCGTACAGAGCAGCATCGATGTGCCAACGGTAGAATCGCGTGAAGTCCAGGTCCTCTGCTTCTGGGACAGCGGTCTTGTGGAAGGTCTTGTGGTGTGGGTGCTTGAGCGTGATGTCTTTGAGGCCTTCAAACTCCTCCACGAAGCCGTTTCCGATCACTTGTACCTGGGGCTGGTGCGGGATCGTCTTCAGGTCTGGGTGGAGAATGCTGCGCTTTGCATCCAGCGTCTTGCCATGTCCATAGCCAGAACATGCGGGGTCGAACTTCTGTGTAAGCTCAAATTGTGCCTTCGGTGTGGCATGAGCCTGGTTCTTCAGAACAAGCACTGAATGTGTGTAAAGTCCGTCGTGGATTACTTTCCAGTCTGCCTCAGACAGGTTGTTGACATCGAGGTTAGTGGCAACTGCACCGATGTTGGCTGGGTGTGCGACAGGAGTGATTTGTATCGACGACATGATGAGATTTGTGAACTTGTATCGCTTGCTAGATTTCAATCGCTTGCAGCGGCACAATACTTATTCCTTGAGATGCCCTCTCATCGTCGACGCCTGCTGTTCGTGAACGCGGACGCTGCCGAAGTCCTTATCAGGATCAGGATCAGATTTGCACTTGCATCTCCGGTTCCCGCCCTGCGTCGGCAGTCTGCGACTCAGGAGGCTGCCGTCGCAGGCACAGCATTGCCCCGCCCTTCTACAAGAGGGCATGGAGATACACGCGGGTCTGTGAACGTCTCGTCAACAACCGCGCTCGGTGACAGGCGTGTGGCGGACCGGTAGGCGAAGGCCCCGGCAGTGGCCGACAAGGGTCACACGATGCATGTTCTAGATGATATTGCGAGCTTATAGGTTGCAGGTGAAATATGTTAGTCAATGTTTTGCAAATCATTGCTTGGAGCTGGAGATACTAGATACCAAGGTGCTGGCGAGGAGCGATTGCACGATGCTAATTAACTTAACACGCTAGTCTCCATGTGAGGAGGATGGCAAGGTTTTGAGCATCATACCCAAACGCCAAAGGCACGGAGACAAGGAATGCACCCATCACTGCAGCACCTGGCAGGATGCTGAAGGCCTCCAGGGTCGCAGAATAGGTCGGCCCTGTCCACGATGTAATCGAGCAAGAACTTTCACGAAAATCTTAGCTAAAGAGCCAGAATCGATTACAAAGGATCAAACACAAGTACTTCCGAGGAGGGTATATAGACCGACCGCTCTGCCAATACCATGAAAGTTTTGGGTGCTGTGATGCTTGCTTCCCGCAATGTACGGAGGTATCAATATAAGTAGTGATAACGTTATCCATTGTTCGGTGCTGCGGCGCGCAAGGGTCAGTGATCTTTTGCACTGTAGTTTGAACAAGAGACCCCTCTCCGTGCATACCCGAGGCTCAGATCGCAATCTGCTCAGTCTGAACAAGCGAGTTGGCTGACCCCGCACCTCTCACAAGACCATCTCCGCCACCCAGACTCCACGAAACACCGTAGGAAGCATCCCACGCGCACGGATCTATAATCAGATTATATACATTAAATTTGGATGTTATTCTATCAAGCAAACACCATCTGCTTACGTCAGCAATATCTTCGATGGGTAAGTTTGCACTCACGAGTCATAACAACGATTGATTCTAACAAGTCGTTAGTCTAGTGGTCATGATTTCCGCTTGTCACTTGCAGAAGCAACGAGCGCGGGAGACCGGGGTTCGATTCCCCGTCGGAGAGAATTAAGAAACACCTTTTTGCCGTCATGGGGACCTTCGGTTGGTGTGCGGAACTAATGAAGATAGCTGCAGGGGCGGACAGCATGGTATGACAGCTAAAAAGAATTTTTAGCAGGTAATTAGTAACTACCTAATCCTATCATAAATCTTTACAAGTTGCGAACTGCATTTAGTTAGCAGTAGATTAGGGGGGCGAACTTCCGGGCGGGAAGTCGGACATTTTCAGCACTTCACCACGTCTGTGCTGCTATTGTATCCACTTTACCTGCCAGCTTGGTCTATCTGTTTACTTGCTAAGGCTTCATACATGCCCTAGAGATAAGAGTGGTTCTACAAGATACCTTCACATCCTTATTGCCTTCGAGCAGCTAATAACACTCCTCTTAACAGATTATAGAACATGCAATCGGCGTATAAGAAGGTGCAGATTGCTTCATAGTGACTCGAAGTGCTAATTAGTTCGATTGCACAACTAGTCAGTCTTGTAGCTCTTGCAACTCCTGCTACGCAGGGCATCGACCTTAGTTTCTTTCATGGATCTTGCTTTCGTAATCCACAAGCATTTTCAGTACACAGCGAGTATTGTCGTGTTACCCAGAGAATGACAAAGCTAGACTTGTACATTTGTAGTTCTACCGTCAACGCATACAGCAGCTATGTCTTTACAGCGTCGCCACGCATAATCTTCTGCGCCTCTTCCAGCTGCTTCTCAATATCGAACTCCCAGATCCACTGCATCCTTGTCAAGAAGCTATGCTCGATCTTCTCGAGATCATCGCCGTATAGTTCCATGTCGTACAACTGTCCTGCTTCCTGACTCGTCGTAACATTTTTTTGTGTCCTCTCTCGCCTGGTGTAATCGAAGGCGTGGAATGCACATTCAAGATCGTTCACATTGTTCGCATCCTTGATAAGGTTGGCCAAGATGTAAGAGTCTTCGATGCACATGCCGGCACCGGCGCCTTGGTGTGGTGTTGTAGCATGCGCAGCGTCACCAAGCAGACATAGTCGTCCCTTGTGGAAAGTGTTGCAAGGAGGGTGCATAAACAGCGCCCAGATATCAGGCTTCTCCATGGCGCCGACAATTCTCTGGACCTGTGGACCCCATTCTCTGAACTCGGCTTCCATCTCTTCCTTCGAGGTCGTGACGACCCACTTCTCGTTGTCCCAGGTTTTGCTCGAGTTGAAAGCAACGACTGCGTATGTCAGCGGAAATCAACATGTGCACCATCCAATCACACCCACCGTTCATTGTCTTGCCCCTCTGGACCGGGAAGGTAAGGATATGGCCATGATACCCTAAGAAAATAGAGCTGTTTGCTGCAACATCTTCACCCAGCAACTCCACGGCCTTGTCCATCGGAATCAGGCCTCGGTACGCGTACTTCCCCGAGTACACTGCGTCTGACGCGGTATCGTCTTTGCCGAGTAGCCATGGCCTTGTTTTTGACTTGATACCATCGCAACCAATCACAGCAGAATGCTGCGCTGTAGTCCCATCGGCGAAGTGTAATACCATATCTCCGGAGTCGTCTTTCGCATTGCTCAGATCCACTAGTCTCTTTCCGAAGCGAGCCACGCTGTCTGGAATGTCCTTGACCAGCTCGTCCAGGAAAGCTGCTCTGTAAACACCTCCTCGATCGCCTCCAGCCTCCATTGGCACATCAAAGAGGGCATCGCCCACCTTCTTACCTTCTTTCACGTAGCCATCTTTGTCTGCTTTGCGCTCGTCGCCCACGCGAATTGTGAACCAAGAGTCTGCCTTTTCCTTCCACTGATTTCCTGTCTTCGTTTTCGTGAAAGCTTCGTGGATCTTGGGATCCATGAGCTTCATTGCCCGCCCCGCATTTGGCCCAAGGTACACGCCCGCACCTATCTCGCCGAAGTGAGGCGCCGCTTCGTAAACGGTGATGGGTACACCATACCGTAGGAGTGTGATGGCGAGGGTCAGGCCTGAGATACCACCGCCAACAATGGCCAAATTGTAGTTCTTCTTTGGCGAGTCTGTCGAAGTCATAGTGGAGTGTATCGCGAGGTTTCGAATCCAGTACAGAGGTCGAGGGCTCTGCCTAAGGTTTTGTAACCTCAATACCGATCTGGAGAATAGAAGTGAGCTTTACGGGTCTCAAGCACGGCTGTCAATACGGGTGCGGCTCTGCAGTAACTCACTTCGAGCTTCATCCGATTGGTTCCTTCGACACCACTTGTGATGACGCATGCTAGCAAGAGCTCCGCACCCGGCAAATCAACCAGGCGTCAATAGCTCGTCGCCCTGCATTTCGACTAGCAACGTTTTCGGTAGGCCCAAGTTCGGGGCTCCAGGAACAATATACGAGACGCGCAGCTGCTATAGTGCGGCAGCCGATGGCGCTATCCGATGATGCTTCATCTCGAGTGTATCTTCCGATGTCTGAGCATACGAGGCAGCTTCGAACAGGTTCACTATTTAGAACGAGGACGATGTGGGGTATTTGCGGGGTTGGCCTTGCTCCAAGGATGAATCCGCAATTCGGACCTGGCCATGCTGAGCACAAAATTAGCGACCATGTGATTCGCGCTAGCAACGAGTACCGAGTCTTCACACTGCTTCGATGACCACAACAAAGACACGATCTGCATGCTATTATTGTGCGACCACGCATCGTCCTGCTGATTATTTCAAGATGTCGTTGTGAGCCTGCAGCCTGCGTATCGCTCAACGTGGCTACCCCCTGTCGAATAGGCGCGATGTTCGGGCACAGCCGACCCTTCGTCATCACTCCAGCGCGTTAGTCTGCATGGAGCATCCTTGGGAGTATCGGTAGGATCCTGCTATTTTGCATCTTCTTTAACTTCTCGATATCTCCGCACTCAGATTTTGTCTATTCTGCCTCTTTTGCGATCGTTTCTATGATGGCCAACGCCTCGTATGCTGCACGGCAACCTCCTGCTGTGGAGAGCGAGAAGCCCGTTCATGTGCTAGTCACTGGCTTTGGTGTGAGTCCAATATTGCCATCATATTCCCCGAGCGGACAGCTCCAACACGCCCTGCTCGATGCCTGTTCTCCGCTGACACCGCCCCGATCATTTCCAATGCATTTCCTCGACGCCAGTATGTCCCTGCGGAAGGATGCAACCGAGGCTTGCACCAGTGAACAACAACACAGGAGTCCGATTGAGAGGCAACCAGTGGAACGACTCAAAATTTGTTTTAATAACATTGATGATGTGAATGCGAGGCGTCGAACGAGAACAAAAACTTGCACCTTTACGCCACCGAAGTTGTGTTCAACACACAAGATTTACCAAGTCATACGAGTAAATGACTGACAAAATCCAGCCTTTCCTCAACAGGTACCCCAAGAACTCCTCTTGGGAAATAGCTTCCACCCTCCCTGCCCTCATACCAGCCTCTCCGGGCAACCCAACGCCAATCCACATCCACATACATCATGAGCCCATCCGTGTGGCCTACAAGAATGTCGTCGACACTATCCCTAAGCTTCTCTGCATGACGCCGCAGCCAGACCTTGTCCTCCACATCGGCCTCGCAGCGAGCAGGAAGTTCTATGCCATAGAACAAGGGGCTCACTCCCGCGGCTACGGCAAGACGAGCGACGTGGACGGCGAACTGTTCCCAGACTCTGAAGCTCAAAAAGCGTTTCCAGACTCCAAGTACCCTTCAGCACTACATACCGGCTTCGACACAGGGGATGTGCTCTCCAGGTGGCGCACATCATTAGGTCAGTGCCAAAAGCCCTCCTTCGTCGTCGTACTCCGCACACATCTACGATTGCCCATCGACACATCTACCCCGTCCTTGATACATGCATTGAATTTGATTGTTGTGGTATAATCCACCTACACCTCGACACATTACACGCCATCACCACCACCGTTCAAGTCATCGCACCACACTCAACGACCCCATGCGCTGCCACCCCTCCTCTTTTATAAGTATCGCAGAATCAAGTGGCATTCACACTGCGAATTACTCAGGAGCACACAAGTAACAATCCCCCCAGGCTACAACAACCCCAACGGTACCGCCAGCATCGAGCGGCTCCCCGAACTGCGCACCAACTCCGACGCGGGCAACTTCCTCTGCGGCTTCATCTACTACAACTCGCTCGCGCACTTCCACTCTCGGGACCCGGAGGCGGAGAAACCAGTCGTGTTCATGCACGTGCCCGACCTGAGCGGGAGCGAGGCCAAGCTGCGCGAGGGCTGGGAGGTCGCTGTTGCGCTGATCAAGGCGCTTGTGGAGAGTAGGAGGAAGGTGGGTGTTGGCAGCGGTGGGGAGAGGGGAGAGTGTGCGGGGCAGGATGATGATGCGAGGAACAATACTGCGGTATGAGTGGAGGGGAGTTATGGTGGAGCACGATTGCATCAAGGGTGCTTAAGACTGTCAAGTGTACGGGCAAGATGAGTTTAGAGGGCAACGTGTGCAAATTGGAGACATGTGCTCTTTGGAAATCTACGCAAGATGTCGAGAATGAAAACACTCCGAGCGCTTCCTCCAGCACCGAACACTGAAGACGTGTGCTCGCTAGGATGGGTCTCATACACCCAGATCGTCGCCTAACACACGTACCATTGTCCCCTCACCGTGGATGAACTGCATTCCCCGAAAGACCTGCGAGCCAGGCCCTGCACCGTAGCTCACGATTTCGAAACAGATCGAAATCCAACGCCCAGTGCCGTTGCCAGGGTATGGGAAAGCAGTGCTTCGAGTATATCGTAGTACTGTCGTAGAGCGCGGTCTGCTCAGGAGTGGAGGCCTTTACGCCATACTCGCGTGGCGGACAGAGGGTGTGCTTGCGGCGTGAGCAGGTTGCTTGCGCGTTGGGCGGACGCCAACCAAGCACTGTACATCGAGCAAAGATGGCTACCTTTTGCAAAGATGGCTACCTTTTGCAAAGATGACTTGGCAGGAATCAAGGTGGACGTGTAACAAGCAGGCCATGATTCTACATGCGCAAGACACATGTACTCGTTCCTACGTCTGTGTCACAGGGCAGAGCTGGTTCGTCTTGGCGTCATGTCGGACACTTTGCACCCTTGGCGAGAGCCATGTCGAGGGCAACCATGCAGTCGATCGAGGTAGGTCCTAGAGGCGATCAATGGCTGTCCGTGCGCAGGCTCATCCTGTCATACGTGTGTCGCGGTCCTCTGTTGTCTCTGCGGGCCGGGCGAGCTCTCGCAAAGAGGCCTTCAGACGGGCAATGCGAGCCTCCAGGTCCTCGATCTCCTCTTCTTGGTCGGCGCAGGTGCGGCCAATCTCCGGCAAAGACATGACGGCGCGCTGTGCCCGCTGTATCTTCAGGCGGATGTCGGTGGCCGCTGTGGCTACATGCTGGATCTCAAGAGGCCCGTCTGCGGCGGCCGACTGAGAGGACGGGTCTGGTGGCGGGGCGTCGATGATGCGCTTGAGGAGCTTGTGGAGGTCGGGCACGATGTCGAACGTGGCGGGCGGCGGGAGGCCGGGGGATGCATACGCAGAGGCGGGAGCGTGCAGGAGGGCCGGCGTCGCAGCGGCCGTCGGTGGCAGTGAGGCGCGCGCTGAGGCAGGGGCATGGGGTGTGGCTGATCCCGACATGATGAGTGTGACCGCTCCAGACATGATAAGCGTGGGGAGCGCCGCGTGGTAATAGTGGAGCTGGCTGGGCGTGGTGTTTTGTTGAACCTCCAGCAAAAGCAGTGACGAAACTAGAAACTAGGGTCGTCTCCGCCCCACCACTGCCCCTCTGTTGAGCTCGAGCAGCTTTTGGCTCCCTCACCCCTCACGCCCTGTTCTATTATTCCGCAGCTCGAACAGCCCCTTGAGCTTTAGCCCTTCTCTCCCACCACCTGTCCACTTGACCCGCAACCATGGTGCAGGTCGACCAGAAGGCCGTGCTCATCGTCATCGACGGATGGGGTGTCGCGACTGAGAAGTCGCGCAAGGATGGCGACGCTATTCTCGCCGCCGACACGCCCACCATGGACGAGTTTGCGAAGAGCGGCTCCCAGACTGCCCAGGGCTACACCGAGCTCGAGGCCTCTTCCCTCGCCGTCGGTCTCCCAGAGGGCCTCATGGGCAACAGCGAGGTCGGCCACTTGAACATCGGCGCCGGTCGCGTTGTCTGGCAGGACTCTGTTCGCATTGGACAGACCATCAAGAATGGCAAGCTTGGCGAGAACGAGACTGTCAAGCAGTCGTTCCAGCGGGCCATCGACGGCAACGGCAGGCTCCACTTCTGCGGCCTGGTCTCTGACGGCGGTGTCCACTCCCACATCGACCACCTGGTCGCCCTCCTGAAGGTCGCCAAGCAGATGGGCGTCCCCGACGTCTTCATCCACTTCTTCGGCGACGGCCGTGACACGGACCCCAAGTCCAGCGTTGGGTACATGACAGATCTGCTCAAGGCCACCAAGGAGATCGGCACAGGCGAGATCGCTACCATCGTTGGCCGGTACTACATCATGGACCGCGACAAGAGGTGGGACCGTGTCGAGATCGGTCTGAAGGGTCTGGTCACTGGCGAGGGTGCCGAGGAGAGCAGCGACCCAGTGGCCACTATCAAGGAGAGGTACGAGAAGGGCGAGAACGACGAGTTCCTGAAGCCCATCATTGTCGGTGGAAAAGAGCGCAGGATTCAGGGCAAGTCTTACAACTGAGTACCGACATGTCCTGTGCTAACTCGTGCATGCAGACAAGGACACGGTCTTCTTCTTCAACTACCGCTCCGACCGAGTTCGTGAAATCACCCAGCTCTTGGGCGACTTCGACCGCTCGCCCAAGCCCGACTTCCCCTACCCCGCCGACATCCACCTCACCACCATGACCGCATACAACCCTAGATACACGTTCCCCATCGCTTTCGCTCCCCAGCGTATGAATGACGTTCTTGCCGAGACGCTCGGCAAGCAGGGTGTCAAGCAGTGCCATGTTGCCGAGACCGAAAAGTATGCTCACGTTACCTTCTTCTTCAACGGCGGCGTCGAGAAGCAGTTCGAGAACGAGGAGCGCGAGATGGTTCCTTCGCCAAGGGTAGCCACATATGACCTCCAGCCCACCATGAGCGCAATGGCTGTCGCTGAGAAGCTCTGCGAGAGAATCCAAACGGGCAAGTTTGAGTTTTTGATGAACAACTTCGCGCCACCTGACATGGTCGGCCACACTGGTGTCTACAAGGCAGCTATTGAGGCTTGCACAGAGACTGACAAGGCCATCAAGAAGGTCTACGACCAGTGCAAGGAGAGCGGCTACACCCTCTTCATTACTGCTGACCACGGCAACGCTGAGGAGATGCTTACGGAGGAAGGCACCCCCAAGACATCTCACACCACCAACAAGGTTCCCTTTATCATGGCCAATGCTCCTGAGTCCTGGAGCTTGAAGAAGACCGACGGCGTGCTCGGCGACGTCGCACCCACGATTCTCGCCCTCATGGGTCTTCAGCAGCCCGAGGACATGGATGGCTCCAGCTTGCTCGTTAAGTCATAAGGCTGCCCGCTCATCTTCACGATAAATTTCGCTTCTTTTTTTTTGTTTAGACCATAGGAGCGTTGGCTACGACTGAACGCCGTCACGTAGGGATAGAAATAGTATGCACCTCAAGATCAAGATCTGGAGAACCACAAAGACAGAATTGTACTTGAGAATCTGGATGTGCAGCGTCCGTCAAAACGTTGCTGATGGTTGATGCCTGATCCGCGGGTTGGAGCCCCACCATCAGCTTCGGCGGGCGGACCCTTCCAGCCTACGACATTGGAACCCCTCCCACCACGACATGAGCTCACACTTCATGCTCCGCACATTCACTACCACGAAACCCGACTAGGCTTATCGCGTACTCTAGGCAGCTTACCCTCCGTTTCTCCGCGCGATTACACGCAATCACACGCAATCACACGGCATCTGCTCGGCCAGGCTGATTCACCGGCCCCCCTCCACACTCGATCGCACCTCTCTTTCCCTTCCGCCGACCGGTGTGCCGCCAGCCAAATAGTAGTCCGTACTTAGACTTAAAGCGGCACACAATCTCTCGGTCCGAAACGATGGCGTCGAACGGAGCAACCACACCTCAGTCACAGGCGCAAGTGCAGCCCTGTCGATACAAGACCGGAAAGACATTGGGTGCGGGAAGCTACTCCGTTGTCAAGGAGTGCGTGCATATCGACACAGGAAGATACTATGCCGCCAAGGTCATCAACAAGAGGCTCATGGCGGGGCGAGAGCACATGGTCAGGAACGAGATTGCCGTTCTGAAGAGAGTGTCCATGGGCCACAGGAACATCCTGACCCTGGTGGACTATTTCGAGACCATGAACAACTGTACGGCCGTCGAAGACGTGAGATTGCGCCTTGCTGATCACTTGCAGTATATCTCGTGACCGACCTTGCCCTTGGAGGCGAGCTGTTCGACCGCATCTGTCGAAAGGGCAACTACTACGAGTCTGATGCCGCAGACCTGATTCGAGCCACACTCTCTGCTGTCGCCTACCTCCACGACCACGGCATTGTACACCGAGACTTGAAGCCTGAGAACCTGCTGTTCCGTACCCCCGAAGACAACGCCGATCTTCTGATTGCTGACTTTGGACTGTCGCGCATTATGGATGAAGAGCAGTTCCATGTTCTCACGACCACCTGCGGAACTCCCGGCTATATGGCGCCTGAGATCTTCAGAAAGACTGGTCACGGCAAGCCTGTGTAAGTTTCCGCGCCTCCATGTCAGTCTTGCACGGTTAATGATTTGCACAGCGACATCTGGGCTATCGGCGTCATCACTTACTTCCTCCTCTGCGGCTACACACCGTTCGACCGCGACTCAAACCTCGAAGAGATGCAAGCCATTCTTGTCGCTGACTACTCATTCACGCCGCTCGAATACTGGCGCGGTGTCTCGCTCACAGCTCGCGAGTTCATTCGCCGTTGCTTGACCGTGGATCCAGCAGCGCGCATGACCTCGCACGAAGCTCTGTCGCACCCTTGGATTGCTGACCTCGGCGCCAGTAAAGCCGAGGGTGAAGAAGATCTGCTGCCAACAGTCAAAAAGAACTTCAACGCTAGGCGCACGCTTCACGCAGCTATCGACACCATCCGTGCCATCAACCAGTTGAGGGCTGGCGGCGCAGCTGGCATGATGGACGGCATCAAGGCGAGCGAGCCGCGCCGTGGCGCACCTCCAGCTCCCAAGTTTCCCCAGCCTGCAGAAGAGGGGTCTGACCCTATGGAGATCGACCATGTTGACAGTCGGGGCAACGGTCACGGCCAGACCGAAGCTATGATCAAAGAGCAAGAGCGCAGGATCCGAGAGACACAGCAAGGACTGTGGGGTAAGCGCTGAGAATGGCATTGCACCTTCGTACTTTCCTTTCGCCTTCCTTTTTCTAGACGGCAGGACCTCCTGCCACTTGTTTGTCAACACGGGTCAGGGCGCCGGCCGACGACCTGTAATTCACTGTACGTGCATATTCCCGACTATATACCACTGAACATTACACACCTTCTTTCACCACCATACCATTCCTTCTCTTTATCAATTCTACATCAACAGCTCGAACCCGTACTCACTTCGGATCTCCAGCGCTGCGATTGCGCCGTTGAAACGAGGTGAAGGCGTGTTTCGCGAGTTCGATCAACTTGGATTCTATTGCACAATAGCAGCGCCAATCTACAGATCACACATACCTTCAGCATCACGAACGCCTTGTCACGACCGCTACTAAGAACAAGGCACCATATCAGCATGTGCTCCCTCGAGGCCAGTTTTTGTGGACTGTCCCTCCTCGACTCCGTGGTCGTCCCCAGAATCTCCAGTCCCGCTCCGCCTTCAGAAGCTACATTACAAGCACGTTTGGTCATTCTGCCTGGCACAGTTCAACGTATGCGCGGGGACCTAGAGCAGCATATGTTCGGTCAATGTGCCAAATCACTCCAAGCTGAGATCATCAACGTCCTCACACGTACAGACCAGCTGCGCCGTTATGCCCGTTCAGGTGTGACATTTGAGAATGTTGGGCCGGACCATAACGTCAATGACTATGGCCGCGATGTAATTCTACACAATAGCAGCAGTGCCGTATCGGATGGCCGCGACGATAGAAGCCGCTGCTGCTTCTGCTTGGAGCCCTACTCAACAATACACACTGCTTTCGAGATCACGGCATGCGCACACTCTGTTGGGAAAGCTTGTTTGTCGACCTGGCTGAACAGCTCAAGTCTGAACGCCAACACATGTCCGCACTGTCGGGAAGAGCTGTTCGAGCGCCGCGCTCGCCGGCCAGCGGCCCATCCCAACGATGGCGAACTGGAGCAACTCGACACTCGGTTTTGGAGAGAGATAGATCGACTGTGGGAGCTCGCGAAATCGCGGGACGAATTGGGACCTGAGGCTGCAACGAGGTTTTTCAGAAGTGTCATAGCCGAAATCAACTACACCTTCTTTGAGAACGACGTCAGCTTCTGCTTGGAATACGTGGGCGGCCCAAGATCAACGTTGAATATACAAAGTGGGAGCTGGCACAACTAGCCATCGCCGCTAAGGAGTTTGATGCTGTCGCGGAGGTATTCAGCGGACTCGGCTTGGTCGCTGTTTCGTGGAAATTTTGTCCTCTAAGCATAAGGATACGCAATGCAGTTGTTGTCAACGGTGCGCCAGGAATCAAGCGCTCCGCTTACATCAAAACGCAGCATTCAGACCACATACAATGCTGAAGATTCCACGCTGCTACCCTGATGATGAGATCAGGTATCCGACCTTACTCAGCTCCCCAGGAGAATTGTAGTGGAGGCGCAAAGGCCAGGATGCAGTTTTTCGGGTGTTCCCACGATACCGTTGCGCCCAATGTGACTGAAGGGTCCAGGAACAGACACTGCCCCCGTTGCTGGAGCAGTTTGTGTTTGGGATCCGTCTGTTGACTCGTGTGCACATCTCGACTTGAGAGGAAGGCTGGAGGCACCATCCGTCTGCCGTCGGGTCCGCGGCTCGGTCGTAACGATACCGAAACGCAGGTTACGAAGGTACCTGTACTGATCTACTGTGCGACCAGTCGAATCAGAGAATACCTTGCCCTTGTCTAGGACGCCGCATGATTGCGATGTCTGAGTGATGAGCAGAGATGAACGTGAGTGGGAGAAAAGGAAGATAGGGAAGAGGCTCGGACAGCTGGGGAGAAGGGCTGGTGCATCCTCTTTTGTGTTTCGTTTGTTGGCGCTGTGAGTGGTAGATCGACGCGACTCCCGGATTGGAGAATGCAGAGCTGGTGCAGGCTGAGGGTGAAGCAAGCTGTGAACAAGGGTACTCGACCCATCACCTGATGGTCTGATAAACGGAGCTCTGTTATGCGAAGCGAGCTGACATGGTCTTGCGGCTCAGCTTGTGTTGCAGATGCAGGTAGGAACTCATAACAATGGATCGTACGGAAACGGAGGGCGTAGACACATGCCATGGTGACCACACATAAAGATCTTGCGAGTACAGAATGAAAGCTCAAGGATTGAGAATACTCCTCATTATCGGATTGCCACTGCTTTAAGCTACCAGCATGTGCTGTAGTGCTGCTTTGCGGTATCTGGTCAGTAAGACGAGTATGCGGGCAGCCATGACAACATATCTCTGAAGTTATGAGAAGATCCTTCGTCCTCGACTGGAAGATACTTATCAATCAGTGGTGCAAGAACAGCCTCTTACACTGACTTCGTATGCCAAGTCTTGACCTGTCGTTTCGGCAAAGTTTGCCGACGCAGCGGCGCCGGGCTGCGGCGCGTGAAGTCGATCTCGATCTGGCATTCACGCGCTTGTTCAACAGGGTAAGAATTAAACCCATGCAGGCAATTGCTAGGCTAGAACAAGTGGTCGACCGAGTCAATCCGAGGACGCTGTGCCCCACTTTATTGATTGTCGACAACTGTACGCGTGATGAGACTAGAAATCGACGTTTATTTCGTTCACAGCAGTCTAGGACTATGGCCAAAGCAGCAACTCGTATCGAAGGATGCGATTCAACGACTTGCGGTCGTCCTTTATTACATTCCTGCCACAAATTGCTTGGCTGGATTCTCGCGTTCGAAAGCTACAAGACTGTTCCTGCAGTTACCACCGCAAGGTTGCAAACGTCGCGCCCATGCGCCACCAATTCGCCAGCTCGCATAAAGATCGGCATGAAGTGAGGCCGACGATGCGGCAGATAGGGGACTCTCAGCATCTGCGTTCCGCGGAACATGCTTACATCTTGCCACCGAGGCCTGTTCCAAAAGGTATGTGGAAGCGCAACCTGCGGAGAAATTGTTGCAGTCTGACGTTTCAGTGGAGCTGGTCCTGACAGCTCTCTCTCGATGCTACGCTCACAGAGCACAGTTCTGTATGTTCTGACCGCTGTTTCTGCACGATGGAAGTGATTTTGTCGTCTCGAACCCGTGCTTGGGTCGGTTCGCGTGCGCTGCTGACACGAAATGGAAGGCAGGGGTTCGAGAATCGCCGATGATGGGATGCGGATTCCCCTGACGTACATGTGGGACCACATGGGAAAGTACAACCGTTATTACGATCCGATCTGGATTGACGACAACAGGCATTAGCGTCAACCGTATCCTGACTTCCGCCCTTGGAGTCACCTCATTCATCCCACTCACTGTCCTAAACCACTTCTTGCTAACACAACCAGCTCTTATCTTAGCATATACCATAATTCGACTCCAGATGTGACCATCATTCTAGAGACATGTCCTGCCGTAAGAATATGCAACGTTGGTGGCCGCGGGGAGGGATTTTGGAAAGGAGGCTGAGGTAGGTTCATCGCGTCCATACCTGCGCATCATTGGAGTGTGCCACGTCTCCTGTAATGCTGGAGCACACTGAAGCCGTTCAATGCCGTTCAATGTACAAGAAGAAGCATGGAACTGCCTGCGGGTAGGACGACAGAACGCCGCAAGATCATGTGTGGGTCTGGCTGGACTGGACCTGGCCATACAATAGAGGCAAGTATTGTACTCGATGGTTGCCATAATGGCCTTGATCCAAGCTCATCCCTAGGTCGTGATGGTAGTGCCCATCTTCTCCAGTGGTGCACTAGTCCCGCGGGATGTTCGTTGCCATGGGTCCGCCATGTTGTTCAACCCCTTCAGCATTATCCGTAATATGATGGTCGTAGCCGTTGTTCGAGTGCCTGCGCCGACTTTCGAATATGGTGACACCTCTTCAGTGAAAGCTCAGATCAGCAACGCTCGATTGCAACGCCTTTTCTCAACGTGGTGGGTCCGCGGACGCAACTTGCGAATAACTCGTATACTGCTGATGAGTTCGGAGTTGGCAATGAACTGCTCTCACATCCAAAGGATGCTGTGTGGCCACCCTTCGAAGAGCGAAGTGCGGTCCGCGGGTGGCTACTTGAGGTGCTCTTCGGTCGGTATGAGCAGGACTGGTGTGCAGGTTTGCCTTGTGAAGGTGAGTATTTTTTGCATTATTGTTAGATCCTAACTTGCCATCGTTGGGCATGTAACATTTTGCGGCCGACAGCAGCAACGCCTTGTGGGCGTCGAGAGAGAAGTGCCGAGTTCAGTGCAAGAGTTGGATGGAAGCCGCAAGTTGCGATGGGCAACAACGGTCCGCACACTTCGTCACGAATTTCCTATGTGAGGTTCCCAGCTCTGACACTCAAATTCAGCGCATGCAAATTGTCACTCCAACGCAAATCACTCACCCCATCATTTGGAAGACGACAGTCTCACCTACCAGCACTGCCCTAAATTATTACACTCATCGATACCGCTGGAAAAGTCCAGTGCCCGGATCAGTATGCTCGCTACATGATAACTATCAACGGACGATCTTGTAAGATCGTTACGACTTACTCAGTAGGGTTTCCTCACTGAGCTGGTCGTTCCACCGGTGCGCACGGGAGATTTTAACCAGTCTCCGGGACCCTCCATCTGGCCTCCATCTGGCCAGGCTCTTTCTAGCAGAGAGAGGCAAGGCGCTCCCTGTTGATCTCAAATGTCATAGCCAAGCGAACATCGAAGGGAATCTACTCCAAACGAATCAGAAAGCTGTTCGGTTGGCTAGGTCGGGTACGCTCAGGCCACCTTTCGGTGGGAGTCCCTTGGAGTGTGGGCTCACTGTGAATCACTCCGTCACTGTTAGTGATTTTGGATCAGAGAGAAGGTGCGAAGCTGTTCGAAACCGTCTCGATCTCCCAAATCGTGGTGAGTCATCAGCATAGGTCGGGGGACTGAGCTCAAGTCAACACTTGCTGTTTCAGTCCACATAAGTGAATAAGTGTAACTCAGATACGTTCTAAAGGAATGAGGTTTGGTTTTCTGCATAGAGTCGGGGGTTTGAGTGGTGTCCGGCGAATGCGGGCGCGATGGAGGGCCGTAGCTTTGGTTTTGACACGCCCCTACATCTTTCTCACTGCTGCACCTCTGCACCTCGACACCCCGATAGCAATTCTTCATACGCATCAGGGAATATTTGGCGATTACTCGGTCAGTATTCATCAGGAGGCGAAAGAGTAGCTCTGTAAGTATGACGCAAACAAATCTGTCCTAGTACAGGATCGAAAATAGCAGCGCATTCGGAACGACATCCCACTTGTAACCCTCGATCCACCACGTTCGTTACCAGGCCAAATACGCCGCTATAAACGCATTCGATTCGACTTTCGATTTGGAGCTTCAGCAACCCGAGCATGGGTAAATATCGCTCCAGAAGCGGGTGGTGAGTATGTTGTACCGGCTAGAGTCCACAAGGCTGACCGCCGTCTTTTAGTCTCACGTGTCGAGCTCGCCGTGTAAAATGTAAGTTGGCCCCTCCCGGATGCCAGCCTGTCTGATTTCCTATAGGTGACGAAACGCATCCTGTCTGCAAAGCTTGCAGCAAGAAAAATCGTCCATGCCAGTGGGAGGCACCGCACACAAAATTCAAAGACTACCAGCCGTATGACGCAACTTTGGGTTACAAGAGCACCGGAACTAGCGAGCACGAAGATATGGATGTCGACGAAAGTGATGACGAGGAAAGCCAGGCCAGCCGGAGTATCTCGCCGAGCACCAATCAAGAGCGAAAAGGCAGCGATCAGCATGGAACGACCTCTGATAGTGCATCACGATCAACAAGTGGTCCTTCAGCCAATGACTCGGTTGGTCTACATTCTCCAAGATCTCCATTACCTCTCCCAGGACATAGAATGCAAAGTAGCATCTCTGTATCAAGTCTGCTGCGACCACATCTACCGGAGGGTCCTCGACCGTACTCCCAGGAGCATGTTTCCCTCACACAAGGAGAAGCCAGGCTTGTGCATTACTACTCAGAACAGCTTGGCCGATGGCTTGATTGCACTGATGCGACTCGCCAATTCACTCTCGGGGTGCCAGAGAAGGTCAAATGCTGTCCGGTTCTCTGTCATGCGGTCGTGTCATTTGCAGCTCGCCACCGCAGAGAAGATGATATTGCTGATGCTGCATACCAGCGCTGTATCGCTCTGCTCATCGACCGTTTGGACGAGCCCAACGCAAGCCATGACGAAACATTACTCTGCGCCATCGTCATCTTGCGATTCTATGAACAGCTCAATGGCAAGTTTTGCGGCTCCGATTGGATACATTAACTGACGTCTGCAGTGCCCTCCAGTACTGGTTCAGATGCCGCACGACATCTGGCAGGCTCTTCTGCAATCCTGCGTGCTTCGCAAGGCAACCACTGCGTAGATCCGTCCGCACCTACGCTTCGTGAAGCTGCTTTCTGGGTATATGTTCGTCAATGTTTGTACACGGCTACAATCAACCAGCAGCCGCCGGATGTAGACTTCTCACTACAGCTACATCCAACGCCAGGTTCAATGCAAGATCCGCATCCACTGGCGCGACTGAGATTGGAAACTGCTTGGGCGAACCAGATGACTTGGAACACGGCTCTCGTTGCCAACTTCTGTTTTGAGACCGATCCTTCAGGTGAGCGGAAGAATAGACTATCTCGCTGGCAAGAACTTTGGGATGTCGTTCAAGCTTGGAAGAAAGACCGACCTGCAGGATTTGATTCCATCTGGGACGGACCAGCTACTGAGGTTGACGCGAGCTGCTTTCCTCAAATATGGTTTACAGCCGACTGGCACGGTATGCATAAATCTGCACAACGTGCTGGTTGAAGCTAACGTTGTGTTGTAGCTGTCGCATTCGGGTTGTACCATTTCTGCTGCATGATGCTTCACAGTTTCAAGCCAGGACCGAGATTCGCCATACGTAGCGTTGGGAGTATTTCGACCACAGACGTAAGGGCTTCGCAATAACTTCGGTGTCTCTCATTAACCATATCAGTGTCAGGTCTTGGAGCATGCACGTGCGATTTGTGGTGCATGCCGCAGCACACCCGAGGTAGTGCAGCTTTCGATCATTCTATGCCACACCATCTTCATTTGGGGCCCCCTGGTCTCAGATCCGAGAGAGAGGAACGAAATCATCCAGCTCCTCGAGGAGTTCGAAATGGCGCATGTCTGGCCGACTGCTTGGATTGTCAATGCTCTTAGGGCAGAATGGGGTCTCTCACAGATCGAATAGTTCCTTTTCTTACCTGCGGCAGCAGAAATAGCCCACAGTCCAGCAACCAATACCCAATTCAATAGTATTGTTTAGAGTTTTTTTTCACTCGACCTCTCTGACGGGCCGGATCGATGGATCGAATCCTTGGTAAGAGCTGCAGTTGGCTCGCATGTCTTTGGCAATCTATAGAGACCGCATTATAAGTGCAATACAGTTGGTGGGTAACTCTTTACTTCTTTTATAAGCCTCAGCTGATACGGAGAATGATCTACGCTAGATCAGATTCTCGCCCTGCGACTGTGCATGCACCAGGGTTCGAAGCTCCAAGTTGACTGTGGTGTGATATTATTTCACGGTCAAGTGTCAGCACTTCCCGGAAATCTTTTCCTTGACCCCCAAAATCCTGTTCTCCCCTAACAGTGTGTAAGATTGATTGTACCCACGATGATCGGCAGTTCTCCCCGCCCAACCAGTGCAGGCACACATTCCCGCCGGGTAAGAGGTCCGCCAGACGCAATGGATTGACAGGCTGTAAGGCTGCAGTAAACCGCATCCGTGTAGACCCCGTAACCAATGTATATTCTCGAATGTGGTGAACCAGCTGCCGTAACAAGCTTCCGGTTTCGTGTCTCTTTTGCCTCGAGGTGCGGAGCGTGAGGTTTCGTCGGCAATGTTGACCGAACGCGACTGTCAGCGTTCAAAACATCGTCAGTGGCCAAGTTCCGTGGTCACTGGTCCCTGCTTATTTGACAACTTCTGCAACTAGAACTCAGAGGTTCGCTACGTAGTCTCGGATTGTCGCTCCATGATATCTCGAGCCGAGTTTCTGCCGTTTACGATGATATGGGCTCTGTCTGTGTGGCGGCGTGCCGCCTACGTCTGATTCCATCGTACAGCATACGAGCCGATTACATGTACTATAGGAATACTGTATTTCGGGGAGGGTTGACTCGATGACTGGGATATCTCGGAGTTAGCTGCGGTAGCAGAGGAACGCATTCAAAACAAGCTCACAAACACCTGAAGCACGTCCCAAACTCGCTGTATGGACCTGTGTCTCGAGAGTACAGGCAATGGATTCTGATCTGGGTTGAGATGGACATTTGCCGTTGGACTGCACTTCTCCTTTTCGAACCTGTTCAGCCAGCTGCCCAGGCTGCACAAAGCCTGAAGGAGGCTCGTTTGACTTCCAGCGTGGGACATATACTCGGGAGGAATCCTAGCCTGGCTTGTAATGCAGTTCAAAAGATAAGCTGGGACAGGAGAGAGCATATATATCTAGTGTTCAGGTGGCGGAGACACGTAATGTTTACTTCCTCCGCGGGCGCGTGTTAGTGGTCCTTACCGTATTGCGTAATTCGTCTCGAATTTTAACGTGATCCCTCTGTATGTCGGAGGGGTTTCGCTGCTTAACGGGGCTACGCGCCGCATGCCTTCGATCCCCCCTACACATTGAGTCCATGTTAGTGAATCGGTACGTGTTTACCTGATCATTGCATGGAGAAGATTACCGAGAAATCATATGTCAACCTCGCTTTAGGAGGTCGACCTCTATGAATGAACTCCTCTTCTGCATTGGAAGTGCAATCTTGGCTCAGGTAATCTGAAAACTATCCATCTCACAATGCAACGTCAAGACTCAGCAATGGATGTTAGAGATATTTCTCCGAGTAAGATAGAAGTCGGGAACCCCAGGAAAGACAGCATTGACCTCACCGTCCTCGGAGTGTGCACCGGCACTGGCCTTGGTCGACTCGATTGCGCGTTAGTTCGGTTCGGTCAGAAGAGTCCATCCGCTCCGCTACGGGTGAAACTGCAGCAGGTCAGTAGTACTTGCTGCACTGTCACAACTTACCGCCAACAACTAATGTGTACAGTTCGATTCGATTCCCATCCCCGCGTCAGTGAGATCTTCCGTTATCAACTACCTACGAGTCGACCGCTGCAGATCCAAGCCAGCACCACACCTGGACGACTTGCTCGGCAGTCTGTTTTCAGGCGGCATCAAGACCTTCTGCCGCAAACATGGCATCGAAACTTCATCCGTCGACCTTGTGGGCACTCACAGTGAGGCCATGAAAACCTCCAATGCATGGTACAACATCGATGGCGCGCAAGAACAGCTACTTCACTGGAATGCGATCGTGGCCGCGGAGACTGGCATCAGTACTGTCTACGACTTCGCAATCGTCGAGCGCGCAGTCGTTAGGCCGCATGTCCATCCGACCACCTATGTCGACAGGATTCTCTTGCGACACCCCTCGAAATTCCGCGTCTGCCTTAACATCGATGAAATTGCGAATTTGAGCTTCATACCCGCGCATGGCGACGATGACGCTTGCGCAGCCATGTCTCATGATGTTGGACCTGGCAGCCTCTTAATCGACTACGCCATGCGGTACTGCACGTCGAACGATCAATCTGAAGACCACGACGGCAAGGTCGGGTCGCTAGGCAAGGTTCACCATGACATCGTAGACCGTTTTCTCGACTCACATGACTATCTCCGCTCACCACCCTCGCGAAATATAGCCACGGAGATGTTCGGCGACCACGAAGCCCAACAACTCATCGATGAGTGTCTCTACAGCAACATGTCCGAGGTCGACACCCTTGCTACCATCACACGCGTCACAGCGCAGAACATACTCAAGCAGTACCGCCGTCTGCTGCAGGTTTTCTTCCCGCCTGGCCAGAAGGTCGACGAACTCTTCATCTGCGGCTCCGCCGCCCGTAACTCGAACATCATCGATTATCTCGAATCCGAGCTCCCCGAGAGCGTCATTACGAAGCCGTTACGGGATATTGGCATACCGGGCGATGCGCATGAGGCTGTGTGCTACGCGTATCTCGCGCTCGAAGCAGTGCTCACCCAGACCATGCAGGATACAGAGACGCCTTTGGAGCCGAGCAGCGCGTATCCGAAAGCGGGTACAATACGATCAAGATTTGTGCCGGGGAGACGGTGGGGAGATTTGGTCAGCAACGTGCTGGAGTTCAGCGGTGGACAGCGGATACATGTCGCGACGGATGTGAGAATCACAGGAAGCCTGGAGGCGGCGGTGCAGGGTATGGACATTCGCTAAAGGCGCACGATGAGCACATTCTCTGTTCTAATGAAGGATCTGATGAAGAACTTAGGGCTGGCGTCTTGTGGCCACAGGAGTTCAGGTCTCCGGTTTGTTGCGCGGTGGAGCGCACATGGATCTTGGCAGCGTGATAGCGAACATTTCCCTTGTCTGACTTCGTGCCTCTTCTCACGGCTGTACCTTGCTTCAGTATGGTGTGCTGGGTGACAGAAGTTGCAGGATGTTCCGATATCTATGCCCGGGCTGGAATGCTCCCCACTGGGCGTCGGCCTCTTCTCTACCGCCCAGACGCCTCGGCATCGACGGACCGTGGTTGTGAGAACGCCGGATGTCTCCATACCTATATGCCAACACCCATGGACGATACTGCCTGGGCATTGATGGGGTATACGAGGCTTTCAGGTCCGGACCAGTGCTTTATCCTTTTGGTAGGGTACGGCATGCTCAAAACATGCCTTCGCAACTGAACAATTGCACGATGACTTGATGATTGAGAACTGGAAATGCAAACTGCGCAAGGAAGTTCAACTGCAACCAAGACGAAACATGGGAACAACTAAAAACCTTGATAGGCAGCTCCAAACACGTGTGCATGACAAGGAAGATCAAGTTCAGGATGGGAACGGCTCTGCGAAGTCCTCCCACTAGGGCCTAGCCAAGAAGCTTGTCGTACCGTCTCGCGCTCTTGCTACATCCATCAATACCTGCTTGATCAACCCTAAATCCCTATCGACGTCAACCATCCAGTTGGAGACCGCGAAGCGACACGCTGGTCTGCCTGCCCAGCTCGTACCACTGACATAGATCCTCCTGCTGGCCTTGATTTTGGCAATAAGCTGCTCGTTCAAGTTCTCGTCGACAGCCCTGAACAGCACGATGATGTAAATTCGACCTATGATCTTGTTCGTATCCGCCTCGGTGTGTGGTAGAAGTTCATAGTCCTCGCTCTCCATGATCCACTGGGCGATGCTTCGCGACAACGCAATTTGGCGCTCAAGCATGTCACGATACCCAGCTTTCCCATAAGCGACGAGCGAGGCATATACAGGAAGAGCACGGAAGCGCCGCGAGTTCTCCAGTCCAACATTCAAGGGGCTCATGACTCCGTCTCTACCACTTCCAGCCGCAAGGTATGCCGCGTTTGGATTGGAAAACACACGTTCGGCGAGTGAGCGGTGACGGGACAAAAAGAAACCGCAATCATACGGCACGTTGAGAAGCTTATGACCATCGCCTGTAATGCTGTCTGCCAGTTCGAGCCCTGCTGTGCAGTCTTTGATAGATTGGTAGGCAGATATGGATGGCAAGAGACGCGCTTGAATCCCAAACGCACCGTCCACGTGGATCCACGCCCCGTGCATGTCGCAAAGTCGCCGTAGAGCTTGCATCTCTTGCAGTGAAGAAGTTGCAAATAGACCGGTGTTGACTTCGGAGGCGGAGATCGCTACGATGCTTGCCGCGCCAGGCTGAGCAAGATGCTTCTTCAGCAGATCCATGTCGAACTTGTGTGGTGCATCAGTTCGAGCAATCGTCTTCACGCAGCTTCGACCCATTCCGAGTATCGAAGCTGCTTTGCTAAGCGATGAGTGTGGAACCGTGGTCAGGATCTGGATATTGTCGATGCCAGCGAGGCGCATAGCGTGCATGATGCCATGCTCGCCCACGCTGACCCCGGCGTCGGTGCGGTGTGCGCTAGCTTCTGCAATGATGTATTCGCGGCCGCATGCAAGACCCACGATGTTTGAAGCAGTGGCACCGGTGGTGAACGTACGGTGCGGCCATTGGGAGGGCGTGAACTCGAGGAGCGAGCATAGGAGAGTGAGGGCGCGGTCCTCTATCTCTGTTGCTAGGGTTTCGCTTGGCAAATGAACTTGTACATTTTGGTCGTAATGAGTTACGAGGTTATCCGCGAACGAAGCTGCAGGCGTCGAGCCACCTGTCACAAAGCCATAGTATGCTGGTGAGCGTGAGGAGGCGTTGAGAGCTGGACCAAGTTCGTGAGTCAGATGACGGATGGTGTCTTCGAGGCCAGCCCCTTGCTCTGGTAGATCACGCTTGAGGTGTTCGCGTGCTTCTGACAGGACTTGATGAGACGGAAGGACGTTTCCCGGTAATGTGGAGGTGTGCAATGTTGCGATTGCCGTAGAAAGTTTGTTGATGAGCTCTGGTGTGTGCGCATCCAATATTGACGAGGTGGGGATTTCGACAGAGCACATTTTACTGTGAAAGAGCTGTGCTCTCAAAAGGCTCGATCTGAGCAATAGTAGTCCCGGGTACTGTCTGCGGTTCCAAAGGGGCAGTGACACATGGGATAAAATGTATTCGACAGTAGAATTGAGGATTCAACACTACCAGACTACCCAGGCATGCTATCCGCAAGTGTCAGTGCCAGCCGCGGTTTAGATGTCTTTGGCGAAGCCCCGAGCCACGTGGCCCAGAAGCCCGACATGTGTCGCCCAGCTGTGCTCTCGCGAAGTACTGCCACGCCTCGACTGAGATGTGGGTCAAGCGGACACAAGCGGAGTCTAGCGCATCACGTGCTGGCGCGAGCGCGCCTTCCCAAATGCCCTAGTCGACAAACAACGCTAGCGCACTCTATCGTGAGCAACGCCACCACGGCCCTCACTTCTAGGTGGTACAGCGCGTAACGACGCGTCGACGACTGGCAGGCCCGGGATACAATCATGCGCGGCTCTGATGCCTCCTCAGAATAACTTTAAGCAGCATCTCAAGTGGCTGCTGATCGCGAGGCCTTTCATCCCGCCTTCCGTTCCGCTCGTTGCCTACAATCCTGACGATAACACCAACTTGGACGACATAGCAGACGAACAGTCACGATTGAACGACATCACGATAAATGATGAACCAATACCAGCCGCACAGCCTGCCACAGCCCCCGTACCTGTCCTTAGCCGCCCTCGACCATCCCGCACCCTCGCTCGAACGAAGACACTCGATTTACACAAGCAACCCGAAATCGAAGGGGGAGAGAGTGATATGGCAAGACTGCGCACAACACCAAGCAATGGAAGACCTCGGCTTATGCTAGCGGGCGTGCCGCCATATGCATCGACACCTTCTACGAGTAGACAGCAGGAGGGAAATGGCAATGCACGGAGCCGAGCGCTGACGGAAGGTCGCAGCGAGTCCGCATGGATCACCAGGGATGAATCTTCGAGTGCAGCTGAACCTTCCATGTCGCGCAGGCCACGCGTGCAGGTCTTCGATGTGGAGGCCATCGACCTGACGGGAGAGGAGGAGATTCCCTCATCGCCAGTACCAAACCACTTCAATAAAAGCAAAAAAAGGGAAAGCGACGATTACAAGAAAGATGCTGCCTCTAAACAGTCTTCAAAGGCTGCTCATAAGATACCCTCTGGCAGTCCAGACCTTATGATGGATGATTTTCCGGACATCGATGAATTTGTCATGGCGCCAGATACACCAGTTCCAAACAGCCCGCCACCACCATACTCTACTGTTGCTCGAAGTAGGGAGCAAAAGCAACAGGAAGCGGCAACTGGTGACCTTGAAGAAGCTACGATAGTGCAGTCGTCGGGAGATGAAGGGCCAGTCCTGGCAGGGCGCAAAAGGAAATCTTTGAGCCCTGCACCTTCAGAAATTCTGGCGCCAGCTCGTAAGATTGGCAGGCAAGCACGGAGTCCTTCACCGTTGACAAATGCTGCGGCTGTCGAATCAGCGCGTACACCCACGACAAGACGGATAGCGCATGCAGTGATGGACTCAGAAGATGAAGAGGATGATTTCGGTGACTTGGACGTCATGGAGCTTGACTTGCTGCCCGAGTCCTCACCAAGCAGACGTACGCGCAAGCAGACGGCGAGTCGGGGCCCTGCGAAACATTCAACCCAACTGCAGTTGCCAATTCGGTCACCCAGTAAGCCTGCCAGAAGTCGAAGCCCATATGAAGATAAGCAGTGCTCGATACCTACCCCGGACACGACCAAGTCGCCTTGCAGAAAGAAATCCCCACCGAAGAAATCGCAGTCGAGACCGCTTGTACAGCCTGCATTATCTTTATCCGAAATGTCCAAAGAGCAGAAAGCAAATACACACAAGGTCATCGAATTCTTCTTGGAAGTTGGCGGTGATCAACACCTGCAGTCTGTGATTGTAGCTTGGGAGAAGGCTAAAACTGCATTCGTCGAGCAAGTCGGACTCGATGACCCAGACCCGCGCGTCAAAGATAACGTAGAGTGTCTGCGACCTAAGAAGGCTGCCGTCGAGCATTTGACAACGCTGAAGGAACAGTACAATAAGATCGCAACTGAAAGAGACATCTTGAAGCAGAAAGTGAAAGACGACATCGAAGAAGGCATCTACGATGAGGCAGACTATACAGCCCTGAAGACGGTGTCTAAGTCGCTCGAGCTTATCGAAGTGCAAATCCAGCACTTCCTTGGTATTGCGGGGATTCAGCAACCAAAGGCAGCACCAAAAGAGCCCAGAAAACCTGCCATCAAAGTCGAAGCTATGCCTCATCATGTCGTTGTTGAAGCAACACAAGCAAGTCCCGCTCGACGAAAACAGAAGGCTGCAGACTCAGGGCCGGGTCATGTTCCACAAACACAGTTCCCGAACCAGCGCGTGGGTTCACCCAGTCGACACATACGGTTCGCTGCAGATCAAGTTCCCGCTCCTCCTCCAGCCGCGCGGACGACGTCAAGATATCAGGACCAGACCCTTCAGCAGTCTCGTTCTGAACAGGCCACCGCCCGTGGCTCTAGCGGCAATGATTCGTATCACACGGCTGAAGATTTTGGCGAGTACGACTTTAGCGACAATGAAAATCTGTTCACTGAACATGTGGGTCCAGATCTTCAAGCGGGTAATGGACGTGTTACCAGAAGTGAAGACGAAGAGGACTTTGGTATGGATGATGACGAGGAGTTCCTTCACGAGATGGACAGGGTTGAGGGACCAGCTTCGGGCTACTTCGATTGGAGGGGCAATAGAGCGAACGCCAGTGCGCCCTCGCATCCGCGAGAAGTACTTCGCGAGACTACAGTCGATACCGCGCAAAAACAACACAAGCCAAGTTCACCGAAGAAACCTACAATGAGCATGCCTGGAAAAGGGGTGCCTGGGATGAATCACCCTTGGTCGAAGGACCTTAGAGCTGCACTGATCCATAAATTTCATCTTCGAGGGTTTCGACCAGGTCAGCTGGAAGCCATCAATGCGGCACTGGCCGGAGAACATTGTTTTGTTCTCATGCCGACTGGAGGAGGCAAATCTCTGTGCTACCAACTGCCCTCAATCATTCGTTCTGGGAAGACAAGCGGAGTCAGCATTGTAGTGTCTCCTCTTCTCAGTCTGATGGAAGATCAGGTCGATTCCGCCAAGACCCGCTTTGGCGTTCAAGCATGCCTAATCAATGGGCAAACCCCGTCAGACGAAAAGAAGGTGATCATGGACCACCTGGAGAAGGAGGCCGACCCTGGGAAGTTCATCCAGCTTCTCTATGTCACACCAGAAATGCTGAGCAAGAACCAGCGGATGATCAGTGCATTCCAGAGGCTCTACGACAGAGGTCATTTGGCTCGTATTGTTATCGATGAGGCGCACTGTGTCAGTCAATGGGGTCACGACTTTCGACCAGATTACAAGGCTCTGGGAGATGTCGTTCGCCAATTTCCGGGAGTGCCGGTGATGGCTCTCACGGCTACAGCGACCCAGCTTGTGCGCGCCGATGTCCGCTCCAATCTCGGCATTGAAAACGGGCGCATGTTCTCTCAAAGTTTCAACAGGCCCAATCTGTTTTACGAAGTGTTGCCGAAGGGCAAGTCGATGGTCAACACTTTCGCCGAATTGATCAAGGAAAGATATCCACGCAAGTCTGGCATTATTTATTGCTTGTCTCGCAAGAATTGCGAAGACGTCGCAAAGAAGCTCTCGGAACTTGGCGTTCGCGCTTTCCACTACCACGCTGGCATGGTAGCCGATGAACGATCAGAGGTCCAGAAGAAATGGCAGAGCAACCAGTACCACGTCATCGTCGCCACGATAGCCTTCGGCATGGGCATCGATAAAGCCGACGTACGTTACGTCATTCATCACACCATGCCGAAGAGTCTGGAAGGCTACTATCAAGAGACGGGTCGAGCTGGACGTGATGGCAAGAGGTCAGAGTGCTACTTGTATTACCAGTTCGCAGACACAAGGATGCTGCGGAAAATGATCGATGAGGGTGAAGGTAGCAGAGAGCAGAAGCAGCGACTTCATGACATGCTGCGTACAGTCGTGCAGTACTGCGAGAACAAAGCCGACTGCCGCCGTGCACAAGTTCTGGGCTACTTCAGCGAGGCCTTTGACTCTGCCAACTGCAACAAAACATGCGACAATTGTCGCTCGGATGCATCCTTCGTCACCAAGGATCTTACGGATTACGCGGCCATAGCGTTTAAGCTCGTCAGTAAGGTGCATGAGGATAACGTCACCATGCACCAGTGTGTCGATGCATTTCGAGGTGCCAAAGGCGCCAAAATCAAAAAGAGCGGCCTCGAAGAGTATGGTTGGGGCTACGGTGCTGATCTGGAGCGCGGGGATAATGAGCGGATCTTCCAGTCCTTGCTGGAGTCCGGGGCTCTCAAAGAAGAGAGCGTAGTCAACAAGGTTGGCTTCGCGACCAACTATCTTCATGTAAGCCTTTCCGCTGCGTATCAGCAGTCGCTAACCACCATAGCCCGCCACATCCCGGAACGATTATGAAACTAAGCGCAAGCAACTTAAGCTGCAAGTTCGAGCGTCACCTACCAAAGCACCGGTCAGAAAGAGACAGGTAAAGAAGCAGCAAGCAGACTATCCCTCTACTAATGTCTCTTCGCCGGTCCGAGCAACGAAGCGGAGAATTCAGGAGTATGCATACCAACAACAACAATCTTACAGCGATCACGAGCACTTCGCGAAACCACGGCGCGCTATGCGTGACCAGAAGAGCCGCAGTCGTCAGCCTCAGGATTTTGGTGATGAGTTTGCCGCGATTCGATTTGCGAAGCCGCCACGAGTAGCCAAACAGCCTAAGAGGCTGGGCAAACCAATTACAGTGGATGAGAGGCTGACTGGGTTTGATGAGATGCAGCGAGATATTCTGCATGACTTCCTCAACGGTGCGAAGAAGTTGAGACAGGACATCATGACGAACAACGGCCATCGACAACCAGTCTTCTCCGATACAATTCTTCGAGAGATGGGGCTGTGCTTGCCCGCTGACTTGGAGGAGATGAAGACTATTCCAGGGATTAATAAGGACATGGCCGACCGCTATGGCAAGAAATTCATGCTCCTGATCAATAACACGCGAGACATGTACGGCGGTATGGCACCCACTCCACGGAACTACCCACCACAGCGTCGACCGATTGTCGAAGCACTCTCAGACGACGACTGCGAAGAAGGCGATGACGATGAAGAAGTCTACGATCCGAATCGTCAGCAAGTCATCGATCTCTGCGAAAGTGATGAAGATGACCTAGCCCCAGCCGAGGACTTGGAGAGCAACTATTCTTATGGCGATAGTGATGACGATGACGATGACGAGCGCAGAAGTCACTTCTTCACACAGCCCCCCGATCCCGAAGTGGAAGAGTTCAACAACCGCTTGACGCAGACCATATCCGCGAACACAGCCTCTTCAAAAGCTACAGCTCTGAGGAGGGCACCTAGAGCGTCCTCATCTGCGCCAAAGAAGAGACTCAATAGGAAGTCAGGAGGAAGCTTCGGGAAAAGTAGTTACTCTGGGGTAAAGAAACGAGCAGCCAGTAAGGTGACAAGCAGTAAAGCGCCTGCTGCCCAGAAGAGGGGTGCTGGAGGGACGTCCCGTGGAGGCACTGCGGCTGGTGCAAAAACTGGAGGTAGAGCTGGTGAGAACAGCAACGGCTGGAGTTCGATCATGGGTATGCCCACCTGAGTATCTCCGGTTGCTCTTTCATCTCTTTCATTAACAGAAATACCATTCATCCGCTCTGTCACTGCATTGTTGGCGTCTCGGTTCGCATTGGGGTCAATTTCGACGGGAGGTATTCTTAGCACGCGAGTACCCCATTCATCATCACGTTGGCGCATGAAGAATATGCGGGCACATCATCTAGTGTATTAAACCGTCGCCGTATCTTTTGCAATCATATATCTTGCCGTGGCTTACCTGCTTTCCCTGCACGCAAAGTCGAACATTCGTAGAGGTATAACCCAAGTCTGACGAGCTCTTATTTTGTACGGCGCGAGTATCTAATACACCTCGGAGGAGGTTTCGGTAGGTACTCGTCGGAGGTTTTCGCATGTGGCAAGCACCTCATCAGCGTTGCAGCGACACCTTCATAAGGCAAGATCTTAAGGATTTGTGTAAGCAGGCGGTATTCCTGCACTTCATAGCGCTGAACGCACACAGCCGCGTTCTCGCGATTCTTGTCCGGCGATTCCTTCCCTCAACATCCAATCTGGTGACCCCTAGCAGATAGCAGTGATCTCGTTCGTGGCATATGTCTATGCCTTGGTCCTGTTTTAGAAGATATCTAGCGTGTAGAGCTAAAGGAGGTCTCTAAGGTCCTATATTAGTTATAGATTAGGCTTGGGTATTAATTACCGTGTCCGTGCGCGCAATGCACGATTTTTGGCCCCAACGGGCTCACAAAAATGAGGCTCTACAGCCACCCACAAATGGTAAATATATATAATATCGTGGTGTAGTAGTAATTGAAGTATAGCAATTAATTTGTACTGTTTGAATTTACTTGGCAGTCTGACGCTGCGGCCACGTGACGTTGTGACAGGTGGTTGGCTTGAGGAGGCCTCCTGGGCTTGAGCACCACCCACGGCATCCACCACATGTTTTTGACGCTTGCTCTTTTGTGTAGATACTAATAAGGCTTTCTTCTTACCTGTTTAGGATAACTGTATAGGTTTGGCAGCATTGTGGGCGTCTTTCTGGCGTTGTTTTTCAGCTGCCTGTTCAGCTCTCTCCTTCTCCTGCACCTTCTTCCTCTCCTCTCGCGCCACACGCCTCTCCTCCTTCTCTCCCTCCTGTGACTGCTTCTTCTTATCACGCGCTTACCGCTGCTCTAATTTTGCAAGCTCTTCTCTTTCCTCCTGTTGTTGATTGATTGATTGATTGATTGATTGATTGATTGATTAGTTTAACGTCCTGTTTGAGTCTAAGACTATATAGGATGAGAGCAGTGAGGCTGCTCTAGTAATTTACGAGTTTTTTTCTTTGTAAGGGAATAGTACATGTAGATTCGTAGACATATAGTGAGAGCCTGTGCTCTAGTTATAAACAAAGGAAATTAGTTGTCTGTTGTCTGCTGTAGGTACTACTTGTGTGTGCCTACTTTCATCGGGAAAAGTTTTTCGAAATCTGGCCCAGACTGGCTGTTGCTGACAGTCGTGGCATGGTCGTGCAACGGCCGTTCAACGGCCCCAACAGCCCTAATTTGCGCCTAACAGCCCTAATTTCGCGCCAACATTGCTAACAGCTAAAACGCTAAGTGCCTATATTTAATAACATGGTTGGCAAGCGAGTCGGTCAGACAAGCAAGTTGGTCACCCTACCAACTTTTGCAACTTCAAAGCAATATATCTCAACAACACGATAATATTATTGCTAGATATTAATATAGTAGACTACTCTATATTAATAGTATCAGCGTTGCATGTGCGCGAGTTGTGCCCAGTCTCTTTACACCTAGTGCAGCGCCTTTGAGCGCGCTGGCTGAGGCCTGATCGCGCTCCTCCTTGACGCTCTTCATGAGCAATCTGCTGGTCAGCCTCATTTTGAGCCAGTATATCCTCTCCAGCTCCCTTTGTAA